TGAATCTCTCTCAGATACATCACTAATTAACATTGGTAATACTATTACTGTTGAAGAAAAAAATAAACTTGAGTGTCTATTACAAGAATATAAAAGTCGTTTCTCAAATAATCTAAGTGAACTTGGGTTTACAACAGAAACCGAAATGGTGATTCATCTGGAAGACTCCGAACCAGTTGTTTATCGTCCATATAGACTCTCTTTTTCCGAAAGAGAGCGCGTTAGAGGTATGGTACAAGAAATGTTAGATAATGGAATAATTCATGAGTCTAGTTCTCCATATGCTAGTCCTATCGTGTTAGTTAACAAAAAGTCAGGCGAGAAAAGGCTTTGTGTAGACTATCGCGCATGAAACAAAAAGACTAAGCGGGAACATTATCCCCTATCTAGGATAGAAGACCAACTCAATCTATTAGCTGGTAGCTCTCTTTATATAACTTTAGATCTTGCGTCGGGCTATTATCAGATCCCAATTGCTGAGGAATCGCGTGAAAAGACTGCCTTCGTGACACCCGATGGCCAATATGAATACAATCGCATGCCATTTGGGTTAGTCAACGCGCCCTCAGTATTCCAACGTACCATGAACAGAATTATACAAAAATCCCCCGTTCGTTTATATGCCCTTGTTTACATGGACGATATATTAATTGCGTCTAGCTCATTTGATTTTAGTTTAGCTTAGTTAGACTAAGGGAAGTTCTTGACCTATTAAAGGAAAATGGTTTAACTTTGAAGTTAAGTAAATGCTACTTTTTCTACGATAAAATTGATTACCATGGGTATGAGGTTAGTTCTTCTGGTATACGACCAGGTACTCTCAAGACTGAAGTCGTAGAAAAGTTCCCTACTCCGCGTAATATTCACGAGGTTCGAAGATTGTTAGGACTCGCAAGTTTTTTCAGACGGTTTGTTAAAAACTTCGCTTTAATAGCTCGTCCACTCACAGCTTTATTAAAGAAAGATATTCCGTGGAAGTGGGGTAAAAACGAAAGGGAATCATTTGAAACATTAAAATCGCGTCTTATAGAACGACCAATTTTGACTATATACAACCCAAGCGCGGAAACTCAACTTCACACCGATGCAAGTAAGCTTGGAATAGCCGGTATACTTATGCAAAAGGATGAATGCGATATATTTAAAGTAGTTGCTTATTACAGTAGGCAGACTAGCGTTGACGAGCAAAAACTACATTCATTCGAGTTAGAGACACTCGCAGGCATTGCTTCTTTAGCTAAATTCAGAGTCTATTTGTTAGGTATCAGATTTAAAATAATCACGGATTGTAATGCGCTACGTAGCACACTTGTCAAACGGGATTTAATTCCAAGGATTGCTCGCTGGTGGTTACAATTTTTAGAATTTGATTGCGAGATTGAGTATAGAGCCGGGGATAGGATGGCACACGTAGACGCCTTAAGTAGGAGTCCTGTAGGTACAATAACAAGTGATTGTCACGTAATTGATGTTCTCGCTGTTAATACGGATGACTGGCTTATTACTGTACAACAAGCCGATGATGAAGTCAAAAATATTGCAACCATTTTAAACGATCCAAAAACTAGAGATATAGTAGAAATTTTTAATAGTTATAAATTGAAAAATGGCCGAGTTTTCCGTATTGTCAATGACAACGCCGAGCGTTGGGTGGTTCCAAAGGGCGCAAGATTTATTTATTTATTTATTTATTAGGATCTCCAACGTTAGTACACAAAAAACTTACACTAATACATTAACAATACTTAACCTATATGCACTCACAATTATAGGAGAACACAACATGCTTCATATTTTATAAAAATATCTTAAAACTTTACATTATATTAAAGAGTTTACTTAATTTTTTTAATAACAATAATAATAATAAAAAAGAACCTTAAGAATAGAATACACAATTTACTACAAATATTATATCGTACTGTAACAATTCTCACATTTTTTGGTAAACACTGACAGGCTATCATGCCCTATGTCTAAGCCCGAGTCATGGGCCTCACACAAGTTATATGCAATCGACATACGAACCAGCGGCGCGTTTCTAGATGGCAGATATTAAAAAGTAACCATGATGACATTGGAAATTTTGGATTTGAAAAGACGCTTGCTCGCATTCAGGCATTGTATTGGTTCCCTAAAATGAGGCGATTCGTTAAAAAGTATGTCGCACCATGTCTGGAATGTGCCCAACATGAAACACCAAGTGGGCTTAAAGCAGGGGAGATGCATCCCATTCCCAAAGTTGAAAAGCCTTTCCACACGATCCATGCAGATCATCTCGGTCCTTTCATACGGACTCAGCGTGGTAATACTTATATGTTAGTAATTATGGACGCTTTTACGAAATTTATAAACCTTACAGCTGTTCGCAATACGAAATCTTCGACAAGTATCAAAGTTTTTAGAGAACATTTTAGTTATTTTGGAACACCAACTCGTTTAATTACTGATCAGGGAACAAGTATTACTAGTCATGCATTTAAGGCATTCATGAAATCTACGGGAATTGAGCATATATGTAATGCAGTAACCACACCACGTGCAAACGGCCAGGTTGAGCGATATATTCGCACAATCTTGGCCACACTTGGGGCCATGAATCATGATAAGCCGAACGGAAAATGGGATGAGCATTTACCGGATATACAGCTAGGCATTAATACTACTTTTAATGCTACTACTAAAAAGACCCCGACGGAACTTTTGTTCGGATATAACGTCACAAATCCTTCCCAGGGAATATTAAATAAAGTAATTTCGGATGTGACTCCAGACCTGACTGAAAATGACTTGACGCAACTAAGATCTGACGCTTCCCAAAATATACAGACGCAGGCAGAAAAGGCTAAGGATAATTTTGATAAACACTGAAGAAAGAATGTAGTATTTAAAGAGGGAGATTTAATCAAAGTCGTAAGGGCACCTACTGGTATAGAAGGACAATCAAAAAAATTAGAGCCAAAATGTCAGGGTCCCTATCGTATTAAGAAACTTCTTCCAAATGATAGATTTGTGATCGAAGATACTCCAATCACAAGAAAGGGTAGGCGCTATGAATCGATAGTGGCAATTGATAAAATATTCCCGTGGTTAAATTTTACTCATCAAATATCCTCTGATAATGAGAGCTCTTCTGATAGTGAATCCATGAATGATGAGGTTGATGTACCTAATGTTGCAATGTAAAAGAAAAATAAATAATAAATTATAATGATGTTAAATGACTTTACCTTATTACCATAATTACAAAGTTGCATTATTTTATAAATGATGAATGTCATGTCATGATAAAAGTCATCAAGTAAATAAATCTATATAAGTTTAATAATAATGTTAATTCAACAAATAATAACTTCGCTCGATGTCATGAACTGTTGTTATGATTATTATGTAATGTTATAATGTAAAGATGAAAAGCAACGGCGTAATATGTACAAATCAATGTCATGGATTTGTGCATCTCTGAGATGGCCAATGTCATGGGTCGTATCAGAGGCATATTGGTTGATTAATGTCATGGATCAACTAATGTGTTATTGTTCCGTCTTTTCTTATGAACTGTTGTTATGATTATTATGTAATGTTATAATGTAACGATGGAAAGTAACGGCGTAATATGTACAAATCAATGTCATGGATTTGTGCATCTCTGAGATGGCCAATGTCATGGGTCGTGTCAGAGGCATATTGGTTGATTAATGTCATGGATCAACTAATGTGTTATTGTTCCGTCTTTTCTATAGAGGTTGATCAATGTCATGGATCAGCAAAATATAATTGTTTTTTTTTAGTTAAGTAGGAAAGATCAATGTCATGGATCTTTCGAATGGAATAGTTTGGAATTATATTGATTAAAGTCATGATGATCGGATAGATATTTGTAAATTTATAAAAGATATACTAAGAATATAATATTTATGTCTTATAATGTGAGGAATTAAAATTAAATTATAATTAAGCTGGTTAAAATGAAAGTTTAGCTTTGTTGAATTTAGTATAGTTAAGAGTAATTATCGGTTATTGAATTTGTTTATTTTTGCTTCTCTTATGTTTTTTTTGTGTTATCTTTATTTATTACGAGGGACTCGTAAAGCTTTCGGATGGCCGAGTTGTTACCGACTTTAGATATTTTTAGTATTCAATAGAGCGGATATGTGTAAATATTATATATAATAGATCACGAAACTATATATATTATGAATATTTTGGTATCTCAAATGACACTTTCCGCTCAGAATTAAATAGTTATTTTATTAAGAATATAGATATTATTTTGACTCGAAATAGAGGATAATAAGCGTCGGGAAACAATTGCCATCCGTTGCCTAGATAAGAAATAACAACAATGTGTGTTAACAAATAAATAATAGTTACAATTTAAAAGTCTTTAAATTACAGTTCAAGTTTATAAAATTAATAAGGCAAAGAGTAGAGCTGAAAAATAAATATTGTACAGTCTGAGACTACAGGTTCCTGCGAAGAAGGCGTTTAACACGATGAACGTATAAACGTCCCAAAATATGACCCGCTTACACCTGGCTGCGAAGAGGTTGCGGCTAAATGCGCAACGGCAGCTATCATTTTTCAAGATCTCTACGTACAGTTCTGTGAAGTGGAGTATTATTCATTTTAATAACAAATGCATTGTTTTTATTCCAAAAAGTCAACTATTATTTAGTTAATTAAACATACTAGCGGGCACATTTGAATAGGCTCCTCAGTCAAAACATATTGTCCCTTTTATTATTGTATATAAAAAAATAATTTCGATTAAATACGCTATGAACGTAACAATCTTGCAGTGGGATCTTAGTCCATTATGTTGTCTACGACACAATATAAAGAACGTAATAGATAACATATCACACTCAATTCTAGAATTTATCTTCAACTGTAAATTAAAGATAAAATACAATTATAAAATATCTTTGCTTTAGTTCTTAATCAGTTAATCATCTTTTCTTTGTATATTAAAGTACCCGTGATATTATCGTAATACGATGTTGTTCGTACTCTTGATGTTAAGTGCTTTGACAATTTCTTCTGCAAGACCTAATGAAAAATTTAATGGAAGAAATGTTATAACAGTACCACCTAACTGCCCTCCTGGGCAGGAATGGATAAACGGACAATGTCGCGATATTTGGCTAAAATTTACGACTCCAGCTCCTGCAATAAAAACGTAAGTATCTTAGATACAATATTAACATCACAAATGCCAAACAAATAGTTCATAAAAAGAAAATTTTCTTTTTATTATATTTTCACCTAATAATTCTTTGTAAGTCTAAGACCACAGAGCGTATTGTAGAATATATTTTACTTCATTTGACTATGCCCTTTGTTTTGTATGTATATTGTATACATATAGGGGAAGGTGGGGGGACACCGGATAGTTAAGAAGAAGACACAATAAATAAATCACTATGTTATTTATTGAGATAATCAATATTATAAATGTTTAAGTATACCTTAGGCATAACTTTGGTATGAAAATGTTTAAGATCAATCTTAATAACTATAAAATAGAACAATTTTAATTAAAAATTATGAATCCGAATTCACCCCATACCTATGGGTCAAACCGGATAGGTATTTTATATTCTATGGGTGAATACAGATACTAACAAAAAAAACTGAATATTCAAATTATTCGCAGTTTTTGCATACAAAAAATAATAATTCTTGCTCAGAACAACCGATGCAACTTCGTGAGCCCATTTAAGTCAAGCAGTGCATTGGTACCATTCATTTGTGGACTTAGTTTGACTGTACTTTTTGCCTCAAACCAAAGACTCCGAATCCTCCTGATAGTTTTATTATTCTTCTTTTTACCGATTCGAAAATATCTGATTAGGTATCTATTCTTAATGAAAAACATCGCTTAGTTATTTTTTACATTTTAGTGCCTGGAAGTCGGTTTTTTTAAGTTTGTGTTGTGGTACAGAGGTCAATCCAGTCTCGTCCATGTAATAAATTTGCGTGGGATTCAAAGCATGCTTAGTATAAATGGTATCTAAAACATTAAAAAATGATGACACTACAGCTCTATTAAAGCCTTTTGAACTTTTGGGTACACTTTATGTAACGCTAAAAGATATCCCATTTTACTTTCTATCACCGAATTTAGGGCTAAAAGCATGTCTGACTCCAACCATTGCAACTTATCTGACTTTTTCACATATGTTCGTGGCATGTTGTCGCTCGCATTCTGTAAAAATAAATAGTAATTAAAAAGAGGAATAAAACAAACACCCACAATACCTACATATAAAATCGATCGGGGTGAAACCGGGTAGTCGGAATCACCCCGTCCGCTTGTACCCCACAAGTACCATGTTTGAAATTGTAATAACTAACAGGTTATGGTAACTCTCATAGCAACAACCAATACCGTTTTCAAAGATTAAATATGTATTACTTCTTAAAAAATACAACTGTATATAATAGCACACAGCTAAGTTTAATGATAACACTTTAAAAAAAAATTAATATTAGATAACTTACCCTTGTTTTTAAATTTCGTTATAAAGACGCACGCGCCGAGATGATACCGTCGCCGCGATTTGCAACCGCACTGAGTAAGCGTTCGCGCGTATTTCTCCACTAGCTTGAATGAGACAGCTGTACGTGAAGCAATGAAATAGGAACTATCTGTTTTCACCCCCTATCTGGTTTCCCCCCTCATTCCCCTATATCAAAATACAGTGCCACTTGTCATTGCGTTCTTTGATCTTATCAATATTTACAAATAACCTATACCTACATATAGTAAAATTCTGAGTCTAATTTGTACATTAAATATTTTTTGGAAAATTATTATCGATACAGACGCCGAATTTAGATTTTTTGTCTGTCTGTCTGTAACCGCATCACGAGAAAACCACTGGACAGAATTTGGTCCGACGATAGTTGGTTATCCAGATCTACATTATAGGATACTTTTCACTGCGGGAAAATATCTCATCTCTGAGAAATCTATACCAAACGTTAAAACATTCCTAGGGACGAACCCGAGCGGAGCGAGGGTGACTTGCTAGTAGGAATATAATATAATATACATATATAGTAATAAATACTTTAAAAAATTCTTTGAGATCTTCCTTTGTATTCCTTCCTTCTTACCCATTCACACATAAATACGCTTTAAGCAATGTAAATAACATAAAAATAAATTGAAATTACAAAAAAGTAGCGGCTCACCCTCGCTCGGGTTCGCCTCTAGAAAAGCAAGAACAAATCTATCCCATGGGAACCGTACATATTTCCGGGATAAAAGTAGCCTATATGTTACTCTGATGTATGAGCTATATTATTGTACAGTTTCATTAAAATCCATTCAGTGGTTTTTGCGTGAAAGAGTAACAAGCAACCTTACATACATACAGACATCTCTACATCCTCACAAGCTGTCGCATTTATAATATTATTAGGAAGTAGGATACAAAAGGCATCTATTGACGCACTCCTAACTTCACTTAGGGAACACTCTTATAACTTATTTATATAATTTGTCTTTCAAGGTCTGCAGATATCCTAAATGGTAAAAATATGATAACAGCACCACCAAACTGTCGTGACGGGCAACAATGGATAAACGGAGAATGTCGCGATATTTGGTTCAAACTTGCAGATCCAGCTTATAACCATTATATGTATGTATTACCCATATAATACCGATAGCCTTTTAAACACTACTAAATAATAATAATAATATAATCAAGGCTACATATAATTAGTATGTAAATAGTAAGTGTCATCAATGGTTATATTTAGGATGATGCCAAAGTTATAAAGGACTTCGCTCGAGTATGTTTTGGTCAACACACGTGTTAGTGAGATCGGTGTAGTTTTTCTACTTTATTCTTACATATTTTGCAATTATAATTTACGTAATTTCTAGGTGTAATTTTTGGTACCTACTGTTTTGTCGTGATGATTGGTTTATTTATATTTTTATATGTGTCTTAAAAAATGTAGGTACCTAGTTTTAAGAATGGATGGTAATCACCTACGTGAGCAGCCGGATCCTGAAGGTTTCGCTGTGTCAAGTGCAGTGGCTGGTTCACGCGATTACCATTGGGAGAATTCGTCCCACAAAACTAATTCTTCACACTGCAACTGTCAAGAAAACATAGTTACTTCTTTGAATTTGAGCTTAGGGGCCATCCATAACATCACACGAATGTAATGATTTTTTTAACCCTCCAAACCCCCTGATTGCTGTAAATAGGTTTTTATACATTATTACATAACATACTTTTGCTTGAGTGAATTTTATCGCAGGTAAGTATTATTAGTTATTTGTTTTGTTCTATACAAATATATAAAAATACAAACATACGGAATTCTTCGCAGAGACGCACCTGAGCGAAGCGAGTGTCTCTAGTTTTAATTATAACTTTATTAAAATACTTTCTTCTTACAAATTTGATACTAATTAATATGTTTACACTAAAAATAGAAAAACAAGAACTTTAAAAAAAGAAAATACTAGACTACTATAATACTAATACTAGAACTAATACTAGACACTAAAAAGTAAAAACTTTAAACAATAAAATAAAAACTATTTTTAGAAACAAACTTTTTATTGTAATAATAGAAATCTACTTTTTATAGTTCCGTACCTCAAATGGTAAAAAAGGAACCCTTATAAGATCACTCTCTCGTCCGTCTGTCGGTCTGTCTGTCCGTGTGTCACGCCCACCGATATTCTCAGGAACGGGTGAACCTAGCAAGTTGAAATTTATACTAGATACTGAGGTCTATAGTGCCTATTAGGTGTATAAAAATCAAGGTCCTGAGTCAACACGATAAAAAGATTTTTGCGAAAACTTGTAAGTACCAAAATTTATCTTAATTTTCAACTTTTTTTTATTTTTTAGAATTTTCCCTTTACTTGTGCTGGTAAGACCTTGCTTTTAACCAAAATTGACAATTCTACGTCAACCGGAAGTACCCTATAGCTTTTGAGTCGAAAACCTATATGGTAGTTCCTGTTGACCTAGAATCACGAAATTTGGCAAATAGCAAGGTCTTACAGCACAAATAAAAGAAAAATTTCAAAAAAATAAAAAAAGTTGAAAATTAAAGTTAAACAGATTTCCTACAAAGTACGGAATCCTCGGTGAGCGAGTCTGACTCGCACTTGTCCGTATTTTTTTTTTGGTTTTTACGTTTAAGGGTCTGGAAAAGGGTTTTTATTTATTTTTAACTAGCATTGCCCGCGGCTCCGCCCGCGTTCAGATGACCAAAAACTAAATTCTTAGGTGTTACATATTAGTATACTCTTACATTGCAGTTTTTGTATTTTTCCTCAGAAATAAGATATTTTCCCGCGGTAAAAAGTATCCTAGGATCGCGCGCTACATCGCCCGGTTTATATAGCTTGAGCAGGCGGTCGAGCGATGCGGGGCAGAGGGGATGGACTCGCCGTAGGCATCTCAATGCTCGCCAAGCATTAAAAATGTTTCGCTACTAATTACTTCTAACAACGATATCTCAAAAACTATTCATCTGATTGATTTAGTGTAAAGAGCAATTTTAATCTGCATTAAATGACTAAGCTAACTAAAATATTCATTTGGATAAGGATTAATACCGAACTAAAGAAAATAACTTTGAAAATAACGTAATGTTTTTAATTAAAAATGTTAACATAAAAGTGGTTATTGTAAGTCAACCGTAAGAGATAGACATATGCTATCGCGGACTTTTTTGTAGCATTTTTATAGATTTTGAATTCTCTAGTACATTACTTAACTGTATCTTTGCTAGTTTACGCGGCGTTCGCGTGGAAAGTTCCCATTTGGCGAGATTTTTTGCGACCTCTTCAACATTTGTCGCCGTATTTCAGCTAATTTACATAAAAGCATAATAAATTATATACCTAAACCTTCCTCAAGAATTACTCTTTCTATTGTTGAAAACCGTATAAAAATCCGTTCAGTAATTTTCGAGTTTATCGCGTTCAGACAGACAGGAGGACAGACAGGAGGACAGACAGGAGGACAGAAAGACGCGGCCGGGGGACTTATTTTTATAATAAGTATAGATAAGTTTTTTAGGAATTTTCGGTAGCAAAAATATAAGTCTGTATGTACTATACAATTTCTTTTTCAAGGTCTGCGGATAACTTAAATGATAGAAATATGATAACAGCACCACCAAACTGTCGTGACGGGCAACAATGGATAAACGGACAATGTCGTGATATTTGGTTCAAACTTGAAGATCCAGCTTCTGCATTGTATACGTATGTATTACCCATATAATACCGATAGCCTTAAACCATGGAAGAATTAGAGACTGGACCTGACATAAAATACAAATGTATGAAAACTAGTTCAACCAAGTGACGCATAACGCACACAAAGATTTTATTACATTATTATAAACACTGATACACAATACAATATTTCTAGTGCTTGAACATAATCGATAAAATACATATATCGATGAACCAATGAATGACATTTTAGACATTTGTAAGCATAGTCATCATATTTTACATCTTTTAATTTAAAATATCTGTATTTATTATAATAAATTAAAATAAATGAATTAAAGAGGCAATAATAATGTGTCAAATAATAATTATTTTTTAATTTGATTTATATAAATACGATGGCATTGATGGCAACATTCTGTTAGCCTATAATAATGTTAATGAACAAATGAATATCGGGTGTTTATATTTCATTAATATATAAGAAAATATTATTTTGTAAAGATTAAAAAAATATTAAGCTAATTTAATTAAATAAAGTGATTTTGTTGATTCTGTTATTGAACTATTTTAATTGGCAATTGATTGTCTCGGGTAGCTATAAAAATGTGACACTGTCCTAATATTGCTCAGTTCTTAATAAACATTTGTGAAATTAGGAAAAAGAAAAAGTGATTGCAAATTGTGAAAAAGTGAGTGTTGGATCGTGAAAGTAAAATAATTAGTGCAAGTGGTAAAGTGTTTTATTACAAATCGCCAACCCAGAAGTTTAGTGCTAAAACATTATTGTTTGATTTTGTGTAATTTATGTGTTGAAATAAAATTATCTTTATTATTATTACAATAGAATAATATTCCAAAGTATATAAATGTGGTATAAAATAAAATAAAAAATTAAGTACACATACTAATTATAATTTTTGCATTTATATTTTTATGTGATTTAGAAAATATTTTTATAAATTTATTATCATCAGATTGTAGGATACTGTGATAAAAGTATTTTATGTTATTGTACTGTACAAATAACACAATTCGTTCAGTTATTTCGTCAAATATCGACATATTTTTCGACATTGTCAAGCACTAGTCGATGTCAAATGGACTCACTCGACAGTTTCGTCATTTGTTTTGAATGGTATAATCCAGCCATTTTATGATGGTTGTCAGATGTCAACAATACATAGAAATATCGACTATATTTAACATAGTTGGATAATATGACATTTTATTTTATATTTAATTAAATTTTGAGATAAATAACAATAAATGTAATAAAATAATGTATTTACAAGTGAAAAGAAATAGTGCTGCTTCCGCCGTTATAGTTTTTACACCATTTAACAGAACATTTAGTCATTTTTGGGAGATGTTTTGTTGACAAGTAAGTGCTTGAGACTGACGCAAAAAACAAACGACCTAGGCTAAAATTCCCTGGTTACAGACATGACTGTTAAAGGTACGTCCGCTTATATGTCTGGTCCAGTGGTTAATTCGTTCATGCCTTAAACATTACTAAATAATAATAATAATAATATAATAAAGGCTACAATATACAATTAGTGAATAGTCTATATACGTGTTAGGTGTCAATGGTCAAATATTATTCAGGCTTATTTTCTGGAAGATTTTTATTTGGTCAATACTATAAAAAATCGCTGTAGGTACTTTTATCTAATTAATAGAACAGTTTGAAAATTTTATAATAAGTATAAAAATAGCAAATTAACCTCGCTTCTTGTTTGTCGCTCTTTCTATTAGTGAAAACCGTATCAAAATTCGTAAAAAGATTCTTCCTTTTTACGCAAAAAGATAGTTTTATTTAAAATCCGTTCCGTGGCTAAAAGCATTCACTGCATTTATACTATAGCTAGTAGCGACTCATCCACGCTTCGCTCGAGTTCGTCCATAAGCACGTTTTAACGGTTAGATTTAGAATGGAATAAATAGTCAATACCTTGCTCTGTGAAAAACAAAAACAAATGTATCCCTAATCCCACGGGAACCGTGCATTTTTCGAGATAAAAAGTAACCTATGTACTATTCCAGACTATAATTTATCTCTGTGCCATATTTCATCCAGATTTGTCTAGCCGTTCTGGCGTGATTGAGTAACAAACATCCATCCATCCATTTAAACTTTCGCATTTATAATATTAACATAATAAAAGAATTAAGCATATGGAAGTGTTTTTATGTTTCATTAATTCAGCGTTAGAACGAATTAATAGAGATTTTTAAGCTATTAAAAATGACAGTTTCAGACAAACTTTCATGCCCTATTTTACCCCCTTAGTAAAAAGTCAAAAGTAAAGTCCGCGATTGGACATGTCTATCTGTTAAGGTACACTCACAATAACCATTTCTAACCCCCAGCGCAAAAACGAAGGCCGGTGTTATAAATTTGACGGGTTTGTGTGTGGCATCGTAGCTTCCGAACGGGTGAAATGTGAATGAATGTTTTTTTGGTTTGAAAGGTGAATTAGTCGGGTTATTAGCTATGTTTGATGAAAATCGGTCCAAGATGGTCGGGAGTTTTTTAAATTTTAAATTTAATTTAGTTAATACATATAATTCTCAAATTGGGAAAAAATAATGCTTTATTTGCGAAGGTGTTTTTATTAGCATGGTGTTAATCCGTATCTAAATAAATATGTTAGACTACTTAGGCATTAATTTAGATTAAAACTAACCTTAAACTTGGCCTTACGTCATTTAAATGCATATGTTAGAAGATACAACGTTTTAAAATAACCCGCGAAACGTAATAATAAGTTTTCAATTGCATTGGTTTCGTTTCACGTTGTCAATCATTTTAAAGTTAAAGGTAGCATTTTTACTTTTTCTTTAGGTAGATATACCTACTTATTTCAAAATTGTTGTTCTAAATAGGTTTATTGTAGTCGAGAGTTCTTATTAACATGCATTTTTATTTATATATATATATAGATATGTCCATAGAATTATATCTTTTTAGATTTATATTCTCCAACGATTGTAGAATGACATTTTACCCAATCCTAAGCCCAAGGTCATGCTAAGTAATCGAAAAATAAATAGACAAGAGATGGAAAAGCTGCAATGCAATAGCTAAATTAATGTTGTTTAAAAAAATTATTTGACTGAGTTTTGAAACTTAAATAAATGTAATGTATAAGTACATTGGATCCGTCTATTGCCTTCATCTGCAGATTCGTTCAATGGTATCAATTTATAGTAGATACTGCCATCATCGGTCATCAAATAAATTTAAATTATATAAATTTGTTACTTTACAGAAAAGACGAGGAAGGTGATATCGGTGCAATCAATATTGTTAATGAACCCAATTATAGTGAAGGATCATGGCGTAATATAATAAGTGTTCCGAATCAATGCCCCGACGGATACAAACCTGATGCTCTTGGAGTTTGCCGCAGAATATTTTAAAAAATAATGTTATGTTAAAACTACAAATAAATGAATAATAAATAATTAAATAGTTTAATTTAAAAAGATCTTAAAAATATATAATAATATTAATGAAGCTTTATTTATTCTATACATGCATAAATAATCACAATATATATTTAAATCATTCAATCAAACAAACAATTTACAATAATCCTACTAATATTATAAACGTGAAAGTTTGTAAGAATGTATCAGGTACAGAAAAAAATTAGCTTTAATTTGACATATAAATGATGAATACCATACGCCATGAACATAGAAACGTAACAAAATATGACATGGCTGCGAAGAGGTGGCGGCCAAGTGCACAACGGCAGCTATCACTTTTCAAGATCTCTACGTATATTTCTGTGAAGTGGAGTATATTCATTTTAATAACAAATGCATCGTTTTTGTTCCAAAAAGTCAATTATTATTTATTTAATTAAACATACTAGCGGGCTTATTTTAATAGGCACCCCAGTCAAAACATATTGTTCCTTTTATTATTGTATATAAAAAAATGATTTTGATTAAATACGCTATGAACGTTTGTTACGTCTTGCAGCCGGATCTCCATCCATAAAACACTTATTTATTTAATTATATTGAAGACCAAGTTTCAAGTAATTCTGATCATAAATATTTTTTGGGTTGTATTATAACGTGTTTTCCCGTGGGAATGAGATAATCTCCCGCAATAAAAAGTACCCTATGTCACTCTCCAGCCCCCCAAATATCTCCACACAAAAAATCACGCCACTCTGTCACTCTGTTTCGACGTGAAAGAAAGACAAACAAGCAAACAAACACACTTTCACATTTATAATATTAGTATATTAGTATGGATTGTATGTTCTGTACTGTTTGTTTCTCTTTTTTTTTTTGGCTACAGACATATGATGTACTATAATATTTTTCTACTAAAAATAAAACTGACATGGCAATAGCGGGCGTTTTCCAATTACATTACTAAAGCGCATTATGCGGCATAATGTTCGACTTCTAATTTTTCAACAACAGTAACGCTCTGCACAATCAAGCACTTTGAAAAGTACTGCTTTGACGTCATGTGCACAGCGGATACGTTCGTGCGGTTCGTGTTTGTGCACGAAAGTGCGGCATTATGCTCAGGGAGCATAAACAATTGAAATGACAGATGTTGTCATGCTGACAACTACCAACTGATTAAGCCTAACAGTCTAACGTCAGTGTCATCAACGTTTGTCATTGTCATAGAGTATATTGCTACATATATAAAGTCAATGTAAAGTGAAGTGTAAACTATGGCTAAAAGTATTAACCAAGAAAAAAATTATTTTGACTGTTGACACGCAATTATAACATAATTCATTTTTTTTCAGTTATCAATAAACTTATTTATAGATGATTCATACTAAAATATCTCTAAGAGATTAATTTCTTGAAATTATGAAAACCATCATGTTGTAACCAATCGTTTTACACATCATATAATATGATAAATGTTAGAAATATCGAAATTAAATTGATGTTTTAACTATAAAGTTCCTCAATCTAAAATCTGAAAATGACTGAAGTAAAAGGAACGAAAGCTTTGGAGTTGTGGTGTAAACGTTTAGTAAAAGACTGTCCTGAAGTCCAAATAGATAACATGACAACATCTTGGAGGAATGGTATGGCATTCTGTGCTCTTGTCCACCACTTTAGACCAGACTTGATGTAAGTAATTATATTATATAAAAGCTAATATTTTATATAATTCATTTAATAAACATATAAGACACCATGTAAATTTCAGAGACATATCAAAGTTGAAACCTGAAAATATATATGAGAATAATCAGTTAGCTTACAGCATTGCAGAAAAATATTTAGGAATTCCATCTCTTTTAGATCCAGAAGATATGGTAGAGAATGAAATACCAGATAGGCTATCTATATTAACATATTTATCTCAATTTTATCAGCGACTTGGTCATACAGGTATGTTATAGATTTTGAATAAGTAACATTTTACAAAAAGGTTTTTACCCAGTATGACAGAAAAAATGATGTTATTATGAAAATATTATTAATTTCAGTAAATACAAAAGTATCAGAGAGTGAATCGAAAGCAACATCGTCACCATCAAGTCATGGATCTGTTAGTATTGATATTTTAGTATTTCATGTAGCTTTACTATGCACTGCTCTTTTTGTGATGTTATTTCTATATTCTTAATTCTATTCCTTATAATCACTATTTTAGACTCCCATAAAATTTGGAAAAGTGGCTCTTGACAAGTGTGCCATCTGTAGTTTGCCAGTATATCTGGCCCAGCGGCTCATGGTTTCACAAAAGCTCTATCACAGGAGATGCTTCCGTTGTTCTAAATGTATGGGGCATTTAAATCCAAAAAATTATCATGTTATTGATACAAATAACTTTTCTTGTGATTCATGCAAAAATGAAAAATCTCTACCTAAATTTAATAACAATAATCAAATAGGAATGCTGGCATTTAATAGTGATATGAGCTCTGGCCCATCAATACAAATTGAACAGCCTGTTGAACAAAAAGTTAAGTCAAGGCCTCAATCAATATTAGGTGAGAACCAACTAAGTACTTTGCTATATACTACACTTTTATATTTAATATTGCATGTGCCTTCTAAATACCTTTATAAATGTTTTATGTGTTATATTATTGTTAATGTTTTCTGACATCGTTTTATTAACCATTTTAAAACCTTCATTTAAAACTAGCACCAATAAATTTAAGTGTATTTGTAACTTATACTATTATGCTATACTAGTGTATTTATTACTTATGTATTTAAATTATTAGTATTATGTATTCAAACTAAAACAAAAATTTTATAAAAAAAACAGTACCTATCTGTTTAAATATTTTTATAAGTGCAAAATCTGAAATATTTCTAAGTAAGAATATTTATTATCTTCAACTTAACAGAAGAGCCTACATGTTTTGTGATTGCAGAAAAAATAAATCTTTTTGAAAAAAACATAGAAAGAGATACAAATATTGAAGACAAAGTAGCTAGTATTAGTTTAAAAGAAAATTTTAATGAAATGTATAAAGATGAATATAAATTAAGTGACATTGATAAGCCAAGTAAGATAAATCAAAGTATTGAAATAATTAGTAAAGATGTAAATAGACAAGAAACAGATAGCCTTTTAAATAATCAAAATATGTATAAAAATATCCCAGAGAAAGTTTATAAGACCAATAAAGATAAATTCATTTTTTTACAAACACAATTAAATGATGATACATTAGACGTTGATAATGCTTTAAATGAAATGGTGGAGCCTGCACACAAAGACAATGACAGTATCAAAAGTGGTTCTGTTGTTCAAGACAACAGTAGCTTATCTACATATAAAGAGGATGATGATAATATAACAGATGACAGCCGAATTGCTTTAGAAAATGGCGTCACATCAAATATAGATAGTTCAATGTTTAGTGAGGATAAAAATAAACAAGAAATCACTATAACTGTACCACCTAGACGAAGAAAACATTTAATTGAAAAGAAAACAGATATAGCTAAGAAAGAAGCATTATCTGTACCAAAAAAAGAATACCCCGTTCACTTAAACCCATTTTCAGATGATGAAGACGAGGTAAGTGTGTACTAGTTGGGTAAGGTTACCATAGAGCAGGCTCTGATTGTTTCCATTTGACACATTGACATATTACAACATTATTATTTGATATAAATGGTTAAAAAAAAACTTTCTTTCTATATAACTTTTAAATATCATTAAAAGGCTAAGCAATGAAATTGTCAGAGCTCTAACCTATGGATTGCACTGTGACAAATTTATATATTATGGGTTATATAAAGCATGCATTTTTATTTAGCATGAACAGGAAGAGCCTACAAAAACCAGCACAAATCCCTTCGGGAGTAGTGATGAAGACGATGAAGTTCCTCCAATTCCACTTAAAGTGTCCGGTGAACAAACATCTACACCATTGTATGTTCTCACTTTTCAAATTGCATAAAAAACACACTCTTGAAGTTTTCCGTTCTTGAAAAAAAATTTCCTTTCAGAAAACGCCACATTAAAGCATATAATCCTTTTTGGTCTGATGGTGAAGAACCATCATCTGATCAAGAATCGAGAAGTAACAGGTAACGCTTTTTATTTTTTAATATTTTTGCTAAAAAAATAATATCTGAGAATTAACTTCTCTTTAAAATATGCGTTAAGTAGCATTCTAGCTTAAGAAAAGTAGAGCAAAACAAAATATCTTATTTGTGTTTCATTAGGTAATGCTTTAATTTTTTTCCAAGGTTTTGTTTAGACCGAAGCCCCAACAAAGATAAAAAAATATTTTGTTTGCTTATACATGTTAAACTGATTTTAAGAGGTAAACACCTCTCTACCATATAAAAGATTAAATCAGAGAAACATAGGTATATTTACCCGCGGCTTCGCTCGCGCTAAAACTCTAAAAAATCTCTAAAAAGGTTGTTTCATACAAACTTTCATCCTCTATTTTACCCCCTTATGGGATGAATATCGAAAAGTGTTAAAACAAGTATTTATTTAATTTTATTGAAGAGCATTAATACCAAGTTTCGAGTAATTCTGATCGTAAATATTTTTTTGGATGGTACTATAAAGTGTTTTCCCGTAGGAATCAGGTAATCTCTCGCGGTAAAAAATAGCATATGTCACTCTCCAGCCCTCAAACTATCTCCACACAAAAATTACGCCAATTCGTCACTTCGTTCCGACGTGAAAAAAGGACAAACAAACAAACTCACTTTCACAATTTATAATATTAGTATGGATGGTGGAGATAAATCGGGAATGGCTGAACAGATGGTACCTAATAGAACTCTATAGGATAGAGAAGTCTAATGATAGTTAGTTATTTTATGTGTTATTACAGGTAAAACTTTTTTTTTCTGATTTTTTCACAGATTTATTTTGATATTTGGTTCCCGATTGTGACAACTATATAATGCCTTTGAGACGTCTAAAACCTTAGTCTCTCCCGTGAATGGTCACGGCAGAGATTATGGTTTTAGGAAAAAAACCGAAAAGATAGTTTTATTTAAATGTCAAATATTCGCGTAATTCTTAGAAAGTATTATATGAGTTATTTCTTATCATTGTAACACGAATTCGAACCCGAGGATGAATTCTGATATATAAGTAAATGTCTACGACTAGCTCAAACATGCACAAGTCCCCAATAACGTCAAGTACGCCCAACTTGCCCTCGAGCACGCCGCGGCGCAGGAAGCCCAAGGCGCCTCCCCCGCCCATAGAGGAACACCTGGACCTCCCCTCGACGTCCATGGACGACGTGGCCAGTATATCCTCATTCAGCTCACACACCTCTACCGTACATTCAGATCAGGTAACAATGATTTTGACGCAATAACCATTCTTACATTAACATCAAATATGAAGTAGCCACACAATTAAAAACTTATATGAAAAGGTTAATGTTTTATAGGATATTTATTATACTAGTATATTATATAACATACAACACGGAAGAACTTAATTTTATAAGCGGGAATAAAACTTTAGCTTATGTTATATTACCTCGGCTCACCCGCGCTTCGCTCGGATCCGTCCCTAGGTACGTTTTAACAGTTCGTATGGAATAGATAGAATATATGTATATATATTATATTACTGCTCCGCTCCCTTGGGTAGTACCATGTGGATATATAGCCTATAGCCTTAGTCAATAAACGGGCTATCTAATGCAAAAATAATTTTTCAAATCGGATTCGAGATCGAAATTCCTGAGATTAGCGTTCAAATAAACAAATAAACAAACTCTGCATCTTTATAATATTAGTATAGATAACTGAGAATACTCTATTCAGGTCACATGCACTAGACAGTCTCATATGAATCGATAACATCATTTTTATTATAATTTTAAATCTTGCATATATTTCATAAGGTACTTTGGATATATATTATCACTTCATTTTAATATATAAATAATACACGCGATAAAAATATAAGCTAACTATTAAACTTTTAATGATTCAAATAGTTAAATATAATGTTCACAATATTACGATATAGTTATTGGAAAGCGTATGTTATTTGGAATAATAATTAGGAATCATTTATGAAAAGTGAAAGGCTGTCAATGCTCAAGAGGTTTATTGTTCAAAGACCGTTGCAATACAGTTTTTTAACTAGAAAATACTAATGCCCGATTTCACCAACGTCACCTAAGTTTAAGGGATCCCCTAAGCATGGTTAGGGGGCTGTTAGGGGACAGTTTCTGTTTTCCCGAAAGTTAGGGGTCACCTAAATATTAAAAGGCCCCCTAAATTTAGGTGCTCGAAATATGGGCTTAAAGACGATCGTAAAACGAAATTTAATTTAGGGTCTAATTTTAAGCTAGGGATCCCATACGTAGGTGGTAGCTTATGGGTTGTTGGTGAAATCGGGCATAAGAGTATTAATATTACTAACATAATAGAACAATTTTTATGATTATAAGTTCGTCTAAAGAAATAATAGACGCGATTTCAATATATACTTAGTTATTTAATTTATGTAGCATTTGATAGCCTTATTAGTTATTACGCATATGAATATGGAAATTCCAGCACATGTGGCAGAGTTTGTGTTAAAAGCATTGTCAACTAACTACTTATTTACATTACTTATGTAGTAGGTACTCAATTACATTTTTCTAAACTTGAATTTTCCTTTGATCGACAATTTTATTTATTTTCAATATTATACAGCAATATTATTGAACTTAAAATTGCATTCAAGATAAAATTATTAATTTATATACTTTAGAGTTTAGACGGTTTCATGAATAAGTAATTAAATTTTGCTTAAATCAAATCAAACACTTTATTGCGAACTTGGGTTAGTACATACATTTAGATTCTTAATAAGATATAGAATTGAAATATTAAGCCTAAATAGGTACCAAGTTCATAAGTATAGACGACTAAGTTCTACAAATCAGGAACTTTATATAAAGAACCTGGGTTATACCCAATGTTCACCTTCATACCTATGCGAAAAATATGTCTTACGTCATCTAATAATATATTAAATAGCAAAGTTTGTAAAAATAAATGTTTGTTTTTCAAACATCATGACTTGTTCTCTTGAGCACTTTCTTATGTTGAACGAAATTAAACAAGAAGCTTTTCATGTGGGTCAAGTTGTGGGCAAAGTAATTGATATTTTATCGTTTAACATTTACCTATCATCCAAGTTCATTTTTTTTAAAACGATGCATTGATATGCTATGATAAAAAAAGCGTTATGTACGCATCTTAGAATTTATACTACTTTGTCTTTTGTTTTTTCTTTTTATTCTTTTTTTTTTATTTTATTCGTGTTCTTCTTAGCAAACCCATTCATTTGATATCCATGTCATGGGGGTGCATAAAACACACATAGTGCGCCATCTTTGGGAGTCCGCCATATTGGATTTACAATGATGTCACTTTGCTTATAGTGTTTCGCTCATAAAGCCCTTTCATTTGATGCCCTTAACATAATCATCAATATGGAAATGATAAATCGCCATTTTGTAACGTCAGCCATATTGGATTAAATCTGACAAGGAGAAGTGGGTCAAATTTAACTTGCAAGATTTGATTACAGACAGATACCAGGGGAGATGAAACTAAAGAAAAGCTAGTAATCATTTTTATTTTTATCGATGTAAAACACGTATTGTGTATACAGAAATAGCGTAATAAATATCTTGAATATAGACATCACTTCAGACTATACTAAATGGAGATTTAACGACTAACTTCATACTATAGATTAAATCTGTCGCATCGTGAAAAAACACTGATCATTTTTTTCATAACGCGCTAAAAGAAGTATTTAAACTTCAATAATTCATTTTATTATTTACTCGTATCTTTTTAAGAAATCATTCGGGAAATCAACACCTAAACTAAGGAAAAGACGCCCCGCGCCCACTCCTCCGGACAGTCTCTCGACTGTGTCTGGCTGCGGAGGGTCCGTAGAGAAGGGGATCGATTCATTAGGAACCCGGAACGTGTCTGATGGTTAGTATTATATCGACTTGTTTTTTTTTTGTTTAAAAAGTAACAAATTATTTTAGCACCTTATAATCACCTTAATAACATAGATTAAGTCATAGCATGGTATCTGATAGAGGTTTAACAAATAATTGAATTATGATTAAAGTTTTAATTAGTTACAACCCATTTTTATCTGATTAATGTCTCTAAGCAATTTTAATACTTGTAGTACTTAACACTACACGAAGCATCGATAATGACAACAGCTGATTAATCCGGAAATGATCTTTTTTTATATGATAATATTAAATTTTATCAAAATTTATGAAATAACTCTGCTTTATCTACATAATTTTATGTAGGTAGTAGATTCTTAAATATAGCGTGCTTATGCTTCAATATCTATTATTCATCTTATTTTTTAGTTTGCTGCTGTCAATATATCCATAAGTAATGTTCACACATATGCAGCTCTACAATTATCTAGAATCAAATCTCCCTTTTATCTATAAACAATATTTTATCTAATAAGGATAACTGTATATCTACAATAATTATAATAACTATGTATATTATATCTATATTTATATAGTGTTTTTTAAATAATAATGAAATTGATTTATAAAATATTCCAAGTGCTCAAAATTTGAAAATATCGTGATAATGCAGCCAGTAATGACATTGGTTCAGAATTACAATTATGAGTATATTACAGGTGTACGTCGTGTAAAGGGCCCCGCCCCAGGTCTTCCGCTTCCAGAGAGAAGAGAAGTCAAAATGCAGATGTCCGTACAAGAGTTGCAGGTGCAACTTGATCTTCTGGAAACCCAGCAGTTGGGTCTCGAGCGTCAGGGCGTTCTCATAGAGCAGATGATACGGGACAAGTGTGAGGGTAAATTTACTTTTGCACTATTATCGCTATTCACGCTTTTGTAATATTTTTAATTTATTGTCATTATTTTACGCTTTTTTTTGGTTATGTGTATATGACGACACGTTCAGTTCGTAGTGATCCTACTTGCTGTGCCAGCGGTCGCGGATTCGAGTCCCGCTGGGGACATTCATTTGTGTGTTGAGCACGAATGTTTGACTCCAGTCATGGGTGTTTATATTTATAATATGTATATATTTAAAGTTATATACGTGTAGTGTATCAACTATCTGGTATCCATAACACAAGCTTCGTAGGACCATGGATAGATAATAGATGGTGTGTTAAATGTTAATGTCCCAACATATAAGAATAGACTAATCTAAAGTAAGAAGCATTTTTAAATTGAAAACAATATAATTAATTATTAAATACTTAAGAAAGTTAATCCATAAGATTATCGTAATCGTTGAAAAATATTTGTTATATCGTTTAAAGTTGAGGTTTATTAGCCTTCGTTATGATAGGATTCTTAGTGTGCATGTTCTGAATAACAATCACGAAGCACATCACGACACGCATTGTTTAATTCTTAGTCAGCTAAGCAACCGCCATCACGTGCATGATGATTACATATTATAATAATATAGGTACTCCTTCACTTTTCTAATTTTAAATGAAAATATTTTTCGGATTTTGTTTTTTTTTCCTGACGTTTCGAATGTTTTACAGCAAACATAGTCACGGGGAGACTACCCACAAAAATTATAAATAGACAAATGGTACCGAAGTACCTTTTATTATTATTATGAAGTACCTTACAATATTTGTTAATTTTAATATATTTTAATAATTTATTTATATAATTTAATATTTAATTGTATTAATCATTTTATAAATATACTAACTATAGTTATTTTAAACAGTTAAATATTAAGCAATGTTTTTGCCCCATTTACTTATAATAAGAAAAAAAAAATATTAATTCGAATAGCTGCTATTTAAAATTCATATTATTAAACAAAACTATAGTCATATGTAATGGTAAAAACATTACATAATATTAATTTGGATTATTATTATAATACTTTCTTAGATTTACGCGAGTATTTGACATTTTAAATAAAACTATTTTTTCGGATTTTTGTGCGGATTTATTTCGCGAAACGTCGGGAACCAAAAATGCAAATAAATCCAAAAAGACAGTTTTATTTAAATTGGATTGTTATTATTATGATCTACAGACTACACAGTATGAGTTTGGTACATCTTACGGTATATTATGTTTATTTTTGTTTTATATTTTATTATATTAATTACATGATTTCACGATTGTGGCAACACCCAGCCATTTTCCCTATTCAAAATAAAATTTTTTTTTTAAATTTAACATCTTTGTGAACTATTCTAAAACGAAAACGATGTTATTGTGCGTATTTCAGGTTTATCAAATCTAATGTCTAATCACGAAGCCAATCTTGACTATGTTGACAGATCGCAGACTTTGTATTGTGACGGTTACGTATACGGTATATGTTTTTTGACTCGAGTTCTAATGGCTCTGTTTGTTTGTCTGTTGTAAGAGATTCCACAAACCCTGTGACCAAATTTGCTGTAAAGCATTCGAAACATCGGGAAGAAAATTATAACATAAAACCGCAATATATGAAAAGATAGATTCATTTATAATGTCAAATATTCGCGTATATCTTAGAAAGTATTAATACAAAGAAATCAAAATTTTAATGCTAATTATCATTTCGATTATTATCTTATTCACTAAGTCGATGATATATGGTTTGGTTTGGTTTTTTGTTTATTATTAAAGATAGGATATGGTTCATTAAACAGTTTAGCAAGATAAAATCTATTCATCAGATTTTTAGTAATTTTGTACCTATATGCATAAGTGTGTTTGTTGGTTCATCCTGCTTTCCTGTGGGAAATGTTGATATGATGAAACATTCATCTGTGCTGTGGCACAGACGGACGTGATATGGCAAAAGAAACAGTTCATGGACTAAAGAGAGACTTATATACTACTATTTCTATACAAGCCTATACGTCAAGTATTATGATTGTTATTTTATTGCAAAAAATTGCCAGAGGATATTTAGGCCCGATCCACACTATAGTGGCGATCACGGTTCGTTCTCAGTCGGATATCGGTCGGTCGGTAAAGTACTTTTATACAAGAAACAATAAGTGTATTCACAGTTCACACTATCAGTAAGAATCAAGTTCCGGTACAGTCACACTCCAGCAAAGTTTTTTTTATAAAAATACTTTAACCACGCCGTTATCGGGCCGAGAACGGTCTGTTGTCGGCACTATAGTGTGGATCGAGCCTTAAGATTCCTTTAATCAAAACAGAAACGTCTGCAACATTCATTTTATAAACATTAGAACGTCCTCTTGACCAATGAAAGAAAAAATTGTACTGACATCATAATTAGTCAAAAGTGATTGCTTGTAAATAAACCTATGTAATTCATTAGGTGACGACGGACCGACCGCGCCTCAGGAGGAAATCGAAGATCTTGTCATACAACTATGTGAACTGGTCAACGAGAAAAATGACCTGTTCAGGAAACAGACAGAACTAATGTATATGTGAGTAAACTCATTCATTCATACAAAACCTTATACGTACAAACGTAATGCTAAACATGTGATATCGATATCAGGACTGACCTTCGATGACAATATATTGTAATGAATAGATGATACAAAGTAATAACTTCGCAAATCTAGTCTAAATAAAATAGAAAAATCTCGTTGTACAAATGTTTGTGTAATCGAATAAATATTTAGAATGTCGCTTAGATAAACTTACTGCTGATAAAGATATAAGTTCAGATAACTCGACGTACCTACCTATTTGCGTTTCGTTAAAAAAATTATTTACTTCTAGCAAACATTTTTATTAGTTTAGGTAGATCATAAAGCGATTTGATACATTTACACAGGACCGGCTTTAACCATCTAGACGCCCCTGTCGAATCATTCATTTGGTGCCCTTTTATATTTCTAAATCTAAATGATTTGATGATCATTTTTCGGCAGCGTCCTACTAACCCTATTTAAAAACTTCAATACGATCCTATCAAAAGTGACAAAAGCCACATAGAAACCAATACATATTTATTTGTTTCTATGTGGCTTTGGTCGCTTTTGATGGGATTCTATTGGACTTTTTCAACAGGGAAACCAGGGGAGGTTAGCCATTGGGTTTTAGTGGATATTACTGGCTTTTCTAGCCTGAGCGTCCAACATACTGGTTGTATGAATGCAAGTGGTTACACTTAGATAAACGTTATTTTACTTCTTTTTTTGATTTAATATAGATGCTAATTGTATGACAGAATGTATTTACTCACATTCTATGGCCAGGAAATCGGGAACCACAAATTAAACCAATTATACATATTTTACTTTGTTTCAATTCAAGATGTACGAGGATTGAGTGGATTGTATTTGAGAGATATATTCTTTAAATAACTCATGCGTAATTAACAGGGTATAATCAGTTTTATATAAGATATTTTTAATATTTTAATACAGTTATGTATATATATATATATAAGAATTGCTCGTTTAAATATATTAGATATAGTTAAAAGCTGTTATTTTGACATTACAAACAGACACTTTAATTTTCTTTATCTGTGTAGATTACGCACAGTCGCAGGTAAAAGCTCAGGTAATTATAATAATTAAATAGTGTTACTTGAAAGATTAATTATATGACGTAACATATCTAATCAATATGAATAACAATGGAACTAACAAACACTCTCACTATAGGTATGCCTACTAAAGGACACGTTTTACTCATTTTTAGATATCTTTGGATTATTTTGAAGACAGTGATAGTATTCTCCTGCGACATTCGTCTTTTTATATTTTAATATTAAAATAAAGAAAAACCCTATTATTACTTACTTTTATTTGATAATACAATATGAATTTTTTTTTAGGTTTTTTAAGTCATACTCTAGGTATATTTGAACACTGTAACTTGAAACGAAAGTATAAAATAATTTTGAAATATATTCAATTTTTATTTAGACGGCGACAACAAAGACTGGAGCAAGAACAAGCGGACATAGAACATGAAATTCGGATAATACAATCGCAACCCGCCGTAAATCGCATCGACGCCGATAAGGTAAGTCCCCCAATATCGAAACACGTACAATTACAGACATTCTTATTAACACGACGTAAACACTTTATTGATAAATAATTTTAGATTGTGCATATATTGTTAACTGTGCTAATACATACGACGTTGGTTTTATTAACTTATTATTTATCTTATGAGGTAAACCCCCTGTTTTAAAGTTTATAAACTATGTTTGCTTTCGCCACTCTGGTCTCCGGTCTACCGCATTCGATAGGTTCGGACATTTTTTTTGTTAAGAAGAAGAAGTCAAATCAGCGCTTAAAATTTGCCATTTTGATTTTTAATAATATCCATATACCATGACACTCACGTTATCAAGTAGAATTTAATGACGTATGAATCATCAAAATCGGTTGAACCGTTTAGTATTTATTTATGAGGGAATTTTACAGGTCAAGACATAACCCTTCTTTGGGCTTTGCCACAGTCGGCTCAAAAGGGCTGATTAAAAATTTGCTATATCTTTATTCGCTCAGCTCTTTCCACTGTTTTTAAGCGATATCGCCCATCTCTCTCGTTTTGCATTTTACACATAAAAAAGTACAGAACATATGTACACACAAATTCACACATTTAAAAACTAGCATTTTAAATACTACTGTGACAAATATTTTAATAAAATAAAACGCTTACATTATGAAATTATGTACGATGTATATTATATACGCTACATTTCAGATTTCAATTTATTACAGAAGTAGTTTTATATCAGTAACTAGCGACTCACTCTCGCTTCGCTCGGGTTCGTCCTTAGGTTGATTCCCAATACAAACTTTTATCCCCATTTTCCCTTAAGGAATGATTTCCGGGATAAAAAGTATCTTATGTCCTTCCCAGGGTTTCAAACTATCTTCTTACTAAATTTCATCTAAATCGGTTCAGTAGATCCAGAGATTACCCCCTACAACGTCACAAACTCACAAACTTTACCTCTATAATATTTGTATAGATTACTCACCTATTATGCTTGAGCCCTTGCGCATATGGGAAAGTCCTTGCTACTTGTTTTAATAGATTTTCAGCTTCCTCATAATATATTAAGTACTTTATTTAGTTGTATCTATATACCTTATTATTTGCATAATTGCATATACCTGTAACAATTTTGTTTACTAATCATGAAGAAAAGGTTTTAGTGTTGTTATATACTTACGTATTATTTTATTACGGTTGTTAGAGAGGTTTTTATAAATGCACAATACGTACATTAAATGTTTACAAGTAAATAAAATAATGATTTCTAATTGATAATTATAACACTCTATTCGATAATAATTAATAATTAAAACTAAAAGACAAATTTTGAATAAACTGAAATGCACTGAGCGGCAAAGTTATTGTTATAGTCGTTAAACCAAAAATGCGTATAAATATCTTACATATATGTATTTGAAAAACTTTTTCAAAGCATGCCAGTAGAACACAGATTCCTTCACCAATGCGACGTTACGTAGAATGGAGAAGACACGAGAATTATATCTATCGCTAATAAGAAATATTATATAATAATCTTATATATAAAATTTCCATGTCACAATGTTAGTTACCGTACTCCTCCGAAACGGCTTTACCGATTTTTACCAAATTTTATATGCGTATTCAGTAGGTCTGAGAATCGGCTACTATCTATTTTCCATACCCCTAAGTGATAAGGGTGGTCCACCCCAAAAAAAAATGTTATGATTCGGCATTAAAAAATACACACAAACCTAAATTTTCACTAGGGACGAACCCGAGCGGAGCGAGGGTGAGTCGCTAGTATTTATATAATATTCGCTCGGGTTCGCCCCTAGGTACATTTTATTTTTTTAAGCGGAACCCTTATTCTATTAATGAAATAAAAATAGCCTCAGTTACTCCTTATAACATCAACTACCTCTCAGTGAAAGTCCCGTCAAAATCGGCCCAGCCGCTTCGGAGATTAGCCGGAACATACAGACAGACAGACAAAAATTTAAAATTGTGTTTTTCTTATACATAACGTATATATGTAATTCCATATGCACTTAGTAAAAAGCTGTTATTTTTACATTACAAACAGACACTTCAATTTTATTTATTTGTGTAGATAGATGTATAGATAAGTAATTGGGATCCGCCATAAGTGTGATGTGTGTGCAGGTGCGCGAGGAGCAGCTGGTGACGCGGCTGGTGGAGATCGTGCGGCTGCGCGACGAGCTCGTGCAGCAGCTGGACGCCGAGCGCCGCCGCGAGCGGCAGGAGGACCTCGCCATCGCCGCCTCCATCGCTTCCAAGAGAGGTACACATTTACACCCTCAAATCAAATCAAAATATACTTTTAAAATAAAACTATCATATCGGAATTTTTCGCGATCACAGAAGAGACTGCTCTCCATTCAAAACTAGCCAAGTCAAATCTAGAACTTCAATTTAGCCTAAGTTATCTTCTCTGTGTAAATAATTCGACTGTTCAAATTTTAGAAGTCCTATTTTTAAATAGCAAACACTTTTGTATCTGAAAAAAACAAGAAATTATGTTTTATATTTATTTTAGAATGTTGTATGTTCTTATGGAAAAATTCAGGATTATCTACAGAACTTGGCACCCGTTTAGATCTCTATTCTTTTGTCGGTTAAGTTGACAACCACTGACCACGCATATTCTTAATATTGAACTTGACTCCCATTTTCACATTTATGTTTTTGATGGGATCTCTCCCACAAAAAAATCTATTAGAGGAATATCGTTAGAGGAAACAAACAGCAAATAAAGAAAGTATTAACAAATAGAGTCAATATGTTATCAAATTACAGCCCAAAGGCACAGCGAGTCGAACAGTTCATCAATGAAGTCGGCCGACGCAATCACACCCGTCAAAAAGAACAAAGTAAAGGACAAAGTTAAGAAACAATTGAAAAAAGCAAAACACACACTTATTTCCAAGAAAAAAGACGAAGAAAAAACAGACAAGGAGAAAAAACCGAAATGAATTTATTTACACATGATTTTATTTTACTACTAACATCGAATATAAGAGTGCCGTACGTGTTAAGGGTTTCGTATTATAACAAATATTTACTTTACATAAAATTTAATCATTATACTATATTATATTTATATAAAATCGTCCAAGTTGGTATGAATATGTGAAGAGGAGGGATGAAACGCATGTGACGAGGAATGACGGAGATGAATTTAGATGGATGGAGAGGAATCGGAAGACCAAAGCAAAAATGGACATTGGACATATTGTGTGAGCCAAGACATGAAATAGAAAGCGGTAAATAATGAGATGATGAGTAGTAAGTAACTTGGGAAAGGGGCAGGGAAAAGACGACATATATCCATATAAAAATAATTAATATTAATAACTTAGATAAAAATAAATTAACTGATTATAAACTATTTATATCACCATTTTTATAGCCCTTGGCTATTTAGCCTTATATAGCCCTTGGCTCAAAACAATAAGTACGAAACCCTGAAAGGTACGGAAAAAGATCTTAATAAGTATCATAACTTAAATGGCGTGTAAAGTACTTAAGACTGAAGCATTCCAGTAAATCAAAGGAATACGAAATATCGGATTTGTAAAGGTATATTTTAAGATGTAGGATCCATTACTAAACTAAACAATTTATAATTTAGTAAGTTATTGCGAACTAATATTTAATAATTTAAAAAAATCATATCAATTCTATTTTTAAAATTAGAATAGATCCAGTTTGTTGTACATTTAGAACTCACTACTAAGCTTAATTAAAAGTATCTGATTCTTATATTGTTGTACAAAATATTAAATACTTACATATAAATATAAATTATTTCATGTTATAATTTTCGTCAGAAAAAGAATTGTGAACATTTTTGTTGTTAAATTAAAAAAAAACATTTATCATTCATCCACTAAATGAATCTCGATGTGAATATAACACAGTTGTAATAGTTGTAGAAATATTTTAGCTTTTTCGTTTTTCTTTCACCTGTCAGATAAGTACTAGTACTTAACTGAATGTATGAATACTTTTGTTACAGAATAATGCCGGTTTACATTTATTTTATTACTTTGCACAAATGTTTCGGCAGACTGTAAACCGAATGACATGTCATTCTACGTGATACAGACATATTACATTTCATATTTCACCCTATGAACTGATTGCGTCCAGCTAAGGGTCTAAGCACATCCTCATAATCACATCATATATAAACGCGAGTTTAATAATAATCGTCTTAGTTTATTAGTGCGCTGATAAATAAAAAAAACGTGTGTGTGTGTACTTATGTATAAGTTATACTTCTTTGGCGTAACAGACTCTCTGTTTGTGAAAGGAATGCAGCTAACTTCATGTCGCTTTTTGGCTGTCGGTGTGCGCGCGCATGGTAGAAATGTTACTTTTATATTTTTTCCCAAAAGTGCCAAAAGAAGTATAACTATCGAGACTAACGTGCGCATCATTATCGCGTTAGAAAGTCGTCATGTGCATAGGCCCTTAGAGCAAAAATGTTGTAAAAAAATGTATGTATTTATAAATTAGTGCAAAAATGTTTAATTCCTCAGATTCATGTATTGGTGCTGGTGGTGCTGATATACAATCTGTGATATTGCATTTGCTGTAATTATTAGTAAATTATTCTAGTAAAGTTGATTGGCTAAATAATTGCGATCGGTTGGATTGGTTAAAATCATGTACAGAATAACTGTCATGGATTTACAGCACTCGTAAAAAATTAGACATTGATATTAGTTTTTTTTTTTTAGATATGTTGATATAAAAACGTCTAATTATCAATTCATAAAATAACACAAACGCACTAAACGAAGCATTTATTAGATATCAATTGCTAAGTAAACAAAGCACCGCCATTTTGTTTACAATTTTTATTTCGCAATTCAAGCAAAACGTGCAAACCTATATTTTCTTACTGGTCTTGATTTATATACATAGATACGAGACAAAGTGTCGAAAATCCATCCATTCGGTAGCTTTAAAATATCACATGAATTTTTTGAAAGAGTAAAAAGAATGTAATGGAAGCAATTTTAGCATTTGATATTCTTTTGCTTTTTTAAACTACGCTTATTACCGCTTAAAATAAAGGTCTCGATTTCTTCTATATATACTTATACATTATACCATAAATTAAAATATATATATTAACAATTACATAGAATTATTTTTACATAAATACCTACTTAATTGTTTTTTAAGATTTAATTATTATTATACAATTTATATTAAATTAGTTTTTTTATCTCCTAATACTCTTTTGAGTATCACGAAGGAATACCAGGGCAAGAGACTTACGCCAGTCATTTACTTGAAAATTATTATTATAAAATTATAAACAGTACCACAGTGCCCATACTCATATCAAGAAAATAATAGCTTATCCCTAGATAAGGGTTTGAAATACTCTCCTAATATTTTAGTAAACCTACGTTTTGCACAATCACTTGATTTTTTGTTGCACATTACGTATATTTTAAAATAATACCTCTGTCTACCTAAAGATAAAAATTGCTGCTGTAGATACAGAAGACTTTGGCGTATAAAAATGCTTGTTTTATGCTATATCTGCCCCTATACTTAGTCGACATCCATTTAAAATGGCCTCTTGTTTTCATTCTTACTGCCTTTCAATCTTCATTTCAAGAAAATCTTTATATCTACTGTAGTGATTGAATTTAAAACTAATATATCTAATCCAGATCATTGTCCTGACTATGATAATAAAAATTGTTCCATTGACATTCTTCACATTTGATACACGATTAAGAAATAAATCGCATTTATTCATTCACCACATCTCAAACATTCCTACGTTTCTACTGATTATATTTTATACTGCAATCACACTCAATATAATGAGCCAACTTTATTGAATTCTTACTGGATTTTTGCGTAACTGTAACTATACCTATTACCTACTAATGACTAACAAATATTATACTAACTGTTAAAACATGCTTTATATAAAATAAATAGAAATTTATTTTGTTAATTAGGTGATTCTTTTAATTGACATAACTTTTTTTATGAACCAATTGAATTAGCGCGCACAAACGCAAAGACAAACAGAGAAAAAATCTAAAAATCATTGTTTTGGGTTCTCTTGGTTAATAAAGATCCCAATAATAGTTTTTCTCAAATATCTTTCATCATGATCAGTTACAAATTTATTATATGTATAGATATGACTAAACAAGAACAACCTAAACGCCAAGTTTAGGTAATGTTAAATCACATTATTTATCTCTAGGAATGTTATAAATACTTGTTTTTTTATTTTATTTTGATATTTCACTTTTTGCTACTTGCTGTCTACACTATATTTCGAATATTTATTTTAACAACAGTGTATACATGGTAACTAACCATTTTAACGGCAATAAACTTCGATTTACTTTTAACATCTATTGTAAGCTCAGACCAATAAAAAAGTACTTTTTTTATTGGTCTGAGATTGTAAGTGCACTTGAATGGGTACAGGCAAAGAATGCCCTAATGAATAGATTACGAGGAAAAAACAATTTAAACTTTAGGAGTAAAATATTTTTATTCAGATCAAAGCATGCAGTAATTTGTTACTATGTAGATTTTTGGACAATCCTTTACCTTACCTTTACCAGTATGTCATGGACTGTGGACATACCCAATTCTTTTTGCTTTGTGCGTAGATAAAAACGTATTTTCAGCGACATCCGTTAAGTTTTTGTAAAAACCAGTAGTTGGGAACGTAAGTACCATTAGACAGTTTCTTTACCAGTAAAAAAAAGTGACATTCGCTGTTCTTTGCCTTTACCCTTCACTTGAAGTATACCTATATATGCATAAAATTAATATACTTTATTTTTTAATTTGAACAATTGTTTCATTTCTTTTCAGTTATTTTCATGAAAGAAACATAAATAACCAATATGACAGAGACAGAATTAGTTGATATCGAAAAGCATAAAATTTGAAAGTTCGTCGTGTCGCCGCAAGCTGAAAAGTGGCGTAGCTTTCGTTTCATCCGCTCATGAGCATTATTGGGCGAATAATCGGACATAATATTATGTAGGTTAGATTGGCTCACTTCTTAGATAACTTGAAATCAATAATTATTAAATATCTCAAAGCGAAAGGTGCTTTGTGGTTGTGCCTGGTTTGTGAAAGCTAAACAAGTTATTACCCGCCTGCGCCAAAAGGAGGGCAATGTTATTCGAGTGTATGTATATATGTATATTTCTTTGGCACGCTCTGTAAAACTAAACAACTTGATAGATTTTAGTTTAAGAGGTATATTTGTCTTAATTGAGTGACACTGGTTATATGAAATTTAAAATGGCCATTTTTGGCGCCATATTATTTTTCCAAAAACTGTTTCTTCTCAAAACCTATCGAGTGGGTTATCAAAATAAAAGCGGTTTTATAAATGGCTTACAAAAATATATACAACTTTTATGTTTAAATGTAATTTGGAATGAGTAATGCTAAAAAATAACAAATAAAAATTATTTATAAAAATAAAAACGCGACTGCGTAAAAAGCGAACTCAGACCAATAAAAAAGTACAGACGGAGCCGTTGTAAACAAACGCGACGAAATAAGTGAAGCAAAGTTTTGACTTTGTGTGCGTAACTCGGTGTAAGATAGCGTAGATTTGCGAATGTGTGCTAGAGAAAAATGTTGCAAGCGTTGTGCTTACGACTCCCAAGTGCGAGATATATTATACTTTGGTGAAAAGTTTTATTATAAGTAGTATTGTTTTTTATTTGCTTTGGTTACATGAAATAAAAGGTAATTTAGTTTAATGAGTCATTCATTCTTATATAAAAATAATTATTAATTTAACAAAAACACACAGAACTTACATATATTAGGATAATTATAACTAATTCCCCTTAAATTGTGTTAGTTTTTTATACGTCTGGCGTTTTGAGTCACAGCTTTTAAGTAAAGTTTCTTGTTTTGCAATATGGTGAAAGCTTATATTTATGTATTTATTAATTACAGATCTTATTAAACTTGATTGGTGTTCTATGCCATACATGTTATGGTCACCTTCTAAATTTGAAAATGTATGCTGATTACCGATAAATCTTTTGAGAATTTGTGATAGTACATAATTGTACTGGTTTATTGATGTAATAGTTATTCCTTCTTTAACCATTTTCCTTATCACCAACTCACACGTACAACATATATTATACGTATCTAACGAAGGAACTTAAGCCACCTTTGTCTCTCAATGTTATGAATTTATGAAAATATTAGGACTTTTTGGAATAATAATGCAGATTTTACACAATGAATTTTTATTTAAATGAAGCTCACCAAAGTACAAAAACACGGCGTCCACCATTACAGATTGTCAAGAACAGAGTTGCCAGTGTTACAAATCAAAATAAGTGTTGCCTTACATAATAGGTACCTACAGCATATTTAACACACCCCCTCAACACTTAACTTTTGATTAAAAACTTACATAAACTAATATATCACTACTGTCTAGCCCTTAACAACATTAAGAAGAAAACTACCCCTTAATAACACAATGACACACTGGCCTTTACAAAATAAAATACAAACATCCACTTAACAAATTCAGTATTAAAAACAAAACAATTCTGACACAACACAAAATAAAATCACCTCTAGATGGAAAACTTATTTTAAAATCTTACTTCTAAGTTTTACATACAATTGTCTTCCTAAAGTCTTAGTAAACACATCACCAAGATTATCACTACTACTAACATAGGATAGACTTACACAACCATCATTTATTTTTTCTATGATAAAATGATATTTAACATCAATATGCTTAAGCCTCTTATTACTGAAGTTGTTTTCTGCTATTTTTATTACACTCTGATTATCCTCATAAATATTTACTTTTAATTTAAATTCAAAATCTAATAACAAGCTTTTTAACCAACATGACTCAACAATACCTAAACATAGTGCTACATATTCTGCCTCGGTTGATGATAAAGATACACATAATTGCTTTTTAGTACACCAAGATATTACACAATCAAATACTTTAAATATATATCCTGAAGTAGATTTCCTATATGTTATATCTCCACCCCAATCAGCATCAACATAACCCTCCAATTTATCATTACCATTACAATCATACATCAATGACAAATCTACTGTACCTTTCACATATCTCAAAACACGCTGTAAACATTTCAATAGCAACATACTGGCACAGTGCTGATATCTACTTAAGAAACCAATCGCTACACACAAATCAGGCCTTGTAGCATTAGAAGCATACAGTAAATTTCCAATTATCTGCCTACATTTAAATTCGATTTCTTTACTTTCTGAATTTTCCCTTCTTAACAATTCAAACTTAAAATTCTGATCAATGAGTATGTTACAAGCTTTACAATCAGACATCCCATACTTTCTTAATACTTTTAACAAATACTCCTTCTGATTTATAACAGTCTTTCCATTTTCTATATCCTGTTCAATGCTAATTCCTAAATAATTACAAGCCATACCTAAATCTTTCATAGCAAAGTTCTTACACAACTTCTCCTTAAACTTTCTGATCTGTGTGTCACTATCACTAAAATATAGCAAATCATCGACAAAAATTAGCACATAAATGGAATACTCCTTACAACATTTAAAATATAAACATGGGTCGTTCTTGGATTTTATGAAACCATCACTACACATAAAATCATTAAACTTTCTATTCCAGTACTTGGGACTTTTCTTCAATCCATATATTGACTTATTTAATTTACCTATTCCTCCATTAGGTAGTTTCATGTATACAGGTTCATCAATGTCACCATAAAGAAAGGCTCCTGTTACATCCATTTGGTATACTGGAAGTTTCTTTCTGGCTGCCACAGCTAACATTGTACGGAAAGTAGTCAAACTCGCAACGGGGGCATAAACTTCTGCACCATCCATATCAGTCTGCTCAAATCCCCTAGCAACTAATCGGGCCTTGTATTGAATTTCTTGGCTAGGATTTTCTTTTATTCTGAACACCCATTTACTGTTTATTGCCTTTATCCCCTTGGGCAGCATCGCTACTTCAGTCCATGTATTGTTTTCTTTCAATGTAGTTATTTCTCTGTTCATAGCTTCTATCCAATTTTCTTTGTCTTCGCATTCCATGGCTTCTTTTAAAGTACTAGGTTCATTATGCACGCTTATAAAACCAACTTCATAGTCATGAAACCAGTTAGGTGCTTTTCTAGAGCGTGTTCTTCTAGTATTTTCTAAATTTACTGGCATACTTTCATTTACTTCTTGAATTTCTTCATGCTCTAAAATTTCCTCTTCTAGAAATTCAACTTCTTGCATCATATTGTCATTGACCTGACAATCCTCGAATTCTACACTTCCTTCAGTATCCGACTCAGACTGGTATTCTTCATTGTTCAGGTTTTCTTCTATATCTAAATATATACACTTTTCTTCCTGCTCTTCTCTTTCAGGTTTATTATGTTTCTTCACAAACGTAACATCTCTCACTATTTCCACTGCATTTTTCTCTGGAAAATAGATCCTAAACCCTTTAGTGTATTCTCCGTAACCTACAAAAATACCTTTTTCTCCTTTTGCATCGAATTTCCTTCTTTTTTCTTTCGGTATGTACACAAAGACTTCACTGCCAAATATTTATAGACCATTTACATCAAACTTCTTCCCTGACCATGACTCATAAGGTGTTTTTCCTTCTTCTTTGCTATGGTAAGTTCTATTCAGAGTGTACACAACTGTGTTAATAGCTTCAGCCCAGAATACTTTGTCCATTCTTTTTGCATGCAACAAAGTTCTTGCTCCTTCAACTAAAGTCCTCATATCCCTTTCAGCTTTTCCATTTTGCTCTGGACAATAAGTTACTGTAGTCTCATGTGTCACTCCATGCTCTGCTAATAAAGTTTTCATTTCTGCATTCACAAATTCAGTCCCATTATCAGTGCGAAGTGTACAAACTGTATTATTTAATGTGTTTGCCTTCATAATAAATTCTTTAATCTTTTCAATAGTTTCCGACTTGTAAGTTAAGAAATAAATTGTCCTATAGTTTGAGAAATCATCCTTTAATAAAAGAAAATACCTTGACCCTCCTATTGACTTTTCTTCCATCGGTCCACACAAATCAGCATGCACCAACTCGCCTGTCTTACTTGTTGTACTTCTACTGCTATCAAATGGTAATCTATGCTGTTTACCTTTTACACAAGCTGTATGTGTCTATTGGTGATTCACTATAATCAATATTATTTTTCTTTAAAATGCGTTTAATTTCCTTATAATTCTGATGTACTAACCTCTCATGCCACTCACTTAACTCAACTTTAGCTACATTAGCCTGCAAAGACTCTGACTTAAAATCCATTACATACAGCTTAGAACATGATTCCTTATTAGCAATAGCACACACTCTATTATTCTTTGAAAATACACACTTGTCATTTGTCATACTAACATGAAAACCATTGCATACCACACTACCTACAGAAAATAAATTAATTTTTAATTTAGGAACATGCAAAACATTGTTTATTGAGCAACAGACATATTCTTCACCATCAAATGCCATTATTTTTACTTTTCCTATACCTAAAGCATTTAGCTTTCGTCCATCGCCTATAATAACAACTTTAGGAGTAGATAATTTTTCATATTCACAAAATAATTCCTTCTGATATGTCATATGGTGACTAGCACCGCTGTCTACTAACCATTTTTCATCTATTGATCGATCACTTGCACTAACTAGCACTGTAGATACAAAAGCACTTTCAGTTTTCTTATTACCTTTGTCACTATTTTCTTTATCTTTCTTATCATTTTTACTAGCTTTACATTTATCCTTAAAATGACCTGGCTTGTTACATTTAAAACAAACATTTTTAAGCTTGCAATCTTTCTTTAAATGACCTGGCTTGTGACATAAAAAACATTTAAAATTACCTTTATTTGTACCTTTTTGACCTTTAGAAAACAATGCTACACTTTCTTCTGCCTTACTACTACACTTATTATTAAGCCGTTCTTCTTCTACCAAGAGCCGTGCCGTTAAGTTGTTCATAGTCTGTTTTTCTTCTGCACACGATTCCCAAGCACTAACAAAGTGAGCATACTTCAGTGGAAGTGACATGATGATCTTCGACATAGCCATCCTGTCGGTTACCGCTTCTCCCAGTCGTTTCAAGGTCTGCTGCTGCTCCTGCACTTTGGAGATGAAGTCCGCGACACTCATGTCATCTTCAAATTTTAGGGCAAAGAATCGTTGTTGTTGTAGCATCAGTGAAGTTTCTCCACTTTTTTCATAAATACTGTGTAGCCGACTCCACACTTCGTGAGCTGTTTGACAAGTAATTACGTGATGTAGAACTGGTTCCGCCAATCTTGTCACAATTGCACTCATCGCCTTTATATCCTTCTCTACCGACGCCTGCTCGGGCTCCGCCGACGCCTGACCGGTCTTTGTAGTTTCCGCCGCACCGCCATGTTTGACATTAGGACTCGAGACAATTTTGTACAATCCTTGATCCCGCAAAATCACGGTCATCTGGAATCGCCAGACACTCCAATTCCTCGCTCCTTCCAGCTGCACTACGCCGAGCTTTTCCATTGTGTTATTTTTGTCTCACAGTGACAAAACAAACGAGCGACGCCAATATTTCCGGCCGCCACCACGTTCCTTCTTGCTTGTCGACACCCGACCAAGCTCCTGCCGTACAGTTCCAAGAATATCTTCACCTAAATACGGTTACAGACTGGGCCCATAACCTATTAGGACTTTTTGGAATAATAATGCAGATTTTACACAATGAATTTTTATTTAAATGAAGCTCACCAAAGTACAAAAACACGGCGTCCACCATTACAGATTGTCAAGAACAGAGTTGCCAGTGTTACAAATCAAATAAGTGTTGCCTTACATAATAGGTACCTACAAGCATATTTAACAGAAAATCATGTCTTTCTGAAGACAGCAGCTGGGACATGCACGGTTCACATTTTTTTTTTTGATAGGTAATGAGCGACCCCACCAGCTATTCTTGATTCGACGGTAAACCACCTTTGGTGTTGTATATATCATTTGCTCAAAATGTAGTGAACAAACAACACTAAATTTTGAAGGAAGCCACTCGACATCATTTCTGTTGTCCCGTAAAGCTTTAATCCAGTTTTTCTTCCGCGTTATATCAGCTGGGAACCTAAAATATATCATATCAAACATATCTATTATTTGAATATATTTTATAAATACTTACGTATAATAATATACCTAATATACTCGAAAACTAAAATACAATAATAAGATTTAAAAAAAAATAAGTTGTAACTTCCCTTACTTTTGGGAAAATATAATGTTCTTAACTTGCAATACTGACACAATGGCGACTAGAATTCGTGTTCGGAGAATTATTTCAAATATTTTTAGTTTTTGCTTAAATTATACAGAAAATCAGTTACTTGTGGAAGGTTATCCCAGAAGACTTTTTTTGAAAACATGAATTGTTTTTGCAGCAGTTTATGACACAAGACGGCATAATTTCACAATTATTATTTTACCAACACACGTCACGCGCTCTCACTCGCTCGCGGCCGACTACCGAGCGGCCGTCTTCTTACGGCTGAATCGTCTTCCTATTACTTGTATCACTATATGTGCGCAATGTTCTGTTTATACTTTTTTATTGGTCTGAGAAAGCGAATTAAAAAGATGAGAACAAGTTGATGCAGTAAAATACTCGTAGTATTATGCAGAAACATACACACACGCAGCTATTAATAATACTATGTTCCTACGTCAACTTGTTTTCATCTTTTTAGTTTGTTATTTACGCGGTCGGTTTTTTTTGTAAATAATTTTATTTCTTCATCCACAACATGTCAATATTACGTTGAAGGTGTGGTATTATTTATTCAGAAGCCATACCACAAAAAGAATATGTTTGCTATTTTAGCATTTTTTCGCAACATACATTTTTTCCAAAATCTGTGAATGCCATTCAGAATATCTCAAAAAATTATGGGTGGTGTCCTAGGAACGTTTTCCTGTAACTATAGCAGTTAAGGTACCTGCCCTTACTGTTCCATCTCAAAAATCGACTCTGTATATAACCTTATAACATTCCTCAAGAAATAGGCTATCTAAGATGAAAAGATTTTTTCAATTCGTATTCATAGTTCCTGAGATTAGCGTATTCATTATTATTTTATATATTCATGTACTTATCGAGTACATAATAAAATAAAAGTTGCCTTTAACAGAATGTGGCAAAATGTTCTTTAGGGAAATCGTTAGGGAAAATAATAAAAACATCATCATTATAAAAAAATATATACTTGATTTAAGAAAAAACATCTGTAAAATTGATTTATTCATCAGTATAACTATTGTCTATTTCAATACGTAAATTACATTGTTTAGATTTACTCAATTTTTCTCGTAGGTCATCTGATTTATGTTTTCTTGTTGTCAAAATTTGTCTTAAATCATTTTGATTTGTATTTTTGGCCACATTAGCTTCTAATCTTGACCACACAGAACTTTTACCATGATTTGTTACTTTTTGCACTTTACTCATTGTATACTGGTCAGTTTCATCAGATGAATATTCATCACTAGAATTTAATTGATCTTGTACTACTTTAACTCCTAATCTTGATTGAATATTTTTAGAAGGATAACTCGTTTTTTTATCTTTATATTTAAATTTGTCAGAAACCATTTTTGTTTCTCTTGGAAAAAATGTACTTCTTGAATTTACCACTTCAATGGATAATGGAGCAAAACTACTCTTATTTTCCTCATCATAATGATAAGTTTTTTGTTTAACTTGTTTTGATTCCTCATCATCAGCATGCATCCTCATTCTGGGAGTTTTAGACCTTTTTTTCCATTCTGAATCAGAATTACTACTATCTTCATCATCTTCAACTTTATGATTCCTTTTTCCAAGACGCATGGCAAGTTTCTTATTTTTTAATTGTATAGTTTCAATTGGCTCATCATATTGATCTTCAAAATTTGTTTTAGGAAATTTCCTTTTAAATATTTCTTGATGGTCATAAACTCCCCATGATTTACATAAATCACCCCATGGGTTTTTAGTCGGATTATTTATAATTTCCATATCACAAGTGTCATTCAATTTCCTTTCTGGCTTTTTTATAGCAATTTTCTTATCACTATTTGTAGCAAATCGTATCAATATTGTACCTCCCTTTGGATGTGGCATTGCTTCTCTCCAGTGATATGATGATTTATCCAATAACATCTTTTGGATCTCTTCATTTTTTATTTCTCTAGAATGCACTAATAAAGCTAATGCAGCAGATATATGATCTTGACATACCATATTACCTGGAATAAAAAAAAATCAAAACAAATAAAACATTTTAGCATACTTTTTCAACTCAAAACAATGACTACTTACAAGAATTATCATCAATACATTCTAAAGAAACAGGTTTATAATCCTCTAGATATTCAAAGATCGCTTTTGTAGTTAGTCCACTAACACCATTTAAATGAAGTGTGTCAAGCCTAAAATGTCTTTCATTTCCACTTTGAATTCCAAAGTTAATATACAGTTCATCAATTTGATGTTGTGTAATTACTTTGTTTCCGGAAAGATTTAACCCAAATCTTTTAGCCCGCTCTTCTAGTTTAGACGCATCCACTTTTTTTAATTCTTCAACAATAAGTCCGTTTTTATCAGCTTTATAAAACTGTAGAAAAAGAAGATCGAATAATTTAAATACATTTGACACAGTACAACACTGGTTTTATAATTTCATGTTTTAATTTATTACATACCAAGGTACTACTTATGTTATTATCAATAGTATGGGTTTCTTCATCGTCTACTAGCATTTCATTGTCATCGCTCATTTCACCTTCTTCTCTTTCTTGCTCCATTTTCGTAATAGACTATTGAAATGAATCAATCACGTCACAAACTTTGCAATTTAGGTAAGCTGATGTTATTTCTTCATGTTTATTAATTTATGTACACATATAATTATTAACATTAAACAATTGTGAGTATTCACTTAAAATATATACTAGTCGTCACAAAAACATTACATGAGCCACCTGCCACAATTCAGATTCACAAATCACAATGGCTCTCAAACACAATCACATTCACAAACAAAGCCACAGATAAATAATTAATAATTATTAAAAACCGGCGTAGACAGATAATTCTATAGACAACTCAAAGCGTGCCGCAGAAAGAGACAAAACAAAAAATATCACCATATTTAGGGAACTACCGTGTGAGAAAATATTTACCCCACAATCTGTGTGATTCGTTATGACGAAGTAAACAGAATATTGTCGCATATACTTAGTTATCTAGGTTGAATTAAATAACCTAGTATTAAATGCAAAAAATAAACAAAATACGTCGAAATTATATTGCCTAATGTAAAAAAGCAGAATTGTAGTCTGATTATGAATAATGAAACACTGGAAATAACTGAATCAGTTGTATTTTAATTTGTAAAAATAACCAGTAGTATAAAATAGTAGTCTATGGTGTTCCACAAATTGCTAGAATTAGAAATTAGTATATAAATAAGAGTCTGAAAATAACACTGATAAATCGATCATTATCGGTATAAACTGGGATGCGGAGGAATAATAAAGGTGTATGGACATGCTGCCGATGCCGAACTCCAACAAATTGCGATAGATGATGATAATGTGATTCTAAATTTTCTTATATGACAGTAGGTACGGACTTTGCGAGTAAATAATACAATATTGTTTATTTTTAATTACCTTATATTGACTTACAACTTCTAGTCCTTTAAATAAAACAAGCTTGGTATGAAGGTTTCTAATTTTTTGCTTTGGTTCAAATCGTTTTGATGCGTGGTGTATACGTAGTTCAAAATAGTGCATGGAGTTTGCTTTAATAAGTAAAATTTTATAGTTTCCAACAAAAGGTTGACTTTCAAAATGATTTGTCGTAAATACACCCTGGCACCATTTGAAAGTCGCTAAAATAAGTTTGGACAAAATACTTTTTCCGCAAAGAATGTAAGTTTCTTCTTTTTGATTAAACTTTCTTTGTCAAAATGTCTGCAGCAAATTTTTGATGACAGTTTTGGTGTCCAATCTGTTCGCCCTGTAGCTATAATCCAATTTCGACGTAAATTATCATTTTCAGGAAAACTGCAACAAACCATTAAATCTTTCAGATATGTAATTAAAATAATATTTAATGTATAATTATTTTTTACTAAATTATTATTTAATATTTAATGTATTTTTATTACTTGTAATTAACTGTCAATTGTACTTATTATTTCTTATTTTGCTCGCACTATTCCATGTATTATTTAATTGTGGAAACTTAATTGGTCGATGTTTTATATTTTATGTTTTGTTCGTAATTGTATTACTTTGTACTGTTTGTTTTCCAAATAAAATAAAAAAATACACACTGCAGATTATATACATATACATATTTCCCATAATAATGGGTAAAAATTTACAGAAAAGTTGGCAGCACCAAAGTTCTTAGGTTAGATAATTATAATAATTGTTATTTTTGTGCTTTTTTTATCCATTAATTTACATCTGGGGAACATTATACACAATATATGAACACAATAAAATGTTATTGTTACCTAATGACTGATAAAGAGTGCTGTACTTACGAATGAACCGACAAGTGCGGTATTTTCGTTCCACTATCACTTTTACACCCTTTAACACTACAACGCACCATGTTTTTTTTTTAAATGGCTTAAGTACTGAGTCTAAATTGTTCATTACAAAACTTATTTAACTTTAAAGCACCAAAAACTGTATTTTACAAGTAGACGATAGCTAGATGCACGCTAATTGTCAAACTTTGTTTAGCAAAGTAGTGTGCTAACCTTGAAATACGTGACACGCGCCGTGAAACAAAAAAACTTACAGTTCTGTTTCATTTCTTTACATGACATCCGCGTAAGTTGCTCTTTTTCTTGTGTGAATGCAACAAAAGTTATCAATTTGTCTATCGTATTCTCAGTCTACGTTAAAAACTATAGACAAAGGGGAAGACTTCTAGAAAAGCGGATGCCACACGTATCGCCTATGTACATTCAGTCTGAGGTATTTATTGTGATATCTCTTTTATACCTGATTTTTTGCTTCTATTGTGTTCGCATCTTACCTGTGCAATGTATAGTACCAGAAGTTAAACCACCTGAATGAAGAAATGAGAAGGAGAAGTGCATCCTGTGGTGACCTTGACTGAGACTGACTGATGGATAACGACCACTAAGCCCAATACACGCCTAATTTATGTAATTCTGCATCCAGACTAGGCATGGAACATTTCATGAGTAGCAAGTGAAAAATCATATGTAATACGATTTCATACGTCACACCTGCTACTTAAGTTCACAGTGACTGCTACAAATCATATCTCGATGAAATCACAGATCGTATTCGGATTTCATCGTAGAATTAAATCGTCGTCACTTGTCATTGCTATTTAGAGAGCGAGCGAGTAGGCATGATATGGGTATGTGGGCGAGTTAGAAAGAGAAAAATATATGTTGCTGATGCGTTATTACTTGTAAACAATAATATACCGTCGACTTCGTGACCTTTTAAAATAAACTTTAAGTCTAGGCGGATAAAGTTTAGATTTAGTTTAATTTGAATTTGTAGCAGGTCACAATTTATCACAAAGCACGAAATGAAATGAAATTACGTACCTATGTATTATTTTTCAGTGATTTCAACTGCTACTTTTCACAGGCAATGATTTTTAATTTCGACGGCCTGGTGTTACACTTTCATCATAGAGCTGTACAATATACTAGGGCTATAGTGATCGCGACATCTGGCGGGAGAAAAAGCAAAATACTTCCCCATTACTCTATACCCTATAGCATGTAAAATATTTATATCTGTTAAGTGACAGCTGACTGTCTGTGTACTCTAAATAATCTTTAATCTGTATAGTTTATGTGAATACCTATTTACTAGAGTTGTTTCTTATTTTTAACTTAATACATCTTTTATCTTCAAAATAAGCTGTTCAACGGTATTTAACGCGAACGAGATAGCTAGAACTGTAGCAAGTGACACTAAAGAAGACAATTTTAAAAATTAATCGTTGTCCAGTGTAGTTTTTAATAAATACTATTTATCATTACTAAAATGGCCTCATACATTGATATGAGTTTAGATGATATAATACAGAAAACGAAGAAAAGAAATTCTAAGTAACGTTCCTCCTAGCTTTATATAGTTCTATGGAATTGTAATAATACCCTTGGTGAATTAGATGTAAATGAATAACCTGAAGCACATTCTTTATACGTGCTCGAGGTTAAAGGGTAAACTGCATTAAATTTTACAGTTATAATTCACAATTTTAACTAATTGACTTTGGTTTTCAGATACAAATCTAATGTTAATAAACAAAAGCCACCTGTTAAACAAAATGTGGTAGACGCAAGAAATAAAATAATATCAAAAAAGCGTACCCAAATTGTAGATGCGAGGGAAAAGTTAGCAGAACTTGCCAGGCAAAAAGATGCACGCTTAAGACTAGAGCAAATGAGAGCAAAAAGGGTAATTTATCTTTAAAAAATATTTAGTATGGTCTAATAATGACATTATTTTTAATAAACAAAGCTTTAAAAAACTGTTTTAAAAGTATTAGTATAATTTATGAAATGTAAAACTTAAAATATCCTTGTTTACATACTATTAATTATATAATTTTAATACATAACTTGTATTCTTATACATTAGGCTATAAGGAATGTGCAAGGAGGATCAAATTTTCAAACTCCTAGAAAATTTACAAAACATCATGCAAAGATGGAACCAGGTAAATAATTGGAAATACTCAAAAATTATGATTATATTTTTAGTGATAAATGAGACTAGTGCTTCACTGTAATTTAAGTTTCTTAAAACTTGCATTGAATAATCTTTTCTTTGATAAGGAATCATACCTTTTTCAAGGTAAATAACCATAGGACCAATGAGATAGTCATAAAACTATATCTTATATAAGAATAAAATATGTTGACTTCCAGCAGACTTCCGAAAAGGTTTAGCATACACTAGACTGACAAAATGACTAGCATAATCCATACTAATACTTGTCGGTTTGGTGTTATTTTCGTGTGGGTGTAGTTAGAGGGCTGGGGAGTGACATAGCTTACTTTTTACCACAGGAGATTATCTCTTTCCCAAGGGAAAACACATTATAATGCAATCCAAAAAAATATGATCAGAATTACTTGAAACTTGGTATAAATGCTCTTCACTACAATTAATTAAATATGTGTATTGGCATTTTTCGAAATTCACCCCATAAGGGGGTAAAATAGCAGATGAAACTTTGTATGAAACCTACCTTTTTAGTTTTATTTTTGTAGTTTTAGCACGAGTGAAACCGGGGGTTCTGCTAGTTAAAATATAAATACAGGTATTCTTTTTTTAGTATTTACAGATCGTTCAAGACAAGTAATTTCACAGCCCTTAACAAGAAAAACACTTAGAAATCAAAGTTTCACTAATAAAAGAATAACGATGGACAGATCTATAGAATCTAGAAACTTGGGTAAATATAAATATGATATTTTTTAAGTTCAACTTGCAATGACTTCTGTCTTCTGATCATAATATATATATTATGATTGTTTTAGCAAAACCTTTGAAGCCAATTATAAGGACGATTGAAAATGATCTTGAAATTATTGATGATCCAATGGAAGAGGATCATGTCCCAGTAAGAACAGCACTTTCTAACGGAAGAACAGGCTTACAACTCAAAATAGTTACTCATAACAATAACATACAAAGGTACTTAGTTTGTAATTTATTTATATTGTTTTCTTTAGATTATTTGGATTATTTGCTTTGTCCTTTTTTTTCTTATAACACTTATTATGATTAATGGACAGAGCTATCATTGTAAAGATTTTGATCCATATTTTTTTTTGTAGTAGAAGTACTGTAATAGATAAAGAGAAAAGTCCACCAAGACCACCTTCCATTTTGAAAAAAAGGCCAATGGCAGCATTACGAAGTGAAAATAAAACTGAGAAGCCTGAAAAACCCAATCATGAATACAGGATCATTGTTAGTAATTTACGTAACACTGTCACAGCAGGAGATATTGAGGTAAGGATCTGAAAAAATATGGCTATATGGAGATAAAGAAATGACTATTTAATAATAATAATAATAATAATAATAAGTTCTTTATTTCCAAAAGGTAGTAAGTACATCCAGATATTTGCTTAACACTAACTAAATCTCATTTGGTACATACAAATATTTAAAACATAGCATCTGCAGCCGAACTAGGAGACCTGTGCATCAGCTGTCAGCGCCATATCCCCACGGTTAGGTGACATAAATATTACCAAAAAAATAAAGAATTACATATCAACTAAAGATATTAATTAATATTACTAAATATGTCATTCCTCTCTCTTAAGATGTGTAATGCATGACTGTAAGAAGTATTTGTGTAATGAGTGTAATGTGTGTGAGCAATTAAAGGAAAAATAGAAAAAAACTATATACTGCATTCATTTTAAAATGTGGTTTATTGTCTAAAATTGAGATAAACTAATTTAATAAAACCTAAATCCTGCAACTATTTTTAAATATTGTGATATTTTTAAAACTCATCCATTTTTTCTGGCCAAAAAAATATTAATGAAGGGTCGTCATAAGACAATTTTGATTCTAGGCATAACAGCTAGGTCTGGGCATTGTTGAAAATGAGTCGGCTGAGTTTTAAAAGGGGGTGTGATGCCAAATTTTTTTAATGAGTGTAAGTTACGGTATACCTACCATAATGGTTCAGAAATTGATCTGTTTAATATGCATCATGATGAATCAAGCAATAATATTTCTACTGTTTCAATATTTTGGTTAGACTTTTATTAAATTTAATTTAAGTTTCAATTGTACATCCTTGTAATATATAATAAATTATTCCTATAGTTTAGAATACATTGCCACCCACACCCACTTTCATTTGCACATGCAAAAATCAAATCTGCATCCTGAGTTGTATAAATAAGCAGTGAAGGTCAAACAGATCCTTCACAAAAATTGGTAAATGAATATTTAGATAAGGCATACTTTATGACTGAATTTCAGGAACTGTTTGGTGATGTTGGTGGTATGGTGGAGTCTCGCTTGGTTAGACCAGGAACAGCTGAAGTTATATATAAAAGTGTTGAAGATGCACAAGTAGCTGTTGATCTGTACCATAATAGACAACTGGATGGACAACCTATGAATTGTCTACTTGTCACTCCTCGCTCAACATCTACTTCAGCTAGGCAAGTACTGATTGAAAACACTAAGTTAATTCTAAGTACTAAGTTTTAGATTTTTTATACATTATTGTTTGTTCTAATGATTAAGGTAAACCTACAGTACAGTACAGAAGTAAAACATTTCTCAATTTTTAAAAAAATGTATATTTCCACATAAGGTGTAAGAAATAAAATCATAAATTCTGTACCAACTGTACCAACTTTTAGCTCTTTATTTTTTTTATTTCATTTAACAACAAGTACATGATAGTATACAAGGTTGAAACCCTCTTTTAAGTAACAATACCTGTGACAGAGGATTTCGCTCTTCCATAAATAGTAAGTTTTAGCTTAATTAGTTGACATGAAATAATTTAACGATACAGTTAACTAATTGAGAAAAAGTATGTTACAAACATATAAAGAAAAATATATATTCTGATATTTTAGTAATTATAAAAGTGTGATTTATTTGTGGCGTGTGTATGAGTGAGAGTGTGTGAAATTTTGTATGTATCTCTGTGCGTGTCGTTTTGTGTGTGGTGTATGTGTGTATCTTTGTGTGTGTGTGTGTGTGTGTGTGTGTGTGTGTGTGTGTGTGTGTGTGTGTGTGTGTGTACGTATGTGAGTGTACGTATGTGAGTGTATGTATGTGTTGCGTAGTTGAGTTAGTGTTTGTGTGTTTACACTTTGCATATTAAGGTCTAAATCGTCAAATGGAATTTTTTTAGAAGTTCTTCTGTTTTATCATAATCAAGGGTCAAGAGGAATTTTGTGACTTTCTTTTTACATTCGTGATATTGTAACGGGTAGATATTTAAGGTTTTATTAATTTTATTATAAATAAGTGCCGACAGGCTTTCAAATTGTCTCGACGCAAAAATAGTTTTTGTGGGATTACTAATCGCATTTACATATTTCCTTCTAGAGCTAAGAGTGTTAGGGTCAAAATTTATTTGCTTGTGTAGTCTCAGTACCATATGAAGGATGAATAATTGCCTTACAGTTAGTGAGCCTGTAATGGAGTAAAGTGATTGCGTCGAAAATCTGCGTGGCTTAAAGAACATGACTTTAAGTAGACATCTTTGAGCTCTCTCTACTTCCTTGAATTTAGTTTTGGACCCGTTTCCCCAGGTAGGTATACCGTAAGTTAGGATTGGTTGAGCTAAGGCAGTGTATATTTTCATTAAAAGTTCAGGAGAAGTTACGTGTCTCAGAGTTCTAAACATCCACGAAAGCTTCCTCATCCTGTTAGCTACATTGTTTATTTGTTGGTGCCATGATAGTCTTTGGTCAATAATGACCCCCAGGTATTTCGTGGTACGAACTTTCTCAATTACAGGACAGAGACAGTTGATTTTGTTATCACTAATGCAATAATGTATTCTTATATTGAAATTATCGTTTGGCTGTGAGTTGTCGTATAGAGCAAAACAGATGTAATTTGTCTTAGAAGTATTTAGTGTCAGGAGATTTGATTGAAGCCAATTTGCCACCTGTGATAGTCCATCTTCAGCTGTTTGTCTAACTTCTTCCCAAGATTTGCCATCAAATAAGATAACAGTATCGTCCGCGTATGAAATTATTTGGGCATTTCGAAGTTTTAAGTTACATAATCCGTTTATGTAGGCCAGAAATAATGTTGGACCTAACACACTCCCTTGTGGGACCCCGTATGTGATTTTAGCAATGTCGCTTTTGTAGTCATCAATTTTAACTATTTGTGCTCTGTCAGTGAGGTAGTCTTTAAGTAATTTTAGTGGTGTTCCTCTAACACCAAGTCGCTCTAATTTTTGCACGAGAATGGGAATGGATACAGTTTCGAACGCCTTTTTTAAATCTAAGAAAACACCAAGAGTTTTTCTGGCATTGTCTAATTTATGTACAATGAGCGAGCTCACTGTAGTTATTGCATCCTCGGTAGATTTTCTTTGTCTAAAGCCAAATTGTTTTGAAGAAAGCAGATCGTATTTGTCGAAATATTTAATTAGTTGTTTATTTATTAATTTCTCAACAATCTTTGAAAGGGCTGGTAGAACAGATATGGGTCTATAGTTTTCAACATGTCGTCTATCTCCACTTTTGTATACTGGTGTAATTACTGCTTGCTTTAGTGAGTGTGGGAATGTGCCATTATTAAAACATAGGTTAATAAAGTGTGTGATAATAGGAATGATCTCGTTTTTTGCATATTTGAGGAAGGTAACTGGTATATCATCGTGACCTGTGGCGCTGCGAGATTTCAGAGACATGAGTACAGCATGGACTTCTTCAGGTGTGGTGTCCAAAAGAACAAAAGAGGAAGTTTGATTATTGCGATCTTGTAGTTTATTATTTGTGTCTGGGGGCTTATTAATTTGTTCTGCCAGTTTCTTTCCAGTATTTGCAAAAGAATTATTGACGAAGTTAATTGATTCCACCGGAGTCGGCTTGATATATAATAGCTTACTGTTATCCGTTTTATTATTAGTTTGATTTGTAACTACTTTTAAGTTTTTCCAAAATAGTCTTGAATTGTTTAAAGAGTTAGCTAATAACTCACTTTATGAAGTTACTGTGAAGCCAACATTCCGTGAGTATTAAGATATCCACTTCAAACTTAAGACTTGATAAGAAAACTTGTAGCTCATTGAAATTGCAGTGAACACTCCTTATATTCTGAGTAATAATAGTAAGGTCATCTTTTTTAATTTTTATATAATTTTCTAAGTCTTCTAATTCACATTGAAAGGGATTTGTTAAGTTTACACCGTCTATCTCATTTAAATTATTTATAATATTATTATCCATGGGGCAGTATCATGCAAAGTGAAAGTGTAAATAGCGTAGTAAGAAATATATGGGTAAGTTGTGGCAAAGTGAGAATATGTATGTATGTTTGTGAGAGTGTGTTTAGTTTTGTTTTTTTGTTATTAAGTGTGATGTGTGTGAGTGAGTGATGGGAGGCTTGAGAGTATGTCTGTTGGTGAACGTGTATATTAGTGTAAATAATAGCGTGTATAGCGTACGCTCGTATTTGTGTTATAATTAGCAAAATATTTTTACCTGAAACAGTTGTAAAATATAGATAGGCGAGATATTTATGTATAACAATTAAATAAAGAATTAAATAAAGAAACAAACAGGTTAATTTATCCACCTCTAGTCAATTTTGAAGTAAATGGTGAATCTGCGCCTCACTCGTAACAGTTATGATGCGTGAATTGTCGTCCTTTCGCACGTATATCTTTCCATAAGCAGTCCAGCAATATTTGTAGCTTTTGGTTTTGACTAGGTCACGTGCAAGAAAATGTAATCTTGATCCTTTGGCTGTTAAGTGTTCGGAAACAAAAATAGGTGTTTCAGTAGAAGATCGATGACCCAGATGCTTGGCACATAGTTTAGTTTTATGTTTTGTATTAAATGCTTTACACATTTGAAGAATTTCAGTTTTCAGCAAGACTGAGGATGTTTTCACAATAATGGGAGTGTTTTGTGTTTTTTCGTCTTTTGCCCGTATTCGATATATGTCTTTTATGTCATTTTTTGTAAACGAGGCACCAATACTTGTCGATAGGCCCAAAACCATTTGTACTAGGTCTGCTTTGGTTTCAGTATTCAGTCTTGGGACGTTTTTGATTTCGAAGTTCGCCTTTCGATTTGCTCTTTGTAGATCCTCAATTCTAGCTTCTAAAGTTGTTATGTAAGCACAGTCTGCTTTAGACTGGGACTCTAATTAATTTTTTCTTGTAGTTCTTTATTCTGGTTTAAAATAAATTCTAATGACTTCTCAATATTAGAATTCGACTGCATTACCTCTTTTTGTGTGTTTACAATTTTTTGCAATTCGGTTTTTTGTGTATTAAACAGAGAGGTGATCATAGTTTTTATCTCACTTTTAAACTCTTCCAACTCATATTTGAAGTCCTCCTCCCTCTTCCTCTTTTGCCGAGTTGTTATAGCGTTCGGTGGAGTTTTCTCCAGGTAGGTACACGATAGTTCAGAATCTGATTCAGATTTATCTAGTGGATCCATTTTTTTATAGTCGATTGAAGATTTTTTCGGCGGAGTTCGTTTTAGCGGCATGTGGTATAAATAATCGTAGTCTCAGGTGAGTTTTAAGTAGGCCTATATGATGCGGATGCCGTCGGCAAGCGATACAGAGTATAGGCAGGGCTTACGGTAGCAGGCGTGGCTTGAGTGACTGTTTCGCTTGATGTCAGGCGCAGGAGCAGCTTGTTGTCTACTTCGCTACGGAGACCTTTCACTCGTCCGTGGGCGGGGCGTCGCCGAGCGCATGAGCAACTGTTTGTCTCTTTTTGTTGCATGGGCTTCCCGTATAATCGCACACTATTATATACTCGACACGATTTTATAATATACTTCATGTATTGAGATTAACCAAGCTAACGCAAACGTGACCGTCTACGACGGTGTCCAGCGAGGAAGAGGATTCTGATAATAAAATTAAAGCAACCTGAGACGTAATTGCTGACATTACATAGAAATCTAAAGCTCGAAAAGAATCCATTAGCTTAAATATTAATAACATTAGCATATAATATACGAGTAATAGCAATAAAATCTAATGTTACATTAAATAATAATAAAAAATTTCTTTGCGTTCAATGTTTCATCAGTGGATATTGTGAAAATATTTAAAACCTTAAATCCAAAAAGACCTGTGATTTATGGGGTATGTCAGGAAAAAAGCTAAGTCATATTATAATGAATATTGCTCCTTCTTGAGCTATTATTTTTAATAAATGTGTATATAGCGGTACATTCCCCGATTTAATGAAATATAGTAATGTTAATAAAATAAATGTAACTTCGATATTTAAAATAGCAACTGTTGAGTTTCTTGCCGACTCTTCTCAGCAGAACTGCTTTCAGAGCCGGTGGTAGCTTCCTCATGGACTGACTATACTGACGCTCACATTAAATTGACGATTCAAAAGCACTTGAAATAAGTCTAATTGAATAAAGTTTATTTCGTTTCATTTATCATAACGAAAAATATTGTCTTATTTAATTTTCTTAATTTTAATTCTCTTTACAGGAGCAGTAATAAACCAGCATTGTACAGTACTAACTCAAATGTAGAGCCAGACATATCGACTTTCCATAAAGTATTGTTCAGCAACTTCTAAAAATAAGATTTTTGTTGTTCTTGATCAACATCACTTACAATAAATACTTCTAAATACCTACCAACTACCAACTCATGATTGTAGAAATGGACTCTGTCTACGAATATCATAAGCTTAAGTCAAGTGTGAATGTGAATTTATTAAGTGACTGCTATTATAATTAAACCTTTATTCTATTAAATATACTTAATTCAGTTAATTGTATTTTTTAATTAATTGAAACCCTATTTTTCTATCTACATTTCACCTATAAAAATGATCTTGTAAGGCCGTTACGGAGATATCGAAAAGAAGTGGAGGTGATGATAGTCTTAATATTTACATTTGAATGAGCGGACCATTTTTATATACAACTAGCAGAACCCGCGGCTTCGCTCGCGCTAAAACTATAAAGAACCTCTAAAAAGGCAGGTTTCATACAAACTTTCATATGCGATTTTACCCTCTTAAGGGACGAATTTTGAAAAATGCTAAAACACGTATTTAATTAATTGTATTGAAGAGTATTAATACCAAATTTCAAGTTTTTTGGATTGTATTATAACGTGTTTTCCCGTGGGAATTAGATAATCTCCTGCGGTAAAAAGTAGCCTATGTCCAAGCGCGGATCCAGGGAGGGGGGGTCATTATCCCCCCCCAAAGCCAAATATACTTTTTAGAGAAGTTTGAAGTCTAAGAAAGGAAGGAATAAACGGATAAACGTTTCGATTTAAAAAAAAATGGTTATTATATGTATTTTGAAGATTATATTCCCCTAGTTTCATGAATATTAAAAAGTTTTTGCAGAAATCTATATACATATAATAAAATTGTAACTAAGTCGAATCTGTCCATTAAACATTTTTTGGAAAATCTAATTGAAATAGACATTATTATCGATACAGAGTCCGAATCTATAGTTTTTAAGAGTTTTTGTCTGTCTGTCTGTTTATTACCGCATCACGAGAAAACCACTGGACAGATTTTAATGAAATTTATATAAAGAATATTTTTCGTTATGATGTCACCACAGGCCAAAAATAAAAAAAAAACTATTTTTCAACGTTTTTTGTTCCTTATATACCTGCTAAAGTTTTAAAGCCATCCCACCCCATCAAATAAAAAACTAGATCCGCGCCTGGTCAGATTTTACTAAGTTACTGTTTTATTATATGTATATTTCAGCCTATGACCCCCCCCCCCCCCCCAAAATTCAACTCTGGATCCGCGCCGGCCTATGTCACTCCAGCCTCTAACTATCTCCACACAAAAAATCACGCCAATCCCACAAGCCGTTTCACGGTTTCGACGTAAAAGAAAGACAAACAAAAACTTTCCCATTTATAATATTAGTATAAATGTAGAGTACAGTATACATAATTGCCAATATAATTAAATACTGTTTCCCATATAAACTTTACAACTTCATTTTACCCTTTTAAGGCTATATTATTTGTATCTGTATAAATTGTCCGGCAGGGGCGGCCTTAGTCATTGCGAGGCCCCGGGCAGATGATCTTTGCGAGGCCCTTATCTTTTATAGAATTTATGTGAATTGAAAATATTTTTAATGATAAAGCTTGACGAGAAATGTAAGTTATGAATAAATAAATGTACAGTTTTAAAATTGTATATTGGAAATTTAGAAAAGTTAACAAGCACAAAGAAGACAAAATTATTTTGTCAACATTTTCAGGTTTTGCGTGACTTGCCATTAATTCTATTAGCTCATTTTGAATAACTTTCAGAGATAGTTTTTAGCAACGCTAGATTCACATTAGGGGCACTCCGGGCTTTAAGAGATTTAAATGTTTAATATGACGCATCAGCCGGCATCCATCTCTCTGTAACCCTAGGAATTGCTTAAATATGGTCCGGACAATGCGTAGGGACTATGGAAAATATGGAAAACTAAAAGAGTCTATGGAATGGTGTTTGGATGGGCTACAAAACTGGGCTATTGGATGAGACTACCGAATGTCCGCCTTCTGAACAGTCTCAGATTCAATATTTGGCAGACGGTGACTCGCCTCCCACTAGTGGCATAGCGCCTCGGGCACAATATCAGTGTGGTCGGCTAAGGTTATCGAGAAGTGTGCACCGGTTTCACAATCGCAAGTGCTCGTGGGTTTCCCCGTTATTTAACAGATTGAGCACTTCTACCCTTTCAAGGACTTGGCTCTTGCACTTCACCACAGAAATCTTAATAATAAGGTAATATTATTAAGATTTCTGTGCACTTCACTCTGGGCGGCTAATGAAGGAAAGCCTCTGGGCTAAAGAGTCAATAGTTGTACAGCTTTTTAAACCGTTCTCTAAATTTAATAATCCGTTCACAATCCGTTCTCTAAATTTAACCGTTTTAACATATACTCTTTAAGCAGCCGAAGTCGTGAAACTTTAAATATATACCGAAGTGTTTCCAATTGCAAAGTCCTGCACTGAACCCAATTCTTTATATTCTATTCTAAACAATCAACAGAAGAAGAAAATGGCATGTTTTGTTTGTGAATAAATCATCCAGTGCTTGTTCAATTTTTCGCCATAACCTAATATTTTATTGATATGATACCTATTCACTGAATCGCCGTCCACTATCATTTACGGGAAAAAAATCTGTCTTAGCGCGGATTGGATCTTTCGATGAAATCTCAGTTCGGTCTGCATCAGTAATTGTTGATGGCCATAAACCTGGGTCATTTTAAGTATTCAGATTTTAATTCCGCCTCCTAATTCGCATGAATGTAGATATAGATTTAGATAAGTATTTCTAGCTGGATAGTATTAACGACGGCGGCGGCGGTGGAGTAACAATGATGTTGTTTACTTACTATTATCATCGCCAGGTAGCAACGGCATCCCAGACGATGTCGAAAAAATTATTTCAGCTGGGATAGGCTTGGAATGCAATAACATGTCATTTTTAGTCACTGAAAGGTCTTAAGGACTTAGAAGCTACTTGACCATCACCTTTTAAATATTTATGTAGAGACTCATACAGATTTTCTTCTACCTGCCTTTCTCTTTCTTTTGATGGCTTGTTGCCTTTTTGAACTACCAAACTCAATTTTTCTACTGGCATCACAATCGCGCGAACTCATTTAGAAAATATTTTTGCACATAAAATTAATTAAAAAATTACAAGCAGTTGTACGCATTTTTTTTACTAGTTCACTCTTAACTATAATTACTATAATAACGTAAAATTTAATATTAATGGCTTATTGAATTAAACGCTACATGCTTGTACAGGCGCGATGTGGATTTTGTAATGTCCGGCGTAAGGCAGGAGATTCTGATACACTTGGGTTGTTGTGCGAAGGCGCGAGGCCCCTACAAGAGCGAGGCCCCGGGTGGTTGCCCTGCTTGCCACCCCCTAAGGTCGCCACTAATGTCCGGAATCCGCTGGCGTCGTAATCCAAGCAGAGAAAGATAGCCTATCTCTGTGTCCATGATGCCATATTGCCCAATTTTTATCAAAATCTGTTCAGCGGCTCATTGGGATGAAAAGTACACAATGATGCCAGGATCACTAATACTAATCTAAATCGATGAGCGAATCGATATTTTATTTTCCGGAACATAAAGTGGCTCAACTTCGAATTAGAAAGTAGCAGAAAATATATGTGATTTTTTCTTCAAGGTGGCTGGCATTGATCAACATTTTATTTACATTATTGTTAGTAATATTTGTTTATATTTTATTTATATTAATTATTATTATATATTTAATAGCGACTCACCCTCGCTCCGCTCGAGTTCGTCCCTAGGTATATTTTAAGGCTTAGTATAGATTTCTCAGAGATGACATATTTTCCAGCGGTAAAAAGTATCTTATATGCCGACCCGGAAAACCAGCTATCACCATACCAAATTTCATCAAAATCAGTTGTTTTTCCGTGATGCGGTAACACAGACAGACAGACAAAAATTCTAAAAACTAGATTCGGCCTATGTACTTATCGACAATTATGTCTATTTCAATAAGATTTTCCCAAAAATATTTAATGTACAGATTCGGCTTAGTTACAATTTTATTATATGTGTAGATTACTTATATATATAAATATTTAGTATATTCATATAGTTTGTCCGTACTAGTGATGTGCCAATTCGGAAAAAATATAACTCGATTTAACTCGAGTTAACTGGATGAAAAATGAAGTGAATGATTTGCTTTGTTTGTACCAATTTAATGACTCTGCTTCGCAACAATATTAAAAAAATGGTACAGATTCTAAATAAATATTTATTAGGACATTTATAATTATTTATATTTTTTATATTGATTTATTTATATTATTACTAACAGAACCCGAGGCTTCGCTCGCGCTAAAACTCCAAAACAACACTAAAAAGGTAGGTTTCATACAAATTTTCATCCGCTATTTTACCCCCTTACGGGATAAATTTCGAAGAATGCTAAAACATATATTTATTTAATTGTATTGAAGAGCGTTAATACCAAGTTTCAAGTAGTTCTGATCATAAATATTTTTTTGGGTTGTATTATAACGTGTTTCCCCGTGGAAATGAGATAATCTTCTGCGGTAAAAAGTAGTCTACCACTCTCCAGCTCTCCAACTATCTTCACCCAAGAAATTACCCCAGTCCGTTACTCCGTTTCGACGTGAAAGAAGGCCAAACAAACATACTTTCACATTTTTAATATTAGTATGGATATTATAACGCTGTCATTCGGTTGGAACACTATGACGGGAGTAAGGACGACAGCGATTAAGTTAAATACTGTGGCCTCTTATTCGGTTGTATTAGGAGCGATTTTGCAACATAAATGTATAGTCTGAAGTGCTAGACTGTACAAAACATGAACACAACGAACGAATCGCCGCGTTTGCGTAAGGTCAATCGCGTACTCGCTTGATTCGTTCATTTACCACGCAAATCCAATTCGAGTCAGGGAGAATTCAACTCGAGTTAAGCCCAACTCGAGTTGACACATCTTTAGTGCCTACGTAGGGTACGTTAAAAAATACGTATGGACAAGCCCGAGCGAAGCGAGGGTGAGTATATAGTATAATAAAGCATTACCTAACTTAGCGAAATCTGTACATGAAATATTTTTTTAACACAATGACTGTAACAAAAAAACACGCATTGTTCTAATTTAGAAAATATAATGTGCCTTGCTGGCTCCTTCAGATGTGGAGTTATTTTTAATGAAATCGAATTATTACCTATGTTTATTGATGATTCCACTACGCCGTTGGACATTTTAAATTATTTGTTTATGAATATTGGCCTGATGCTGAAACGGTACCAGGAATTTGCAAGATACTCAACTCTTTACTAAAAAACTGCAGAGATATCGTGTTTAGTCATATTGAAATAACCTCAATGAATAGGTTGTATTGAGGGTTATTTTTTTAATGTAATTTATACAAGATTTGAAAAAGATTAGAAAATAGTTTTGCTTGAAACTTTAACAAATTGACACAAGAGTATGTCCTTTGATATTTTAATTAAAATCTAAAACTAAGGTGTAGAATGTAGATAGCTTGCTTATAAGCATTAAAAAGTATTATAATAAAATTAAAAAGAAAATATAAATCTACTTTTTTATTTACTATGTTTTGACATTTTCATGCCTGTTGTTTAGTTTTCATGGTGCATGTTTTGTAAGATGCACTCTATCACAGTATTTATTACGGTAGTAAGGCTTAGTAGGATCACCCAGAGATGAAAAATGCACCTATCGGCCTCAGCAGGGCATATTTTAAAAAAGTCATAAGGTATTAAGGTGCTTTTGTGTGGGTTGAAAGGTTATTTAATAGCAGAATAGACTGTAATAAAAAAAATCCCATGATATCGAGTAGATCATATTACTTGTACTGTTGCTAGGAATAAGCAATACATAGAAAATGAAACAAAACAGTAGATGGATTGGTATCAGTTTATTTTAGTTAGATGGGAACACCTTAGGGTTAAAGATTTATAATACTCTTGCAAAGTATTAAATGTACCATTGACGAATTCATGCACACTATCACTCTTACTTCAACTTCTATTGTAACATACCTAGCTTTACGTATTTCATATAATACATAGATAATAAAAATAATATATTGTGTCATAAACAAAAACCTATGTTATAAAAAGTTCACTTGCGAGTACTTCAACACATGTGCTTTAGGTATTTGAAAATTAAAATATGATCTTATCTAAAATGTATCAATCAATACAAGTCTGTTCTTGTCACATTAATTATTGTAAACTAGATTAAGAATCATATTAGAACTAATAAGGTCTTTGACGATCTCGGCCCCTGAAAATAAAATAATTTAAATTAATAAGATATTTCAAAATGCTAATTTAATGTATTTTTTTAAGTTAATTGTTTAAGCAGATAAATATTTCAATATTAATTGATTGCGTAAAAGGATGTGGATCAAGTAATGCTTTACACCTCCATTAGGCTATTTTAATTCATTTCATGTAATTGAGTGGATGAAGGAGCTCTACTTCGACAGCTGATATACAAGATATCCGGTAACTGGATAACCCTGGAGGTACTTGTGGGGGGGCACACAGATATTTTTTTAAGTGGTTGAGATGCCCAAAGGTACTCGCGGGGTTATCCATTAATTACCGGACATCCTGTATATATCAGCACTGAATTTGAACGATGTGGGAAAAAATAATGAATTATGAGAATAAATAATAATTACCCTCCATCGCTTCTAATGGCGCCACCGCCGGGCCGGTCTCCGCCACCACCGGAGCCCCGGCGGTCGCCGCCGCGGTCACCGCTGCGGTCGGGCCGGCCACCGCCCCAGCCGCCACCGCCGCCGCCCCGGCCGCCACCACCACCACCCCGGCCCCCACCGCGTCCCCCGCGCCCGGGCGGGCCGCCACCGCCGCCACCACCGCGGCCGCCTTGCGGGGGACCGCCACCACCGCCGCTTCCGCCGTTACCGCCACCGCCTGGTTTCTCCTCATTGCATCTGTTGCAAGCTTTGCGCCATGAGAAGTTGGTGTTGCCGCAGCTGGGATTGGGGCACCGCCAGTCGCCGGCGCGGTTTCCGGAGGGCGGGCCACCGCCTCTGCCGCCACCACCACCGCCGCCGCCGAGGCTGCCGCCACCGCCACCACCACCGCCGCCGCCTCCTCCACCGCCACCTCCTCGACCTCCACGGAACCCTCCGCCGCCGCCTCCTCCTCCCTTATTACCACCCCAAGTGTTTTGTCTTTGAGCTAAAGATACTTTGATAGTAGCGCCATTAAAATCCTTTCCATCAAACCACTGAATGGCTGACGAGGCGGCGTTAGAATCTTCGTATGTCACTGTAGCTTCGCCCTTGGGTTGACCGGTAGCTTTGTCTTTATACATCCACACTTTTGGTCTTTGAGTTTTCTTATCAGTCTGTAGAAATGACAATTACGTTATTTTATATTAACGTTATCATATACATTTTTATCAACAACATCTTTGAACTATACAGTAATAAGTATTATAATAGTACTAGCGGCTCACCCTCGCTTCGCTCGGGTTCACCTCTAGAAAAGCACAAACAGATATATCCCACGGGAACCGTTCATTTTTCCGGGATAAAAATAAGTAACCTGTTGTTTGACCTGCAATATAAGGTATCAGCGTGCCAAATTTTACTAAATTAGGTGCATAAGTTGTTGTGTACTGAGCTGTATAAGTTACTATAATTTTTTTACTATCCCACGGGAACTCTTTAATTTTCCGGAATGAAAAGTATCAAATTTCATTTAAATAGGTTCAATAGCATCGGAGATTAGCCCGTACGAACAGACAAACAGAGAGAGAAACAAAAAAATTGAAAAAAAATTGGATTTGTTCTATTTTCTATTGGAATTCTTACATCCCGTAAGAAGAGAATTGACTCGTTTTTTAGCAATTTTTTCTACCATCTATGTACAGACATTCGACCTCTACAGTTTTATTATTCATATATGAACCTATATTCAGATAGAATAAATAGCGTATAATAAAACAGAAATATATAATAATGAAAATAGTTATAACTATGTAGAACTTTTCTATAGACCTTTGTAAGACTTACAATTTTCTCGTACAATGTTTTGATCTATCTCTTAAGGTTGAGCCAACGTTAGCCATATAAATTTCTAAGGACAATTCGATAGAACCAGTTATTGTATTTTCCCGTGGGAATGAATAATTTGCCTGTCGTAAAAAGTATTCTAAATGTTGACCTGAGCACTAAGTTTTATCACCATACAAAATGAAGTTAAAATCGGTTGAGTACTTTTTGCGTGAAACACGCACATCGATTTGACTAAGTTTTATTATAGGTATAGATAAGAATAAATATTGCGAGTGTAAATTAGGAGATAGACATATACTATTCAGAACTTTTCTGTAGGACTTTTCAAGACCTACAATTTTTTAGTATATTGTTTTGATGTATGTCTTAAGGCCTAGCCAGAGGAAGGTTTCTAGGGAGGACTCGATAAAACCAGTTATTATATTTTCCCGTAGGAAAGAAAGATTTTCTTTAAGTAAAAGCTATCTAGGCAGTGGTATCCCAGTGGTAACGCGCTCGCTTGGGAAACCGAGTGAAGCAAGTTCAAATCCCGGGTCTAGCACCTCTGATATTGGCCAGCGTGGTGGACTATGGCCTGATCCACCTCGTACTGAAGGGAGGCCCGTGCGTGTGTTAAAAAGGGCTGAATACAACATACATACATACAAAAGGTACCCTAAATGTTGACTCGAGTAATAAGTTATCACTTCACCAAATTTCGTTGAAATTGGTACATTACTTTTCGCGTGAAACGCGCACATAAAAACAGACAAACAGACATACAGGCAAACAGACAATTTTTTTAATAACTATTGTTTTGGGGTCTATGTTGTGTACATAATACGTTACAAATAAACAAAAACATCTATCCCACGGGAAAAGTACATTTTTCCGGGATAAAAAGTTACCTATTTGTTATTCTGATGTATGAACTATATTATTGTAAAGTTTCATCAAAATCCAATTAGTGGTTTTTGTGTACTAAGCTGTATAAGTTACTATAGTTTTTTGACTATCCCACGGAAACTCTTTAATTTTCCGGGATGAAAAGTAGCTGATTTTTTTTGTCATGTATGAACTATATTATTGTAAAGTTTCATTAAAATCCAATCAGTAGTTTTTGTGTACTAAGATGTATAAGTTTTTATAGTTTTTTAACTATCCCACGGGAACCCTTTAATTTTTCAGGATGAAAAGTATCTAAGATGTTGCCCGGGAATATAAGGTACCACCATGCAAAATTTCATTTAAATAGGTCCTATAGATCCGGAGATTAGCCCGTACAAAGAGAAAAACAGATAAACAGCTCGCTCGGGTTCGTCCATACATACGAATATGTTGTATTATCTCTTTAACCATTTGTCCAAATTATATGCAGTAAAAGGAAAAAGTCTTTTATTTTAAGCATTTTAGACGATAAATTTACTTATTTTGATAAGAATTCATAATTGTTGATAATATGACCAATAAACATGACCTACCGATTTAAATGATTTTTTTAATATAAAAAACTACTTTTTGTGACTTAAATATAAAAGTTAGACATATGCTGTCGCTGACTTGTTTGTAGGCATTATTAAGCTCTACAACTTTTCTCTAGAACATAATCATATATCTCTCATCGTTAAGGCAGCGTTCGTAAGAAACGTTTTCGTTCGACCGTTTTTTCTCCGACTTACTTTGCAAATCCGACTACCACGAAAAAGCCTTTTCATTTTTCGGGTAAATATATAGCCTATGACACTCAGAAAGAACGTGGCTTTCTATTGGTAAAAGAATTTTGAAAATCGGTTCAGTAGATCCAGAGATTACCCCCTACAACGTCACAAACTCACAAACTCACAAGATCACAAACTTTACCTCTTTATAATATTAGTATAGATAAACTATAAGTATATTAGTACCTTGATAATGCCTATAGCTCCAAAGTGTTGACACAACTCCTCCTCTGTAGTTGATGGATTCATGCCCTGAATAAATACTGTGTCCTCTTGAGTTATCATGTCACCTCCACCCCGATCTCCGCTGAAGCCACCACCACCCCCGCCGCCTACAAATAATTTAAAAGTCAATAAAAAAATTGACAAAACAATATTGAAGTTAAAATAAACTTTTCTTTCACTTTTTTACTATAACCACAAAGAATGTTTATGAGCAATCTCAAATCCTTCTCTAACATACTTTCTATCACATATCTTATTGTTGTTTTTTAACCAAAAAAATATTGATGATGTTTTATTTTTCAGACCATGCACTTGATTTATTGCATATTATTATTCCTTACATGTTTCAAAATAGCCACATTATATTGTAAGACCCCCTTATAATCAAATTCACGATATAAATTGTACTATATACGAAATTACACATTCAATAAAGATGGAAAGCGCAGGGCTGCCAAAATTTTTACAGTGTTTCTTTTGGAATCGAAGATATTATATGCTTAATTTACTAGATGACAAAAATAATAATTTCTGAAACACGGATTCAATGCCATGCACTCTGTATATTGTTAACCACCGTCGCATATTTACTACACACTTTGCTAGACTGCTGACAATTGTTTGTAATAACTCTGGCTTAGCATCCAAATTACAAGATTCTGAACAAAAATGTTACTTCTTTTCATAACCTTAAAATATATGAAGAACGTAAATACTTATCAGTACCCGTATTCACAATTTAAAAATTATACCTTTATTAATAACAACCATTGTAACGATAACTACAAAAGAGCAGACAACCACAATCATTTTTTATATGAATACCTAAAGTCTGATGTATAAAAAGAGAATAACTTCACCAATTAAATATAATTATGCACAAAATTAAGTATTATTAAATACAAAACAAACATATGCAGTATAATTTTTGGTTATACATAAAAAATACCAATATAATCTGTAGATGGTATAAATTTATAACTCACATAATATATAGTGTATATATTGTTAGCACCGCAAATTCTATTTAGTAGATACTGCCGCACACCCCTTGCTATGCAATAACATAACTTAATGTATCGTCATATAATAAGTTTTGTCAACAGCCAAGAAGTGAAGAGAAATCCTTGTTTACACACAATATTTGGCAGCCCTTAAAATACAAATTAAAAATATGACAACAGCACCAATCGCGCGTAGCGAGGAGCTTTACCTTTATTATAACCACCCCCCCTGCCGCCGCCACTAAAACAATAAAAACACCATTTAGTTCACACCGGGCAGGCTGGGGGCACACTGAATGAAGCGCGCCAGATGTAACTAAGCTCGCTTTTATCTGTGACCGTTTCGATGTTGAATCCTTTTCTTTTGTAATATGTTTTACCTTGATACCTTGAAAATCTTAGAACATTTTTGTGTGAAACATATTCTTGCAATGTCGACGAATCATGCACATATTTATGGCATATTTTGAAAAAGTGTTTTTATTTAAATATGTCTACGAAATGTTTAAATACTTGCAAAATCGTACAGAGTAAAGAGAAGAATTATCAATTTTAACACTTTTTCAATTATGATATACAGATATAATAAACAAGGGAGATCTAAGATTTAAAAGATTGTATTGATAATGTAGAAACAGATGTTCAAGATCACTGCATGCTGTCAAGTGTCAGACACTGGCAAATAGCAATGCACAGTTTTTTTCTCATTCTTTTAGAGAAAATTCCAACTTTTTTTTCCAAAAAATGTCATAAGATTTATTTAAAATATTTATGTATTATTTATAGAGGAAACATAATTATGATAGTCATTCACAAAATGACAAATTAACCACACAATCTAGTAATTCTTTATAAAAATAGTAATAATAGTATAATTTTCAAAAATCGTAATATTTTTGTACTGAAGATGATTCTTTTTTAAAAAAACATTGTATATATGTCTCTCTCAATATCCTTTGCATAAAATATATACATAGTAAAATGATAGAAGATTGTATAATTACTGATTGGTAGGTTTCCTACCCATTATATTTAAGGGTTAATTGTAACTATGACAAAGTATCTATGAAAAGCCCTTTTTCAAAACCAATTTAAATTTTATTATTATATGTTGTAGTATTAACATTTCACTAACAGACAATTGTTTAATATATTATCAAAGCCCTCCCTTTGGTTTTTAGAACCTATTTACAAATTTCTTCCATTCTTTTTCCATCCATTATAGTAATCCATAAAAAGAATCGACATATACCTCATATGACATATACCTTGCTATTTGCAAGATTGCTTTATTTTTTACTCATTTCATATCTCGTTTTGACCTTAACAAATGCATGAAATAAAATCCTATTAATCATCGCAAACGTAATAACAACATAACCTATCAATACACAAAACATACTCCTTTAACTCTCTTAAACTAACTATTCATCCCAATAATATTTTCTTCTATATTATATATACAGTAATTTGTAAAATTACTATTTACCATACCTTAAAACCAATATTAACTAACCAAAAATGTAGTGAATTAAAAGAATTTTGGTCTAAATTAAGATGATATGAAAAATAATTTTGCAACACTTATTACAATTTAGCGTTGATCAATACTTCACCTTGTTACTTATATTTTCAAAACACTACTCAAGTTTGTTGGAACTGAAAACATGCAGAACTTATACACCATCAAAAATCAACATCAATCAGCAATTTAAAAATCCAGCTATATTTAGACTCAACATTACTAGATTATAAGATTCTTTCTAAGACACCTACATTTGGTATTTTAGGTTATCATAACCTCTATCTCATGATAGATGTGGTTTTCATGCAGGAAAACTGCCAGATGATTAACCCTAATTATTATGGCTTAACCAGTATAAATTTCGTATGTTTGACACTTTACGAAAAATATCAGTAAAATTAGTACACAAAGATTGTTTTGTTAACCGCAAAAACTGCTCATTTTAAAATTATATCTTAGAAATAAGTAGCCAATATCTATACCATATTTATAAAAATCTCATGATACTCAAAATGATCCAACCACTAAGTAAATGGTATTATTTTAATTTTGAAACGTATTAACTTGTTTTCATTTGTTACTAATAAACAATAAAGAAAAGATGCTTACCCATATCCACCATCTCTATTCCCCCCATCTCTATTGTAGCTTGATCGATCACCTCCTCCATATCCTCCTCGGTCACCACCAGAGTAGCCACTTCCACCTCTGTCTCCCCCATAGTTGGATCCACCGCCACTGCGATCATTCCCTCCATAGTTGCTGCTGCCTCGGTCATTTCCTCCATAACTACTTCCACGATCATTGTTTCCATAGCTGTTTCCCCCTCGTTCACTTCCACTTACATTATAATTATTACCATTATTGCGATCATAGCTCCCAACTCCATAATTAGATGACCCATAACTGGGGCTGTAATTGCTGTCCTGCTGATTACCCCCATAACTTCCGCCACTAGAACCTACATTAAATATAAGTTATGCCATAATTATAATATTATTACTTATGCCATAATTGGCGGCCGTTTAGAATTGGGGACTTGGCCCCTAGCGGAGTGGGTGGTATTTCTGGATAAGGGACGTGATAGGGAGTCGAAATGTTAAATAAAAATTGTCCGCGAACGTATGAGTAAAAAGTTATTGAGACTTAAAGTTACAACATTTCCATACATTATTTTGACATTACTACCATTTAGACACTTGGAGTCAAAACGTCACTTTCAATTGTCAAAATGATCTCCAGATGATTGTCTTTATTTGTACTTTGCGTGAAATTCGAATTTTCTAGTCATTTATGGCACTCGCCGGCCGCTACCGCGGCACGCTCGCTTCGCTCGCTCGGCTCGTGCGTTGTGGCAACTGTTCTAACCTAACCTAACCAAGATATGAGGAATAATAAATAAATAATCTTAAATGTTCTAACCTAACCTAACCCAGATATGAGGAATAATAAATAAATAAATAATCTTAAATGTTCTAACCTAACCTAACCCAGATATGAGGAATAATAAATAAATAATCTTAAATGTTCTAACCTTTTTTTTTTTTAACCTAACCCAGATATGAGGAATAATAAATAAATAATCTTAAATGTTCTAACCTAACCTAACCCAGATATGAGGAATAATAAATAAATAATCTTAAATGTTCTAACCTAACCTAACCAAGATATGACGAATAATAAATAAATAACCTATGTCTTAAACTAACCACGATGTCGCAAAATAAAAACCAAAAGTAAATAATACATTTAGATTTTAAAAATAGTCTACTCACGTTTATAAATTGTTTACACTAACACTATGAACACTTAAAACTATAAAAATAATATTAAAACAAAAACAAGAAACGAAAGTATATAAAAATTAACAAAAACTAATAACTAATGGAAAATACACAGAGTACAGAGTCACAAATTATGAAACTTCGCGGTATTTTAAGAACAACCGCCAATAATACTGAAAAATATTCACAGATAAAAAAATGTTTTTTTTTTTACTAAATGTACAATTGTAAAACAATATATTTTACATAAATCTGATAAAAAATCATAAATGTATTTATGAAATGAAAATAATATTTTTCTTTTTATTTATTTATTTATTAATATTAATATTTTACCAACAGAAAAAGCAAAAATAATCAAATATAATCTGTTGTCATTTAAGCGGTAATATAAAACAAAGTGTCAGTTTTGCTTTTGTCAAAATGTAAGATCATTTTGTTTGTGTTGTGAAATTATTAAAATATTACATACAATAAAGCATTAATTGTTGTGAAAATGTGTAATGTACATAAAAAAGGATGCGTACTATTCGTTAAAGGTATGTTTATCTGTTGTAATCACTTATTTAGGTAAAGAAATGTATGGAAATGTGTTAGATATGTTATAACTTTAAGTCTCAATAACTTTTTACTCATACGTTTCCTCCAAATATTTTTAATATATTTTGACTCTCTGTCACCTCCCCTATCTAAAAATACCACCCACTCCGAATGGTGGTAAAGAAATATATGAAAATGTATGGAAATGTTGTAACTTTAAGTCTCAATAACTTTTTACTCATACGTTCGCGGACAATTTTTATTTAACATTTCGACTCCCTATCACGTCCCTTATCCAGAAATACCACCCACTCCGCTAGGGGCCAAGTCCCCAATTCTGAATTTGTGCCCCATAATTATAATAAAATCATCATTTAACCTAATAAAAGTTAAAACAATTTTACATATTAAAATCAATTAAATTAGGAATGCGTATGTATGAATTAATTGAGCTTAATTATTAAATATTACATGCTAGATTATATATTTTCTTAGCTACAACAATAATGAACTCGTATTCTACTGAATTAAATACTTACTTCCTGTACTTTGTTGGTTCCAAGCAGGACCTGAATTTTGGCCTGTATAACCACTTGGATTATAACTTCCTTGTTGCTGTTGTCCAGGGTTATAACTGCTATCACCTGAACTTATTGTTGGTGGGGGCATTGAGTACTGAGCAGGATATCCTCCACCGGTATAATCACTAGATGCGTAAGCTAAAAGTAACCGCAAATATATTAACGTCATGCTATTAACGAAATTAATAATTAAACAGTAAAGTGAAATGAACTTACGATCTCCCATTATGAGATTTGATAGTATAAGTATGCACTAAAACTAACGCTTATTTTTGTTTTGATAAAGTTTTAATCATTAAATTTTTACTTAACATCACAAACCGTGCCGCGATTATACAGTAATGGCCGACGGAAACACAACGGTGACAGTAACTCGGCATTGTGGAAAAGGAAATGAATGAAATATGAATGATAGATTCTATAATAAAAAAAATAGTCTATGCTTATTGCTTATCCTGTTTTCCAATTACAGAGCATAATGCTGTACTTTGGCGTACAATGCCGAAGTGTGCTAATGCATAATTGGAACGTGAATTAGTTTTCAAGTGCACCAGCAGAGGGCACTAGGTTCAGTGTTAAATGAAAAAAATATAACTAACTAATATGTATATAATATATAATAATACATATCGTAGATATTATAAATCATATAATAAACTAGCGACTCACCCTCGCTTCTCTCGGGTTCATCCCTAGCTTGCTTCTTAATACAAACTTTCATTCCCATTTTCACTCCCATAAGGGATGATTTCCGGGATAAAAACTATCCTATGTCCCTCCCACGGTCTCAAATTATCTTCTTACCATTCATTTAAATCGGTTCAGTAGATCCAGAGATTGCCCCCTACAACATCACAAACTCACAACTTCACCTCTTTATAATGATGATGTTCTCCAAGCCGATTCCGGCTACGGCGGCCAATCTCATTGAGATTAGCCAACTGCGCAGGAGATATTATAGTGCTCAAGTGTACGCGCAGACACAACGTGCACTCTCTATTCCTATCACTCTCATACTCCGGTGACGGACGACCACTCGACACGACCGGTGAGAGTTAAGGCGCAGGACCGACGGCTTTACGTGCTCTCCGAGGCACGGGGGTGAAACACCGCCAACTTCCCAACTTCGGGCAGTTACTGAGACTTACTATACAGAAAGACTCAATAACTAAACTTGGCCCGACCCGGGACTCGAACCCAGGACCTCCGGGTGTGCAGCCGTACATGCTAGCCACTACACCACCGAGGCAGTTAAAATATATCTCTTTATAATATTAGTATAGATATATAATAATATAAAACTAATAAATATATAATAATTATATAAATAAAATATAAACAAATATTACTAACAAAAATGTAAATATAAATAAAATCAATGCCACCTTGAAGAAAAAACACTTCTCATATTTTGTGTTATTGAGTTGGTATCCTTGCGCGCATTACGTCAAAGCAGTACTTTTCAAAATGCTCGATTGAGCGGAGCGTTGCTGTAGTTGGAACATCCGAAGTTAGCATTATGCCGTATAATGCGTTTTAGTGCTCTAATTGGAAAACAGGGATCAAAACGTTCCTCAAAGGCTTGTCATCCATGCCCAAAAGAAAATAGCGGATACAATGGAAGGGCAGAAATTTCTCGAAAGAGGATGTACACAGTACACACGTATGTATGACCTATTTACATTCAGTGTTATGGTTAATGTGTCAATTTATAGTGATATCTCTTTTATACCTTTTGAAATGAAACAAATCTATACTTATAATAAAATTGTAACTAAGCCGAATCTGTACATTAAATATTTTTTGGAAAATCTTATTAAAATAAATATTATTATCGATACAGAAGCCGAATCTATAGGTTTTTAGAATTTTTGACTGTCTGTATTACCGCATCACGGAAAAACCACTGGAGGGATTTTGATAAAATTTGCTATGGTGATAGCTGGTTATCCGGGTCAACATATAGGATACTTTTTACCGCGGCAAAATGTCCATTTCTGAGATAAAATACAAAAATCGCAATGTAAGAGTATACTAATATGTAAAACTTAAGAATTTGTTTTTTTTTGGTCATCTGAATGCGGGCGGAGCCGCGAGCAATGCTAGTTGTATTATATTAAGCACATGATCCCATGATTGTGGCAGCACCCAGCCATTTTCTCTATTCAAATTAAGATGTTTTTTTTTTTAAATTCAAAATGCAACGGGCAATGCTACTTTTATCATAAAAAGCAGTCATGAGGACTGCCGTAAGTAGGTTTTTAAAATTCAGACTTCTATAAGGTACTTTAATGTTCAAGCCTTAACTGAAGTCGGAAACATTGTGTAGTACTTATACCTCAATTTATTATGCGTCATATAACGGTTAGATACTTAAGATAAAATAAACTCCCAAATAAATGAAAACATTTTATTTACAACGGAAATTAAATTAAAATAATTTATGTACGCACAACGCAAAACACATCTTTGGCTTGTATTGGATGTATTCTAAAAGAAACAGCGTCTATTTTAATATTGCCTCATTATCACGTGACATTAACATTAGCTATTATATTTTAGCGACGCTGGAAACTCAACATCTTGATAAGCATAAGGCCCATAATGGTAGCCGCGGCGACGCTGATACCCGCCTTCCACCAGGACGAGTTTTCTCCCGCCAAACTTGCGAAATGCTTCAGGTGTCTGTTGATTAATAATAATAAATATAATATCTTATTTTACGCAGGACGTAACATGCACATAAATTGCTTATGATATTGCCGTAGCCTACTTTTAATCTGATCGTTTAACGAAGACGTATAGATTAGGCAATCGTGTAAAGCGTGCGGGAGACTTGGAAGTCCGCGAACCCGAATGCCATACCTAAAATTATACGACATTTGAGAAGCAGCTTTTAACGGTTGACGACTTTTTTTCTGGGAGATAATCATGGAAATTACATAAATGTTCATGTATTAAATGGCGCACTTTACTTATTTTATAATGTGGGTGTCAATTTCAAACTTTATTACGGGGACAGATTATGAAAATGACATCTCAATGACCTATAGTCGTCGTAATATATGCTATTTATGGTATTAAACTACTTGCGTGAATCTAACTACTGTAGACTTCTTATTATGATCAATATCATCAATATCATCAATCAGATCAATGAGCAATTCTTGCGTTACTCCAAGCATTTCGAGAACTTAAGATCGCTATACTATACGTCTTTTTGAAGCCAGTCTCCAGTCTTTTAGGCAAATAAATAATATTATAGAAAGTAAATTTCACATTAGTACATAATTCAATAACCGTGAGAAATAGTTATGTATATCAATATGGAATGTTTTCCTACACCACTCTCACGGACCTACTAGTGATGTAACATGACAAAGAACGACATTGTTTTTTTTACTATGGTGAAAAAAAACATGAAATAAAAGATTGTTTGCTATTGTTTTTAAAATCTATAGAAAATTAAATGTTTTATTGAGGTTTTTTTCTAATTTCTTACATTTTACTATTAAATTAGAGTTTATTCTTCCAGTGTCAATGTCAGTACCACTTTCAGTATCAATACCACCTACACTAGTCTTGTCCTTGTCAGTGTCGGAATTTTCTCATGTAAGCATGGTAACTATACAACCAAAAAAATATGGTAGGTTTAAATAAAAAGAAAACTTTAATATAAATTCCTCGGTATTAATCTTTTACGGAAACTTCCTTAATAATTTTGAATTCTGTACGCTTAAAAAAACACAAACTCCATAAAAAAACTTGTTTTTTTAAAGCTTTTTTCACGATACAAAAAAAAAACAGTTTTTTGCAACCTACCAAACGACGTAATAGGTAATGCAAATAAAAATGATACAGTCAACGAAATAAAATAATATCTTAATATATAATGTAATTTATTAATTAATTGTATTTATCTTATAATATTATTATCTTATCTTATAGTATCAAATTCTTGTGCATTTATATATTTTATTTCGAGACTTAACTATTTGGATGAAATTATGTATTTAGATAAGTTTTTGCTTTTAAGTTCTTTATAGGTGTCTTTTCTAAAAAAAACTCAATTTTTCTTTAAACTAATTATATTATTAGAGCCATATAGCGCATATATCTCGTAAATTTTTGTGGTATGTTTGCATTGTTGCCAATGGACCATAACCTACTGAACGAGCGACTACGCCGAGTGAAACTCGGTCGCCCGGGTGCTATAAGTTAACGATATAAATATTTATATGATTTTTAATACATTATACTAACCTGTGTTTGCTGAACAAAATCCAAGCAGCTTGAAATTGACTGACCAAAACATAGTTAAAATAATGTTTTTTCTAATATTCATCTATGATACTAAAATGGGGACCTCATCTGTATAATATATGTATTAATGTAATTTATTTAATACATTTAATGATTCAACCAATCAAAATGAAACTAAGGTGCGTTTTTTAAAAGACGCAAAGTGTTTCTCAAGTTGAAGCGTTCTTTATTTATATTATGTACAATTTAAAGAGTGATCCGATTTAGATGATTCATTTTTTTATATAGTGTAACCATGAAGTTGGCCTATTTCAAATTGAAAAAAAAATCACACAAGAATATCCATCGATCTAAAATTTTTTTTCTATAATGACTTTTGGCTAAAGTTACTAATTAGTAGATTAAAAAATACAAATACTATATATATCTTATATATAAAATTTCCATGTCACAATGTTTGTTACCGTACTCCTCCGAAACGGATTTACCGATTTTTACCAAATTTTATATGCGTATTCAGTAGGTCTGAGAATCGGCTACTATCTATTTTTCATACCCCTAAGTGATAAGGATAAGGGTGGTCCTCCCAGACCCCACCCCAGGGACGAACCCGAGCGGAGCGAGGGTGAGTCGCTAATATATATATAAAAATAAATATATATATATATATATATATATATATATATATATATATATATACACACTCATATAACTAACCTCCTAACATTAATGTATGTAACTCACATGAGTTACTTAATTAAATAAAACTATCTTTTCGGATTATTTCGCGGATTTATTTTGATTTTTGGTTCCCGACGTTTCGAATGCTTTACAGCATCCATGGTCACGGGAGAGACTGAGGTGTTACATGTCTTAAAGATATAGTTGTTACAGACAGCCTACCCACAATTAACAAAATGAAAATTGCACCAATTACATTACAATATTTTTTAACTTAAAACATTTTTATAATTTTAATTATAATTGAATATGGAAAATTATTTATTTAATTTTTGCTATTATTTTTATAATTATTACAATTTTAAAATATTAATTAGTAATCTATATTTAGTGTTGCCATTATTATATTTATAACCATAAATCTATACTTATTATAAAAATAAGTCCCCCGGCCGCGTCTTTCTGTCCTCCTGTCTGTCCTCCTGTCTGTCTGTACGCGATAAACTCGAAAACTACTGAACGGATTTTTATACGGTTTTCAACAATAGAAAGAGTAATTCTTGAGGAAGGTTTAGGTATATAATTTATTATGCTTTTATGTAAATTAGCTGAAATACGGCGACAAATGTTGAAGAGGTCGCAAAAAATCTCGCCAAATGGGAACTTTCCACGCGAACGCCGCGTAAACTAGCAAAGATACAGTTAAGTAATGTACTAGAGAATTCAAAATCTATAAAAATGCTACAAAAAAGTCCGCGATAGCATATCTCTATCTCTTACGGTTGACTTACAATAACCACTTTTATGTTAACATTTTTAATTAAAAACATTACGTTATTTTCAAAGTTATTTTCTTTAGTTCGGTATTAATCCTTATCCAAATGAATATTTTAGTTAGCTTAGTCATTTAATGCAGATTAAAATTGCTCTTTACACTAAATCAATCAGATGAATAGTTTTTGAGATATCGTTGTTAGAAGTAATTAGTAGCGAAACATTTTTAATGCTTGGCGAGCATTGAGATGCCTACGGCGAGTCCATCCCCTCTGCCCCGCATCGCTCGACCGCCTGCTCAAGCTATATAAACCGGGCGATGTAGCGCGCGATCCTAGGATACTTTTTACCGCGGGAAAATATCTTATTTCTGAGGAAAAATACAAAAACTGCAATGTAAGAGTATACTAATATGTAACACCTAAGAATTTAGTTTTTGGTCATCTGAACGCGGGCGGAGCCGCGGGCAATGCTAGTAAAAATATAAAAATATAGTATTAATTATTAAAGCCATATAATTGTTCTATGTGTAATTTAAAAAGTTAAAATTAATTAAGGATAATCATTTTAATTTAGTTTGCTATTATTTAAAAATAACTTACTAAGCAACACTATTAATATATACTTTTACAAATGAAAAATATTAATCTGATAAGCTGTCATTTTGATCTACACAGTATGAACTTACTACATCTGCCTGTCTGTTATGTTTATATTTATTATTTGATTTTATTATATTAATAACAGGATCCCATGACGATGGTAGTACCCAGCCATCTTCCCTATTGCTATTTATTTTATTGCCTAATGGATGCTGTAAAGCATTCGAAACGTCGGGAACCAAAAATCAAAATAAATCCGCGAAATAATCCGAAAAGATAGTTTTATTTAATAATGTCAAACATTCGCGTAAATCTAAGAAAGTATTATGAGTTACTTAAATTAATATGGGGAGTTTAGTTATCAAAGTTATACGTATGTATATATAAAATAAGATTTATTTTATTGAAGGCATTTTAAACAATACTTACGGAAATGCTGCCATGGTGGCCAACTTCACAAACACATCTTGTTTGTTCTCTTTGATGTTGAAAAATTGTGGAGGTAGCAACTGGTATTTATTACAGAACACTTCTGGTTGCAAAATGTATTCCTGCCTTATAATAATATTGTCGCCTTTTGTACCAACGATTAAAACGGGAATGTGACTTTCAGCAAAATATTTCTGAAATTATTCAAATAAATTTTTGTTTAGATTAATTTTTGTGTAGATAATGTCAATCAGTCGCGACCTACAACACTTTTTTTATCACTTTTTTTTACAATTTGCGGTACTTTTAATATTCTTTTCTTTTCACTTTTGCTTATAGTAACTAAGTAAAACTTAACACTAACGCAAACAAGCCTTAGTGTTTTTTGTAATGCTACATTATGTTAAACGTTTATAGTCTTAGTCATAAATGTTAAATTAATTAAAAAAAAAGTATTCAACAAGACAGATGAAATATTAATCTCAGTTTATTAGTAAGACTTTATGATATTTAAATATCAAATTAAATATCTCTATATTTAAAAAAAAAACAATTATTGATATCTACTCACAATGTAAATTCTAGCGATGTATTCAAATGATCTACAGGCAGTTACGTCGTATACGAGACAGGCGACGTCACAGTTCACCTCATGGGGTTGCAGGGGATCAGACACTCGGGTGATTGAAATTTCTTTCAGAACTAAATACTTCTCCTGTCCATAAACAAGCACTGTGTTTATACAACAATTGCCCTCTGCGCTGTACCCATCGCCTCGCTCGTGTGTATTTGGTTTAATTTTCTAAAAAAGCAAATGAATGGAATCTTAGTATAAGGGCAGAAAACACGAAGATTATATGATAATACTAATGATTGCAGATTGGATTATTACAGGAAAAGATGTGTTATCAATAAGGGTATAACCCTATGTGCCATTCTACATTCAATGAACCTGTTTTACTCATATTATATGTACGGGTTATTTTAAAATTTATTCCCACTTGATTCCCCATACACACTTTTATCCCAATTTTCACTCCCTTAAGGAATGATTTCTAAGATAAGAACTATCATATAGATAGTTCCTTATCCTATAGTCTTTCCCAGTAATAGAAGATAATGATATCCTTCTCAGGGTCTCAAAACTATTTTCTTATCAAATTTCATTTAAATCAATTCATTAGTTTCGGAGCCTATTCGGTACAAACGTACAAAAAATCGAATCGTTCCTCTTTATATCTAATATAAAAAAAAATTGCATGAGGAATTACAGACAAAATATTTATTATATTATTTGTCATTATAAAATTAAAATTAATTTAAAAACCATTTCAATCAATAAAATGAACTCTTCCTCACCTTATGTGCTATACCTAAAAAACTTCTACACATTGAAGTTTTGCCACAAGATCTAGGTCCAATGATGTGGCACTGATATACATTTCTACTGGATTGCTTTTTTGCTATGTCAACCTTTTTATCTCTAGTTACTGAAAAAAGATATTCATATTAGTATTTGAATTACTAAAAACAAATATATAGAGTAAAAAAGCATTTCTTTTTCTATACTTACTGTGTATTGCTGATTTTTGAGTATCATTCTCCAAAAAGTTAAATCCTAGATACGCTAAGTAAGCATTTGTGTTTTGTAAATCAAGTAAAGTCATAAGAGTCCACCGACACATCCAACCTTGTAGAGTTAAGTAACCCTGTGATACAATAAAAATATATTATTAAAAATCAATTATGAAATTTATATTGCAACAAAATATATTCAATATATATAAATTAAAATAATTTAAAATATTAATGAATCAATGAATAAATTATTGTTATACATGTAAATTATAGTTAATAAAGTACCTTATCATTGGTTGGTACTGTGTAACGTAAATTGTGCCATGGAATTCGAGGACAACAAGAAAAAACATTTTTTAATTCAGTAGGGTTCAACATGCCATCTCTATCTTTGTCATATTTTTCAAATAACTGAGTTAAAAACTGCTGTCCTTTGTATGAGAGTTCAGAAGTGCAGCCAACGGGTATTTTAATGCTGTAATACAAATTTTGCTTTGATATTAGTTTCTGAATAATTTTATCTTATAATCTATCCCAACTTCACTTTGTTTTATTTTTTTCACACTTAAAAATATTGTTGCCTATACAAAATTTGTTTTATATAGATTAGTATTAGAATGACAATGACAAAGGAAAAATAAATTAATCAAAATAATAAACTTGAGTAAGTAAAAGTAAACATACTTAGGGTATAAATAATGTTGAGTTAATTCTAAACTTTCATCATATCCAAATTTGCGCAAAACTGTCCATGTGGTCTCATTCCTACCTCTTTGTATGAACAAGCAATGCAAAAATAAAAACCCTTTCATTGTTATACAGTCATTTTCTATACCACCTGCAATATTTTGTGCAATTACAGATTTTACTTCATCTAAAACCTGAAGAACAAGAGAATTTTAATTATTAGTACATAAAAAAATAATTCCCAACATTCAATAATATTCTAATTTCCTTATTTTGAACTTTGGAACTGTGAATTTTGATTTTCGTAAGAAAATCTACATTGATTAAAATAATATAAAACTTCTGCATATGCTTTTAGTAGTCAAATCAAATTTCAATCTGACCTGCAATTGTAATGGAGTATCGAAACATTTCTTCTGGAATACTGTTATTTCATAATCATCTATGAGACCATCACCATCAAGATCACAAATCTTATATATTCTAGTTAGAGCTTTTTTGCACCTTTCTGTAAGCTAAAAAATATTTATTTATTAATTTTTTTTAGAAAAAATAAGATTAAAAAAAACTTATTTTAAATATTACCTCTTGTTCCTCAATAGAATATATAGGATGAATAGGATGTAATACTGCTTTCTGAGCATTATAGAACATTTCTGAAACATTTGTTAAGGTTTTTGCTGAACATTCTATGCATCTGTCCACTTCAGGATATTCTTCAGCTATGTCCCAAATATTCTAGAATATAAAATTATCAGTGATTAAAAACAATGTTTTACAAATTTTATAGTTTTACATATTTTAGTGAAAATAATATATTTAATTTAACAATGAACTTACATCAATGACAGAATAATCAATTAAATCTATTTTATTTCCAACAAGAATTACAGGTTTTCTGTAATCATCTGGGCAATTGTCTCTTACAAATGGTAACCAATAAGAGGCTATTTTATTTAATGTTTCTTGCTTATCCACAGAAAACACTATACATATTACATGAGCTTTTTCAATTTCTTCTGCAACTTGCTCTAGAGTTTGTTCAGTAACTAAAAAAAACAATAGACCATAAAACATTTTATTATCTCACCGTTATTTATATAAATAAATCATTTTCGGTTGTTATGAAACTTACGGCATACATCAACGATGTTTGTAGGGACTTGCTCTGGGGTGACATCGGCAGGGATTGTGATCTCTTCTGCTTTAGGAGGGACATGTTCCGCAAACTCTTCAGTAACCAATGAAAGAATAAGTGAAGTTTTACCGACACCTGGGTCCCCAAGCAAGATTATTCGAACCGTTCTAGGAATAGATTCATACACCATTTTGGAATTTGTAGTTAGGCCATATCAGGACATACTGAATACATTTTCTATAGTCAAGAATGTGTAATAATAATAATGTTTCGCTTTTAAATAGTTTTATTTTCATGTACAATTTATTAGCCCAAATACCGATTTTACTTTTACTATAAGTACAGACTACAGATTATATTACATTTGGCTATTTTTTCACAGATAATAATATATATTTTCTTACAACAACTTTCAACTTCTCTCATATCACACCCTGTTTTCCAATTAGAGTATTAAAGCGCATTATGCGGCATAATGCTAACTTCGGATGTTCCAACTTCAACTACAGTTCAAGTACTGCTTTGGCCGCTTGGTATTTGGCGACGCCAAATTGGCGTAATGCGCGCAAGAATACCAACTCAATAACAAAAACTATGGGAAGTGTTTTTTCTTCAAGGTGGCGTTGATCATAATTATATTTACAATATCGTTAGTAATATTTTTTTATATTCTATTTATATTCTATTTATATAATTATATATTAATTAGTTATATATTATTATATATCTATCTATACTAATATTATAAAGAGGTAAGATTTGTGAGTTTGTGACGTTGTAAGGGGTAATCTCTGGATCTACTGAACCGATTTTAAAGATGAAAAGGGTATAGCCGGATAAGTATAGCGAACCGGCCACCTACCGACAACATATATCGAAACTTATGTGTCAATAAGTTTCGATATAGGTTGTCCGTATGGGGCCGGTTCGCTATAGTTATCCGGCTAAACCCGTTAGTAAGAAGATAATTTGAGAGCCTGGGAAGGACATAGAATAGTTTTTATTCCGGAAATCATCCCTTAAGGGAGTGAAAATGGGGATGAAAATTTGTATTGGTAAGCAAGCTAGAGTCGAACCCGAGAGAAGCGAGGGTAAGTCGCTAGTTTATTATATAATTTATAATATCAACGTTATATATTATTATATATTAGTTATATTTTTTTCTTTCAACACTGAACCTAGTGCCCTCTGCTGGTGCACTTGAAAACTAATTCACTTTCCAATTAAGCATTAGCACACTTCGGCATTGTGTGCCAAAGTACGGCATTATGCTCTTTATTGGAAAACAAGGCCAATCATAAACTAAATGTAAGTAGGAAGTTAATCTAGAAATACGTCTGTAACGTCTGTATTTACTGCGTAAATTGGATCATATTTTACGAATCGTGAACAAATTGTCAATGTGACACTGACATATTTCAAGTTGTTCTTCTTGTTCAATTCTTGTGCCAGAACTTCAAAAAGTCGTGCATTTTATACATCAAAGTACCGAATAAAAATAAAAATCAAACATCTAATGTATATTATGTTTTAATAACCACAATGGGGGAGATAAATAATAAGCATTCGGAATGGGACACAGGAAAAGGCTTAAGAGAACCAATTAAAACTCTAGAGGTTAGTTATTATTCAGATATTTTACTTTTTTATAATGTTTTAAACGTTGAGATAATTACTAAAAGTGTTATGGTGGCTTTTCACAGGACAAATGGAAACTTGTTCCTTCTTTTCTCCAAATAAAAGGATTAGTTAAACAACATATAGATTCATTTAATTATTTTATAAATGTAGAAATCAAAAAAATTGTTCAAGCTAATGAAAAAGTCTTTTGCGATTCAGATCCTTTGTTTTATATTAAATATTTAAATGCATATGTGGGAACACCAGATTTAGAAGAAGGTTTTAATGTAACTAAACCTACTACTCCTCATGAATGTCGACTTAGAGATATGACATATTCTGCACCTATTACTGTTGACATAGAATACATAAGAGGCAATCAAAGAGTTATTAAAAATAAACAATTAATTGGAAGGTAAGTTTAAATAATTTTAATTTTTCAATAGTATTGATCATAAGCTTAGAAGTACATGTAAGTATACTTGGATAAAACATTCACAACACAATTTTATTAATTTTAAAATAATTTTATAAAGTTGTGTTTTCCTGATTAATAAATTATTTCAGAATGCCGTTAATGTTGAGATCTTCAAACTGTGTTTTGACAAATAAATCTGATTTTGAATTGGCTCAATTGAATGAATGTCCACATGATCCTGGTGGTTATTTTATCATAAGAGGTGAGGTGTGTGGTTAAAAAATTTGATTTAGATATTAATTATGCTTATTTGATAAATTATGAATAATACATAATTTTATAGTAATCCTACTTGGATTTATTCAATTATTAATTAATCAATAAATAGTATTTATTTTATGGCTTTTATGCAGGCTAATTGAGCATAAATCAATTTTGCCTTTGAATGATGAAGTCACATTAGGGATGTATCATGCAAGCCATCAGTCAGATTTAGACTAGATCATTTTTTTCCGTCCTTCTGTCACATAAAGATTTAAGCTAATTGAATTAAAATCTTGTTTTTGACATCAGCTGTATCTACTGTATGCCCTTCAGCATAGGCACCTGCCAATTCTTTCTTAATATACATTGCTGTCCATGGCCATATTTTCCTATAACATCTCTCTTTTACTTGTGATTTCCAATTTTATTTTAAATTATTGAATCCATTCTTTAGTTTTTTTTCTTAGATTTAATGTTAGTTTAAAGCTTAATTTTATTATTTTAAAGAGTAATTTATTTATGTCTGTAATTGTAAGTATAAAACAATTTTCATATAATGTAATATAATGTTTCTTTTTGTTGAAAAATGTCACACAACATCCTTTTTTTTCCTCAGGCCAAGAAAAAGTAATATTAATTCAAGAGCAATTATCTCGGAATCGAATGATTGTTGATGAATTTAAAGGGGCCATTCAATGTCAAGTTACAAGTTCAACCCATGAAAAGAAAACAAGAACAAATGTTATTGTAAAAAATGGAAAATATGTGCTACGACATAATGCCTTGTCTGATGTAAGTGAAGATTATCTGTATATAATAAATAATAATACAATTACATATTAAAGTGTATCTCTTCAAGAACATAGTATTCATCACTTTAACCTACTTTAAATTCATAGTCCTGCTCACTTTTAATTTATTGTCTGCCTTAAAAATTAAATTTACTAAAGCTATTAACATTATTATTGTTATTATAATTATTATACAATATATTTTAGGACATTCCCATAGCAGTGGCTTTCAAGGCAATGGATATTTGCAGTGACCAAGAAATAATGCAACTAGTTGGTACTGATGATGCAATTGTCAAGAAAATGGCACCATGTATAATGGATTGCCACAACTTAAAAATTTTTACACAAAATCAAGCTCTTGCATATATTGGAAGTAAACTTAAAGTAAAAAGGTTATTAATTTGATTTAACTACATGTATGCATAAAGTGTAATAATAATTCAAATAGAAAGAAATGAACATTTAAAATTGTAATCTATAGTCAGAGGCATTTTTTATCCATATTTTTTTAATGATTCTTACAGATTTCAAACAGCAAACGCAAAATTTAGAACTCCCATAGATGAAGCAAGAGATCTCTTGGCAACAACTATTCTAGCACATGTGGCTGTGGAGAATTATAATTTTTATGTAAAAGCTATTTATTTAGCTATTATGGTTAAAAGGGTAATAGAGGCAGAAAATAACAAGGCAGCCATTGATGATCCTGATTACTACGGTAATAAAAGGCTTGAATTGGCTGGATCATTGTTAGCTCTCATGTTTGAAGATCTGTTTAAAAGATTTAATTGGGAATTGAAATCTATAGCCGACAAAATAATACCAAAAGTAAAAGCTGCCCCATTTGATGTAGTGAAACATATGAGGCCAGACCTCATTGCCAATGGATTGTTTACCGCAATATCCAGTGTAAGTTTATTTATTTTTTTAGTACTCTAGTCGAAGTTCCATTATTGTATAAATTCAGTGTTTTTGGTTAATTTTGAAGTCTGTAATGTGCCTTACATCACAGATAATTATATGTTTGAAGTAGCGAGTCCAATTGTATTGATGAACTCTACAGAATAAATTGGTGGTTTGTGTAAATGGAGCTATAAGATGCTTCAAAATCTAAAGTACATATAGTCACACTAAACAAGTCACCCAATATAAGAATATCTCTTACTATAATATCCCCACTCCATTTAGTGACTAAACCTTTTTTTCTTTTTATACTATATATTTAAGATTTATATATACTATAGATTCATATATCATCAGTAGTTATGGTACATAGCTTTAAATAAACTACTACTACCTTTAAACTTTTACCAATACAATTATTTGAATTACATAGGAATAGATCTTTTGGTGTTATTGACACTTTCATTTCTATGAAACATATGTATACCTTTACTCGTAATACGTAATATATATATATATATATATTATATATATATATATATATATATATATTCTTATAAATAAGACCAGAAGTTATTTTTTTTAATACAAATTTATTACTACCCTCAAGAAAACAATTTACAAATCAAATTTACTTTGAAAACAATTAATTTTAACAAACCAAAATTAAATGAAACGAAAACTAAAAATGTAAGACCTCTAAAACAATTACAACAATTACGTAACGATCTAACGAAAAACCTGACGGACAGAATGACGTTGCCGAGATGTTGACCCGATGACAGCCGAACAGCAAAAGCGAGCGCCGGGCGCTGGCGCTGCCTTTTATACGTTTTCCTCACTCTCCTATCTTTCAACTTCTACACGGCCTTTCCTGACGGGAGACCGCCCTCGGACTCCTCCATCTTCTAACTCTGGAGATCAGTCTCCAGCATTGGCATCGAAGGCTCTGTGCTGTCATCGCTCGACGTGAAGGTGGGTGACGCAGCAGGCTCTTCGCCATGTATCTGCGTCCCTGACGTGCTAGGTTGCGGCTCACTCGCGTCACCAGGAACGTCAACATTGTAAGGCTGGGTAACGCTAGGAGTTGTCGACTCCTCGTCCTCTGCATCTGCACAAAACGAAATAATAACACAGAATAAATTCACAAAAGGAAATTATCCAAGTTAGAAAATTCTTAGTCAGCTCAAAAGGTTATCATCCAACTTTATGTACTTGTAAGCTAAACTGACGAAATAGAACAGTCTAAACACAGCGGATATAAAACTTACAAATATAAGTACCAATCACCCGGGGCAGTTCCCGTCGGGGAGTGCACCCTCATGACTCGATAGAGGTCTATGCGGACTTACATGAGACATAACTTTGCATGTGTGAATCGGTACCCATAAAAACATGTTTGAACCCAAACCAACAACAATAAAACCACGGACAATGTCTGCCCTGCAGACATATGCCACACACACCACGACTCGTCAGAGGCCAACTCGTGGCATGACCCTGCGTGTACACAGCTCCAGGACCACATGTCTGAGCAACTCCAAGACAGTGTCCGAGCACACAAACAAAGCACAACAACCCTTAAAAAAAACTTTCACACAAAAAAAAACAGAAAAAGTTACAAATTAAACGTAACAGTAGACAGAGGTCCCGGCATAGACATGTCCGCAAAATCTCAAATAAAAATAAATTAACTAAATGCCAAAACGAATGAATTAACCCACCATTAAACATAGCAGAGCACACATCGGGAGTCCACTCTCCTTGCCACAGAATCATGTATTCCGCAGCCGCTTGCGTTGATTTCCCGTACCAGCCGGCCACGAGCTAAAGCTCATAGCGACCGTGGGGAAGAACTTTCACCACGCGGTAGGGCCCTCGCATACAGGAATCCAGCTTCCCAGTCGATTGTGCCTGTTTTCTAACAAAAACCAATGAGTTGACTTCAAAAGTACGAGGCGGCTTACGACCTTGGTTAACGTATGCATCTTGACGCTCTTGATTCGAACGCAGTTGTTCAGATGCTCTCTGGCGACGCATTTCACGTAGGGCTTCCCTGTTCGGGCTGGAACCCTCAACAGCGACGTCACGGACCAGACTCCGGATGAGTGGTGTTCCGCCACATCGTCACATGCGGCCACTTCCGCTGTCGATAATTGCACTCTATGCGCACCATATTGAGCACCGTGCGACAGTAACGTTCCACCTGCCCGTTGGATTGATGCATTTCAGGCGTGATCAGGTGCGTGTCACCACCCATGTCTTTGACCCAATTGATAAAGTCGGTACATTGGAACATTCGGCCTCTGTCAGCTACGACTAGCTTGGGTGTTCCGAAAAGGGAAATGAAGTTGGTGAAATGTCGCTTTAACTCGTCAGTATCTTGTCGATACATTGTGTACAATAGACAAAACTTTGAAAATGCATCGATAACGATGAGAACATAACGATAACCGTCAGCTTCAGGCAATGGACCTAGTACATCCATGTGAATCGTATCAAGGGGCACGTCTGGTTTCTCCCAGGAATGAATGGGCTGTAGGGGAGCGCGGGCAACTTTCTTGTATGAGAGGCACACCAAACAATGCGTTACGTACTTGGAGACAAAAGCTCTCAACCCCGGAAACCAAAAGTGTTTCATAATAAGATTCACTGTCTTCTCTACCCCAGGATGCTCATGTTCATCGTGGAATAAACGTAAAAGGCTGAGTCTGTGGCCTTTAGGGATAAAGCACAACATTTTAGGATTTTCACCAGTAGGTGTATACTTGAAGTAAAGTACATCGTTCCTAACTTCGTAGCGAGAAGGATCCAATTGTCTATCTGATAATTTCTGAATAAGGGACCGGGTCTCTTCATCAGAAGCCTGAGCAATCTGAGCCCAATTCAGAGGTTTTCGAATGGTAACCATGTTAACTGGGTTTCGACTAAGATAGTCGGCATGGGACAAAAGGGTACCTTTGCGATATTGTAGGACAAAATCAAAGTCTTGGAGGTACACCCACCACCGGGCCACCCTAGGCAATAAGTCTCTCTTACGCTGGGTAAGTTTCAACGCATTGCAGTCGGTAACCACAGTAAAGCGTAAACCCACAAGATAATGCCTAAAATACTGGAGAGCCTTAACTACAGCCAGCGTCTCCAGTTCATACGAATGGTATTTACTTTCAGCTCCCTGTGTAAGTCTGCTAAAGTAAGATACCACTCGCTTACGATTACCTTCGTGTACTTGTAATAAAACAGCTCCATAACCAATAGAGCTCGCGTCCGTATGGACCTCTATTGGTAATGAAGGATCATATATAGCAAGCACTGGCTCACTCGTCAGACATTCAACAATGTACTTTCGAGCAGCTTGTTGTTCTAATCCCCAGTTAAAGTTCACACCCTGTTAAGTTAACGCGGCAATACAAGCAGTTTTCTGGGCAAAGTCAGCTATGTAACGTCTAAAATAGCTGGCTAAACCCATGAACTGACGAACCTGCTTAACATTCTGCAGTTCAGGTGTGTCAACCAAAGCCCTAACTTTTTCGTGACTCGGCCTAACCTGACCTTCGCAAATTGTACGCCCTAAGTATTCGATCTGAGTTGATAAGAAAGAACATTTCTTCAAATTTATTGAAAAACCGGCTCTAGTTAATGCACTCAAAACTTTGCGGAGCAGAACTAGACCCTGATCCACGGTTCTACTTAAAATAAGGACGTCGTCAATGTAAACAAGAATATCGCCAGATTCAATGAACTCGCGAAGTGTTTTAGTGATGATTCGCTGGTAAACTACCGGAGCATTTGCCAAACCATAAGGAATTTTCAAATATTGATAATGTCCCTCTGGCGTGACAAATCCAGTTAGCGGTACCGAGTCCTGGTCCAGTGGAATCTGATGAAATCCAGTAGCCATGTCTAGACTACTAAAGTACCTATTGTGTCCTAAGCGGTCTATATGGTCATCAATCCGCGGTAATGGAAACCGATCTTTAACCGTAATATCATTGAGCTTACGAAAGTCTACACACACAGTCTTTCTTTTTGACAAGAAGGATAGGGCTTGCGTACTCCGACTCAGATTCCTCAATTATGCCTTTGTCCAACAGTTCTTTAATTATTTCACGAACACGAAGCGTCTCGGCATGTGAAAGACGGTACGGACGGTAGTAAACTGGGGTACTGGAATTTAATTTAATCGACATACACCCTGTATTTACTGTCGAAGTAGCAGTACCGAAAATAAAAAATGTTGAAAAGTCATTAACTATTTGTAGCAGCCTTTGTAACTCAATACCAACGAGAGGTGTATTAATTGAAATAGCTTTAGACTGAATCGTCATTACTTGATCTAAACAATTATTAACCCTAGTTAGTGACTGACGACCCTTAGTGTGAACATACTTAACACCGTCTCTATTTAAGACGTCCGTACCTACTATAACCGGGACGTTCATGTATTCGAATGACACGACGAACAAATCTACTTCGAGAGTTAAACCATCGAATTCAATCGGCAAAGTAACATAGGAGGTACTCTCCACTTCCTGACTACCTAAACCCTTCAAAATTCGAAGACTTGGCTTTCGCGGACAGTTAAAATATTTCAGCAAAGAGGAAGCAATCAGCGATACAGTTGAACCGCTATCAATAAGGACATCTACAGGGATGTCCTGAACAACGGCTACCACTACGTCGCTATTGTTAGCAGTCACCAACAAATTACAAAAATTAACTGTATCTTTGCTTGCTACATCGGACCGTTGTTTGGCGAAACAAGTGTCCTCTTTATGACCTGGTTTCTTACAAAACGAGCACGGTTCGTATCTAGTCGGCACAAAAGCGGGCTTCGGAGTCGCGGAATTAGTAGTGGCTCGAGCCTCTATCAACTCTAGGTCGTTTAGTACACGAAGCCTGCCTATGCCCCAACTGTCCGCACAAGTAACACTTTATGTCACTACTACGTCGTCTAGCAACGTCAAAGCTCTGTTTATCTTTGGTTCTATTATACGGAACCGAACGCGACATAGAACTTTTCGAATTGTTCACCGGCTTAACATAAATCGAGAAAAATTCAACTAAATCGTTTGGTAGCAGTTTGGCATTTGTTGCCGCCGCACGAATATTAGGATCAGTAATACCGCGTATGATTATAGCCGAAATCAGTTCGTCACTCAACCCACGTACTATACGTAAGCGGAGTAAGGAACGGCGTGCGTAGTCCGCATAAGTAGTGTACTTATCAGAGTTCGTGTTAATAACCTCCGCTAAAATACCCGCGATATCAGGTGTTTTCGGACACAATGGCCTAAATTCCTTTTTAAAATTACTCCATGTACGATCAGTTGTTACCCACTCGTTCAACCACAATCGTGCATCACCCTTTAAACAATTACCGATTCGCGAAAGGCATTCAAAATCGTTCCAGTTATTGAGGGCCCTAGCTCGATCTACCTCCGCACACCAATCATCAATGTTGTGTAGGTCGGGATCGAAATTAGAAATGTAAAAGTGTTGGCTAAATCTACCCGCGTTATTAATAGAATTAATCACATCTACAATACGATCAGTAATGGTAGAATGCATCGACGCATCCACCTCGCTACCACGACGTGGCGATCTGGATCGAGAACGTCGGCGTTGACTAACTTCTCGAGTAGGCAACACGTGGTCACGCGACCGCGATGTCGTATACTTATTAAGGGATCTTGACCTACACCGCGGCGACAACGGACGACGTACACTACGTGAAACCGTGCGATCAGGCGATCGCGAGATATTGCGCCCTAACAATCGTGTTTGCCGGCGCCGCGATGGCGATCTATCGTGCACATTTTCTGACACTAACACATCACGAACACCAGAACCCGCCATGTGCTCACTCGAACGCGCTGGAATAGATGTAGCCCTAGACTTATTTTCTAACGCACTAAGACGAGCTATCATTGTTCTCATTTCGAGCCTCAACCGAGTATTCTCGTCAGGAGATCGTTCACGACGTCTACTATCACTCCGATCACGGTCACTGCGACGCTCATGACTGGGGCTGCGACTACCGCGACGGCTCGCACTACGATCACGCTCACGATCTGACATTGTAACTAAATTGAAATAAAAACAGAATCGCAAAACCTATTAGTAAACACAATCACTACACAAATACCTATGTATTCACTAACCACCACCAAATATTGCAACTAACTTGTACACTCGCGAAAATAGAACGTAAACAAAGAAACAAAAAAATCCGAACTGAGAAAATCAATCAACAACAGTAAAACAACAAATGAAGTGGGCTAAATGAGACCTATCCCACTTCTGATCTTATAAATAAGACCAGAAGTTATTTTTTTTAATACAAATTTATTACTACCCTCAAGAAAACAATTTACAAATCAAATTTACTTTGAAAACAATTAATTTTAACAAACCAAAATTAAATGAAACGAAAACTAAAAATGTAAGACCTCTAAAACAATTACAACAATTACGTAACGATCTAACGAAAAACCTGACGGACAGAAGACGTTGCCGAGATGTTGACCCGATGACAGCCGAACAGCAAAAGCGAGCGCCGGGCGCTGGCGCTGCCTTTTATACGTTTTCCTCACTCTCCTATCTTTCAACTTCTACACGGCCTTTCCTGACGGGAGACCGCCCTCGGACTCCTCCATCTTCTAACTCTGGAGATCAGTCTCCAGCATTGGCATCGAAGGCTCTGTGCTGTCATCGCTCGACGTGAAGGTGGGTGACGCAGCAGGCTCTTCGCCATGTATCTGCGTCCCTGACGTGCTAGGTTGCGGCTCACTCGCGTCACCAGGAACGTCAACATTGTAAGGCTGGGTAACGCTAGGAGTTGTCGACTCCTCGTCCTCTGCACCTGCACAAAACGAAATAACAACACAGAATAAATTCACAAAAGGAAATTATCCAAGTTAGAAAATTCTTAGTCAGCGCAAAAGGTTATCATCCAACTATATATATAAATAATTAAGTATTATATATATATATATATATATATATATATATATATATATATATATATATATATATATATAATAGGTATCATTTAATAGGTATTATGTTGTTTTTAGGGAAATTGGACGATTAAAAGATTTAAAATGGAAAGGCACGGCGTCACGCAAGTTCTTAGCCGTCTTAGCTACATATCGGCTTTGGGTATGATGACAAGAGTCAATTCTCAGTTTGAGAAAACTAGGAAAGTTTCCGGGCCTCGATCGTTACAGCCATCTCAGTGGGGTATGCTTTGCCCTTCAGACACCCCTGAGGGCGAGGCTTGTGGCTTAGTAAAGAACTTAGCCCTTATGACGCATATTACAACAGAATGTTCTGAAGCCCCCATAGCAAGGCTCGCGTGTAACGCAGGAGTCGAGGATGTAAGGCTTTTGGGTGGAGAAGAAATCAACCATCCAGCTGTTTACATGGTGTTTCTTAATGGTATGATTTTGTTATTTTGATACTAGAATTTTAATCTTAAACTACTTAATAAGTAAAGTGCTCAAAATATTTATTTTAATTTTCTATATAATACGCTTTTATCTATCAGTATCAAAACATGTTCCAATAATTACTAAAACATTTTTTTTATTTGCATATTATTGACAGTAACTTAGTGGAGAATTGTAAACTTTTTAGCTGTTTTTAAATAATGTTGGAACATAATAATTTTCAGGTAATATATTAGGTGTGACAAGACAGTATAAAAAGCTGATCAAGATATTCCGAATGTTCAGACGACGCGGTCTGATATCAGCCTTTGTCTCCATATACCCGAATCATAAACAACGTACAGTATATATTTGCAGTGATGGAGGAAGACTTTGCAGACCTTACATCATTGTAGAAAAGGGCCATCCGTTAGTCCAGCAATCGCATATAAATGAATTGAATAGAGGTATTAGAAAGTTTCAAGACTTCCTAACAGATGGTTTGATTGAATATTTGGACGTGAATGAAGAAAATGATAGTCACATAGCGACCGTCGAGCTGGAGATAGATCCGTACGTGACGACGCATTTGGAGATAGAGCCGTTTACTATATTGGGAGTATGTGCGGGACTCGTCCCTTATCCGCATCACAATCAAAGTCCCAGGAATACTTACCAATGCGCTATGGGGAAACAGGCCATGGGTTAGTTAAATATTGAATAATTCATATGGGAATTTTAGCTGAAACTAAAATCAATAGTCTTTTATTAATGGAACTTCTATATTTGAAATACTTCTATAATATTATATTTATTTCAAAGTCTACTCACAATTTTCATATTAAGTGCAATAATTTGACATCATTGAGTTGACCTGTTGATGTTGATGATGAAGATGATAAATAAATAATTAAAAATATTTTTTCTATGCAATGATATGAGGAATATAGATTTGTTTATATTTCAGGTACAATTGGCTATAATCAAAAAAACCGCATTGATACATTAATGTATAATTTGGTATATCCTCAATGTCCCATGGTGAAAACAAGGACAATAGAGCTAACAAACTTCGACAAACTGCCCGCCGGCCAAAACGCCACCGTCGCAGTGATGAGCTACAGCGGCTACGACATTGAAGACGCCTTGATATTGAACAGAGCTTCCATCGATCGAGGCTATGGACGTTGTTTGGTGTACAAGAGTGCAAAAACTACAATGAAACGCTACAGTAATCAGACGTCTGATAGAATTTTGGGTCCGTCTAGAGATGCGGTATCTGGTAAAGTCATTAAGGCGCATGAAGTGTTGGATACAGACGGTATTGCAGCGCCCGGTGAAATGGTTGAGAATCGGCAAGTGTTGATCAACAAACAAATGCCACCGGCCACTTTGAACCCTATCGGTCCAGGACAACCGCAGCAAATCGACTACAAAGACGTCCCCATAACATACAAAGGCCCAGTCGAGTCGTACATAGAAAAAGTAATGGTATCATCGAATTCTGAAGACGCCTTTCTCATAAAAATATTGCTAAGACAAACCCGAATTCCAGAAATTGGTGATAAGTTTAGTTCTCGGCACGGCCAGAAAGGTGTTACTGGATTGATAGTTCAGCAAGAGGACATGCCGTTCAACGACCGCGGCATTTGTCCAGATATGATCATGAACCCTCACGGATTCCCTTCCAGAATGACGGTTGGCAAGACGATCGAGCTGTTGGCGGGGAAGGCTGGCTTAATGGAGGGCAAATTTCATTATGGTAAGTTCACAATGTTTAACATGTTCTTATAATAACAAATAAAGTGATATATTAAAATATTGTATAATTACCGTTTCTATATTTTTTTATATAATTTTAATTTCTTCAATGTTATAATAACGCAGGAACAGCATTCGGCGGTTCAAAAGTCCGCGACGTTTGCAAAGAACTAGAGAAGCACGGCTACAACTACCACGGGAAGGACATCTTCTACTCCGGACTGACCGGCGAGCCGCTGGAGGCGTACATATACTCCGGGCCGGTGTACTACCAGAAGCTGAAGCACATGGTGCAGGACAAGATGCACGCGCGGGCACGCGGGCCGCGCGCCGTGCTCACGCGTCAGCCCACCGAGGGCCGCTCGCGCGACGGCGGCCTGCGCCTGGGGGAGATGGAACGCGACTGTCTCATCGGATATGGCGCTAGGTAACACATTTTTGGAATACTATTCTTTTGCTTCAATCTATGGTGAACGATTTGAAGTGGAAACGGGACAGTACAAATAAGGTAATGAGTACTTTTTAATATTGTTATCTGATGGTCCAAAAAAATGAATAGTTAAAAAATATATAAACGACATATAAAAAGCCAAACTTTTCTAAAATATTCTATACTATATGTAGATACATATACATAAATTAAATATTTCCTTTTATGGCGTTGTTGCCAAAAACTATATATATATAATTTTTTGTTATTTATTTATAAGACATAATCTTTATGAATAAAGATATAATGTAAAGAATATTATATAATATTCTCATCGCTCTAGCACTACGAATATTATATGTATAATTACATTAAATAGACCTAAGATCATTATAATTTTACCATAAGCTTAGTTATCAAACATAATTGTCAACATAATATACAAAAACTAAAAAGTTACATTATAAATTGTACGATAAAGATTACATTAGTTACAATTTTTTATAATAATTTCATTAATAATAACATAGTAATTAAGTAATAATTATAATACAGCATGCTGCTAATGGAGCGGCTGATGCTGGCGTCGGACGCGTTCAGCGCGGACATCTGCGGCGCGTGCGGGCGGCTGGCGGCGCGCGCGTGGTGCCACGCCTGCCGCTCCTCCGCCGCCGTCTCCGCCGTCGACATGCCCTACGCCTGCAAGCTGCTGTTCCAGGAGCTCGCCGCCATGAATATTGTGCCTAAACTCACACTCAAGAAGTACTGTTAGAGCACTGAGTCACCAGTCATGTGTCTATTTAAATGGTGAGATCACTTTAAAGAAGTACTACTAAGACATTGAGTTGTCGAAATTATTCGGTTTAAAGTTAGAGCGAATGATGGAAATTAAAGAGGTGGAGCTTCGCTACTATAAATGTGCGTCTGATGGAACTAGGATTTGTGAGAGTCCTCGCACACTACAGACTTTCTACCGGTTAATGGTTTAATGAGGTTTGTAGTATGCAGTGTGTAAAGACTTTAAGGAAAAATCTGTATACTTAATTCCATTGAATCTGCTACTTTTCATGTAAAATCCAGCCTCGCTCGATCCAAATAAATGTAATAGAGAGAAACAACATCGTATTTTTTTTTATTTACTATTCTCCAATAACTTGCAGTATTTGGATATAAATAATATCATTTTAATACAAGTACCAGGGCCACCGAGCTTCGCTCGGAGTTTTTAGTTAAAAAGTGCAACTTTCTTAAAAAAAAATATATATATCTTTTTATCCGACTGAGATTCGAACCCGGACACATATGATTGTCAATCTTGCGTCTTTTTTTAAAAAAAACTAAAAACTTAAATATTAAAAAAAATAAAAGTAAAAACTTTGTATGCGACCGAGATTCGAACCTGGACATCTGTGATTGTTGATCTTGCACATTGGCTGCTTGAACATGATGCTTATACCCAAGCGTGCAAATTACCGACCATATTTTGCGTGGAATAGCAAAAGAAAACTGCACGAAAACTCGAGAACACGCGTTTTCTCAGACATAAGACAAATCTTCGAGTTATCGCCCCCGAAACCCCCTGTGTACTAAAATACATGAAAATCGTTGGAGCCGTTTCCGAGATCAGATTACAATTTAAAAAAAATAAAAATAATAAAAAAAATAAGTTTATGTTTTAGATGATTAACGATAAAGTTGATTATTGAAAACACGAATAAAATGACATTTTCTAAAAATACCTGGGCGACCGAGCTTCGCTTGAAGTTTTTGGTCAAAAGTACAATTTTCTTTAAAAAAAAAACAAAAAACTTGAATAAATACAAAAAAAAATTATACCTTTGTATCCGACGGGATTCGAACCCGGACACTTATTCAATCTTTCGCCTTGGTCGCTTAACCATGATGCTTATATCCGAGCGTTTGAAATTATCGAACATAATATTTTGCGTGAAATAATGCAAAAGAAAACCCCATGAAAATTCGAAAACATGCGTTTTCCCCAGACATAAGACTAATCTAGATCGATTTATCGCCCCCGAAATCCCTTGTGTACTAAATTTCATAAAAATCGTTGTAGCCGTTTCCGAGATTCAGATTATATATTGATATATAAATATATTTACAAGAATTGCTCGTTTAAATATATTAGATATTGTAAGTGTCGTACTTGCTGTCGTTAATATAAAATAAAGGATGGACCTTTTATTTATATTCAAATAATATGGAAAAGTCTTCAAATTTGGTTCACATTTAAGCAGTGGCGGCCTTAGGGGTGGCGAGCAGGGCAATCGCCCGGGGCCTCGCGCCTTCGCACAACAACCCAAGTGTATTAGAATCTCGTGCCTTACGCTGTGTATTAAAAATCCCACAACGTGCAAATACAAGCACATATCACATATCTTTCAATAAACCTTTATTAATATTAAATCTTGCACTATTAAGTATAAGTAATAATAGTAAAGTAAGTGAATTAGTAAAAAAACTGCGTAAAAGTGCTTAATTAAATTTATATGCAAAAAAGATTTTCAAACTGAGTTTGGCCGATTGTGATGCCAGTAGAAAAAATTAGTTCGATAGTTCGAAAAGGCAACAAGCTATCAAAAGAAAGCATTTAGAGAATATCTTTATGTGTATTTGTATAAATATATAAAAGACAATGGTCAAGAAGCTTCTAAGTCCATGATACTCTTTAGTGACTGAAAGTGACATGTCATTGCATTCTAACCCTAACCTAGCTGAAATATTTTTTTCAACAACAACAGTGAGTAAGCAACATCATTATTACTCCACCGCCGCCGCCGTCGTCAACATTATCCAGCCAAAAATACGTATCTAAATCTATGTCTACATCCAGTGGCGGCATTGAAAATCTGAATCCTTGAAATGACCCAAATTTATGGTCATCAATAATTACTGATGCAGACCGAACTAAGATTTCATTGAAAGGTCTAATCCGTTCTAAGACAGACTTTCTTTCAAACGATAGTGGACGGTGATTCATTGATGATGATGATGATGTTCTCCTAGCCGATTCCGGCCACGGCGGCCAATCTCATTGAGTCTAGCCAACTGCGCAGGAGATATTATAGTCCACAAGTGTACGCGCAGACACAAGTGCACTCTCTATTCCTGTCACTCTCATACTCCGGTGGGACGACTTCTCGACACGACCAGTGAGAGTTAAGGCGCAGGACCGACGGCTTTACGTGCTCTCCGAGGCACGGGGGTGTAACAGCGCCAACTTCTCAACTCCGGGCTGTTACTGAGACTTACTATACAGAAAGACTCATTCCTTGAATAGGTATCATTACAATAAAATATTAGCTAATGGCGAAAAACTAGACAGGCACTGGATGATTTATTCACAAACAAATTATGCTATTTACTGCATTCTCTCTCGATTGTTCAGAATAAAATATAAAAAATTGGGTCCAGTGCAGAAGTTTTCAATTGGAAAAACTTGGATAAATATTTAAACTTTCATTAATCTAGTCGACTGCAAAAAGATCGTATGTTAAAATGGCTAAATTTAGAGAACGGGTGTGAACGGATGGTTAAATTTAGAGACTGGCTTAAAAAAGCTGTACATCTATTGACTCTTCAGCCCATAGTCTTTGGTCCCCCAGAGTGGAGCGCAAGAGCCAAGAGCTTGAAAGAGTAGAAGTGCTCAATATGCAAAATAACGAGGAAACCCGCTCACGAGCATTTGCGATGGTGAAACCGGTGCACATTTCTGGACACCTTTAGCCGACCACGCTGATGCTGTGCCCGACGCATTATACTGCGAGTGGGAGGCGAGTAACCATATGCCAAATATTGAGACTGTTGAGAAGGCGGACGCCCGATAGTCTTATCCAATAGGCCAGTTTTGTAGCCCATCCAAACTCCATTCCATAAACCCTTTTAGTTTTTTATGTTTTCCATAGTCCCTACGCATTATCCGGATCATATTTGAGCAATTCCTTATGGGTTACTCAGAGATGGATCCCGGCTGATGCTTCATGTTAAACGCTTAAATCTCAGGGGTCTCTACGTGTTGAACCTGAGGAACACAAGTCTCCTAAAAGGCCGGGCTCCTCCGAGCCCGTGAATTCTAAAGAAATACAAATAATATCAACATCTCGGAAAAAATATTCAAAATGAGCTTATAGAATAATGGCAAGTCACGCGAAGACTAAAAATGTTAACAAAATAATAAATTTATCTTCTTTGTGCTTGTTAACTTTTCTGAATTTCCAATATACAATTTTAAAACTCTAAATTTATTTATTTATAACTTTTGCATTTCTCGTCAAGCATCGTCATTAAAAATATTTTCAATTCACATAAATCCCATAAAGGACAAGGGCCTCGCAAAGATCTACTGCCCGGGGCCTCGCAATGGCTAAGGCCGCCCCTGCATTTAAGATTATGTTAATTGCTTTTTAAGCTTGTTAGATTAAATACCTAATATTTTTTAATTTTAATATTTCTGTATTACAAATTCCATCTAATTTTATTCTAAAACAAATTAAATACAGTATAGAAAACCGACCGTAAATTTGTTATTTATACTCGATTTTATAATTTATAATCAACTATTTTACCCGCCTTCGGCGAAGCACAAAGGTTGTGTTTGATCTGTATGTTCAAAATTTTTTTTAAGATTAATACGTTTTTAGATTCGTCTTGATAATATCAGTGTGTGAATGTAAATAAAAAAAGCGCCATTTGAGTCAGGATTTTTTTTCCATACCTAACATCGAGTGCGGTATCGATATGAAGAAATTTTAAGCGGCGATCACGAAAGTATATCCTAAGTACTTACATATATGTTTATTAATAAAATTTATGGTAACAAATTGTTAACATTTAAGAAATATTTAACAAAAATAAATAAAACCCACTGACTTTTTATCTGTGTGTCTACAGTGCTCACTGATATATCCTGGAGCACCACATGGCCACTGTGAGGCACCTAGACCTACCCGAGCAATATAAAAAAAAGTTGCTAGCAATTAAATAAAAAACTAAATCAGTATCAAAAATATATTCAAACATCATTCATTTATTATTCTTAATATCTTCAACGAAGCTTTAGTCAGTATAAATATCGACCAAATGGTGATAAGGAAGAAGGCATAGAATATGCCACTATAGGAGAGCATCCTGAAGAGTACGTAGCCGAGGCCGAGCCACAGCACGAGCGCGTGCGAGGCGAGGCGGCGCAGCGACAGGCGCGGCGGCAGCGCGCGCTCCGCCACGTGCTGGTAGCTGGAGTCCTTCACGTACGAGTGTATGGTCACCGGTCTCTGCAGCACTTCCCGCACCACGTACCCCCACAGGTCGCTCCTTCCCCATAACCTGCTGAACTCTTCGCCGTACTGGAAATTTAATTTGTTTATTGAATATCTATGGAGGTTTTGAATATGGCTTAAATGTAATGGAACTTTATTAATAAATATACTCTATCTAAAAATGTTTACATAATCTCTTAAACCATAAACAGCTAACAAAAAGCACCACAGAACATGAATTTACTTAAAGAAATAAAAATAAAAGATATGGGGTATTTCCCGTGAAACGGACGATGGAATAACCGAGGTTCTGAAATTCGTTGATTAAATCATCAGAAAAGTTTCAGAACGGTTTCAGCATTATTCAGGAGTTTGCTTCATGAAATGCTCCTTCCGAAAAAAATCCATAAAAGAAGAATGATTTCAAAGCTCTTTTTGTTTTTGCTTTACTACATAAAACTACAATATATAAAATTATTCTGATGATTTTACTATTTTCCTAAATTATTAACAATCCTGAAGTAAAATAAAAAATTGCTCAAGTGTTGTTTCTACGTTATTGGCTGCGCTGAATTTACACTAGGAGCATTCAAAAAAATGAATAATTAAAAAAATAACTACCTAGTATATTTTTCGAAAAACTGAAATTGAAAAAAAATTAAAATATTAAATTAATTTATACCATTTTTCTAAAAAATAATAATAAAATAAATTATCGACAGTTTTGACTTGACCCATTTTATGCTAAATTTCGATAATAGGGGCAGCATTTTTAGTGCCCAGGGGCGTTAATGTTGAATCTGGCATTGGTTATGATTGGTAAATGTACAATACAAATGATGCGCAAATCCAACTCACATTTGACTAATTTTGTTTATTAAATCAATCATCGATAAATAATAAATATGTATATTCGAACATATTTAACATTACTTACCAACTCATTCAGTCTTGTAGATATTTGATATAATATCCTAACAAGTATTGTGTTTTCATATGACATAATGGGCATAAGGTCCGGGTCTCCCATGTACTGAATACTCGCTGGTTTATTGCGAAGCTAAAATAGTATAAATTACATTAAAAGTTATTTTTTTTATATCAGCTTACATAAAACAGTTTTCATGCATAATAATAATACTATAAATTTCACAAATCAAAGGACTTAAAATTGTCGTTATAAATTAGGTAATTATTTTAATGAGTAGACTCATCTCTCACTGTTTGATGTTAATTTTTATTTACAATTACTTACTTTTTGTGCAATTGAAAGAGTAAAGTTATTCGAATTTGCAAATGACGAGTGTTCAATAGAATTGTCCAACAACTCAGATTCCAATGGCAGCAACATATTCTCGTTTAGCTAAAAATAGAAGTAATCTTTTGTATCAAAAGATGTATGAAATAATAAATAAAGAGGTACAACAACTATTCTATTGCCCGAACAGTAAAATATTTATTTGTATTTTCAAAAATAGTATTCATTTTCCCACTAGTAATTATTTAGTATTTATTATACCATAGATACATTGTTGATTTTTTTTTTTTCAACTTTTATATGGGTGCTCCAATATAAATCTTTTCCTTGACGTATCTATTTATCCACTTATTTAACAAAAAAGGGAATATCTGTTCACATATTACGTAACACACACACACTCACGTGCACGCACACACACAAATCAACCGAATTCCGGTAAGTTCTTTTTAAAGTTGGTAAAAAAAAATCATCAAGAGTATCAAAAACAAGTGTATAGATAATAAATATTATTTACCCCAAATATATTTGTGAAGTAGTTAATACAGTTGGTTAAGTAAATAGGAACTTTTTTAAATTCTTCCAACATTGCTGCTTCTTCTTCAGTATTTCCAATCATCAGCCAATGTTTTAAGGAATTCCAGAAACCTGTAGATAATTAATTTTACAAAATGATATTTATCAAATGAATACATATTTTTTTAATTAATTTTCTTAATAAGTGCTTTATAAAAATTTACAGAACAATGTTATTGTCATAACCATAATCAATACAAGCTGTAGAACATTTTTTTTTTAATTTTATTACTGTCATTTTTACACTTCTTTCGAATTACACTCCTGGATTTATGATAATTATTGCATATTGCACTTAATTTTTACCTGTATTTTGTAGATTTAATTTTACAGTATAAACTTCTAGATTTCTGTCTGCGGTATTTTTCGCCGAAAGAATTCTTTTGACAAATTCCAGCGTGAAGTTTCTCTTGTTCTCACTCCAGATGGGGTCATATTCAAAAGTGGTTGTCATATTCAGTTCCGATATGGCTTGTTTAGCTATCGCCACCCACTTGTGTATTACAATTCCATTATACGTGTAGCTAAAATGTTATGCAGGTAGTTTGATTTAAAATATAAATTACCATCTCAAAACTAATCAAATGACTCCAAACTCTTAAAGGTTTGGAAGGTTTTGCTTATATAGGTAGCAGAACTGAAGAGACTGAATTCATATAGGTAGTAGTTGTTAGTTTTTTTAAAGGCACTGGACTTTTAAATAGTAAACTCCACTTTTAAAATAAAAAATATACCATTTACAGTACTTACTTTACCCAGTTTCAAATCTCTACAATCAATAAAGCTTTGTTTTTACATTGAAGTAAAATATAAACAAAATTTTACATTAAAAATCCAAAACACATTTTTTGCCCTTAAACGCATCTTGAATGAAAATTTCAGTTTTATTTAATTTTATTCGATCTCAATTTTAGTCAATTAAGAAACTGCTTTTTCATTATATGTACTTCATTAAGACTCCACTACTTAAGGATAAATAAAATTAACCAAATCACCTTTGTTCTAAGTTTGAATTGTTATAGCTGCTGTCAGGACTGTGCAGTCCAGATACATTATCTCTTATAGCTTTTTCTAGATTTAGCAAAATGGGAACTAGATGTGGTTGGGAAAACACCTAAAACAATTTTAAAATTACTTTTTAAATCAAATTAATCACTATCATAAAATATTTATCGCTTAGAGTAAATAATCATTTTCTTCAATATATTTAAAAAGTTATTTTTTAATTTTGTAGCGGAATAATAAAGTGAAAGATCTATTATATGTACATATGTATATTGAATTAAATTATAATGAAATGTTTGTTAAATAATTATATCACCTATGTAGTTGTGACTATTATATTCAATAATACTACACTTCCTCTATACAAGATTCGCAACCATAACTTTATATAGTACTAACGAAGTAGCGACGTACCCTAGACAAAAAACAAATCTATTCCACGGGAACCGTACATTTTTCCGGTATGACATAGGTTAACTTATAGCCTTCCTTAATACACAGGTTATCTAATGCAAAAAGATTTTTTCAAATCGGATTTGTAGTTCCTGAGATTAGCGCGTTCAAACAAACAAACAAACTCTGTTTTTAAAATATTAATATAAGTATAGATTTGTCACTTTTTGTGAAACACATTGTAGTTTTGAGTAGTAAACTCAATTTTTAAATTAAAAAAAATACCATTTATGGTACTTACTTTACCCAATCGGAACAACATAACAGCATTTTTGTATGCTGAAAGATCTAATCTCATGAATCTTGGTAAGACTAATTGAAAGATACAAGTATAAGCAGGGAAGTTTTCAGCAATAAACTGTGTGAAACTTGCATCGAGAGTACCAACATTGCCTTCTTCTTGGTTTCGTTGAGTACCTGGAAATCTAAAAAGGAAATATTAAATGTCATTATATTATATAACAACATATTGGTACAAAAAATATTCAACTGAAATAAAATTAATAAGTTACACATATGCATTTAGGATGTTTTATTTTTATTAACAGATTAATTGAACAACATATTTATTAATTCTAAAAGTTATAATGGAGATGGTCAGGTCACCTATTAAGATCCAGCAGATCAAAATGGAATTCACAATATGTACTGTACTCCCCGAATAAAGGCTATATTATTTTTATTTTATACTTTAATTCCAGTATTATTCAAACACATTCAACTATATCATGATGTTTTTATTTTATATAGCGACTCACCCTCGCTTCGCTCGGTTTCGTCCCTAGGTATGTTTTACAGTTAGTATGAAATACAAATATTTGAATTTCTCGGCTTTTCTGTACATCCATTGAGTAGTTTAAAAGATCTAAGCGAACAGACAGCAGAAGTGACTTCATTTTATACTATGCAAAGATTACTTTAATGAAAAAGTGCATAATACTAGTGTAATTAATATAAGAACCGGTGTGTTTCTTAAAAATGAAAACAAATGAAACAATTACCTGTCCTGATTTATACTGTTATCTGTATATCTCCAAGGCTGAATGAGACTGAGCCACAATTCCATAACAAGTCTGAAAGAAGCATCTAGAGGCCAAGTCATGACCAGATGTTTAACATAATGATAGGCTCTTGAACACATAATTTGCCTTGCATATTTTCGCAGTGCAGACGACCTGACAGCAGGATCGGAATGATATTTAGCAGAAAATGAATGTATATGTTTCACCAACACCCGCACTATTCTAACTCTCTCTGGACTTGAACTAGCCGAAGAATAGTTTCGCTGATACATCTAAAATTTCAAGAAAATTACAATAATGCAATTCAATTATATTATAATATAATAAAATTATTTTACTCGCTAAAAATAATTTATAAGTTAATAAATTATAATTCATAAAAGATCTTGATATTTAATGTTTTCTATATAATATGTTTGTATTCACCTTCATTTTCTATTTCTGTTAGTGTTGAACTTTGAAAAGTAATTTGCAATGTGGAAACTAAACCTACTAAATATTGATAAAAATTATTCTTCTTACCTCAATGTTTATATTATTAAACTGTTCCACACTCATCCATAAATCAATAAAGACCTGCAAAATGGTCTCAGACCTCCACACCTCATTTCTAGATTGAGTTTGAGAAGTAGAATGCTGATTGCTAATGCCAGACAAGTCAGGTATTAATAACAGTGATGGAGAGTATAAAGGCCTAGAAATATAGTAACAAAAATTAATAATATTTTTTTTGTAGTTATATTTATTATAATAAAAAAATGTATATGTACATACCTGTTTGCAGTTTGCAGAGGTGCAGCCATAGGTACCTTTCCTGTGTAATGTGGGATATGTGGTAAAATAGGTATATTTGGGTCTGAAGGCAGGAAATGCATTAGATAATCACAAGCTAGTGCAAAATATACACTATTCCAATTTTCCCATAAGGCTTTATTTTGATTATTGTTCACTAAATACAAGCCAAAGTTAAATATATAGTAATCAAAAGGATCTGTATTTATGTAGTAAGAATTTAAAAAATATGTATATATAAACATAAAACATCATTGATATTTGTATATAAAAGCCTAAATTAACAATTGTTTTTGGTTTGGTTATTACTATAATGAAGAAAAAATAAGTTGCAGATTTTATAAAAATATATTGTTGATGGTCACATGTGTATGAATAATGTATAATGTTCATCACACATGTATGCTTTGTAAGAAGTTTTTTAGTATAAGTGTTACTTTTGCAACTTAGAATTAGGAATTTGAATCTCTACGACATTTACCTATGAAAACCATTCTAAAACAAATTTGCTAGAATTTTGTAGCTTATTTTATTCACAGCTCCCTTGATGTTGACTTACTATGATATGTAATTTCTATTAATTAATAAAAAAAACTGCAATGTTATTTTCAGTAATTTCTGCCTCCTGATCTTCTGCCTCTTTCCATGTCTTCAAAATAATGTCTATATATTAGGACTTTGCATCAGTACTACATTTACAGTTCTACTATTTAAAAATAAAAACATAACCCACTCTTTCAGGTACAATTTCCTATGATCTAAACAAAAACTCAACTGCATTTCAAAATTTATGACTAGATATCTTTTCAAAGGATACTTAGAGCTAGTGATACCACATTCATTGATTGGGAGTCCATTGTTAACATATCTGCATAAAATTGTGGACATCTACCCCTCTCAAGAGTCATCTGTAGGTCTATCTGAAATTATATAAAATGTTCTTCATTTTACTGTGTGTCAAATATGAAAAATTAAAAACATGTAGCTAACAATAAAAAATATTTTACTTACTGGTAAATTGTTTAACGGAAGATTATATTTCAATTGAGGGTCAGATAAAAGTTTGTAACATAACCGAAACATAGGACCTTGTGGTTCTAAAAAACTAAGGAGAGCCTGGTACTCATATCTATTGGCTTCAAAAGTAACTTGTCTTAAGCTCCAACCATTTTGTGTTGAAGGCGCAAAAATATTGCTTATTAATTGGGGAAATATTGCTTGTAAATCCTTATTAGGACCAGATTGATCTACAAGTCTAGTCAATTCCAAAATTTTTTCTTGCAGCGGTAAATTTAAGCAAGTATAGAATTGACTCTGAAATAAAGAAAAACAACAATTAAGACAATAGTATTAAATAAAGCATGTTATAAATAAGTAAACAGATTACCATAATATCGTGGGCCATGATGGTAAAGGTATTCTACGAATATATTAAGAGTAATTAAATAAACTTATGCAAAATAAATAATTGAGTTACATTAAAAATGATTGAACAGATACTATCTCCGTATTATTATCAAAAATAATTAAGATTTAAAGCCCGGTTTGGTCTATTTCAGTTGAGTCAACTCAACAGTCAACATATGACATTTGACACTTTCAATTGACATGTGTCAGTTGGTAAATCACAGGACACAGACTACAACCATATGAAAATCGATTACATATGGTGCGTTCCACTAAGCGCTCCTGAGTAAAAGTGTTCTGTGGATCGAAATGAGCGAGGAGCATTAAGAGAATTAGCGGAATTTTAAAAACAAAGCAATAAAGATGGCGAGCGTGAAAATTTCATTATTAGTTATTTTGATTATTACAAAGAATTCATTATAACATCTTTACAAGTTGGGGGTTAAGAAATGAAACTTGTCAAAAATGTGACTCCATATATATGAACAAAAATTATAAAAAAATTACAAAATAATTGACCAATAAAAATGCGTACTTTAAAATAATTACAATTTGAAAATTACACTAACAATTAAAAATCTTAGTTCTATTTAAAATATGATTGGTCGTAAAATAAGAATGAGATAAAAATAGCGCGAATCTTCTGTTCTCATGGATTCTGGTAAATGGCACGGTCCCATATTCCGCGCGCAGCACGCTGAAGTTATAAATATAACTAGACAGCATTTACCTCGTGGCGATCTGCAGTCTGGCTACGCGTAGCACTCCACTACAGACAATAAAATAGCTCTTTTGAGAGCTGATTATTCATTTTTATTTTAACGTTGGGAAATGCATTTACGCACGATGTGTGGGACTGACCGGCATAAAGCCAGTACTAGCCACTAAAACCCAACAAAACCTTCCCCCGTCTTAATGGGGCGTCGCAGGATCGCTTACGCATTCAACTACGACGCCCCGACGGCAGGTCTGCCAAAGCAGACCACCACAACCTGGGGTTGCTCAAAAGTCCACTCTGCTATCAGAGAAGTACCAGGAGCAACCCACAATGTACACCGCCCACCGAATAGGGCCACCGCCCACCGAAGTGGGCCACCTCCCTGTGCTTTTCTTGGCTTCGCGCCCGATTGGATTGCCGGGCACTACTGAGCCCTCCCACCACGACAAGATGAACGCACGTTTGGGGGGCTGATTATTCCTGTTTCCTACGACACCAACAGCTCTTTTCAGAGCTAGCTTTTCTGTATTTCACGAGACGTCGAGTGTAGCTACAAACTCTTTTAAGAATTCCTGCATTCCGTCTTACTTCCTGTAAATTGTTTCCATTAGCTCCTTCATTGGGATAAGGTATAGTGACAACAATAATTTCATCTTCTCGTGAAATACAAATATTATGTGCTACGCAGCATGCAACTATGAACTCTGTCATTAAATCTACGCTTGTCATCGGTACACAATGTAATAAGCTCCTCATCCATCCTCTCAATAATCCGATGGATCTTTCAACAATAACTCGAGCAGCTGAGTGACGATAGTTTTTTTTTTTGTTTCTCACTCAAATGTCCATTGTCTCGATAAGGAGTAAATGGTGATGTATTTTATATGCAGAATCGCCCAGAATATGGATGTTTTCAGGAAATGCATCGTCATCGTTCAATAATAATAATCCGTAACTTCTGACAAACGAAAAACTCTTTGATTATGAACAGATTCAGGATGTCCAACATAACAATGTATTATTTTTGTGGTCATATACTAGCTGCCAAAAAAATAATTGTATATTTATCTATTTTAAAATTGTAACTAAGCCGAATCTGTACATTAAATTGGATACAGATTGGAATTTTTTGGAAAATCTTATTGAAATAAATATTATTATCGATACAGAGGCCGAATCTATAGTTTTTAGAATTTTTGTCTGTCTGTCTGTTGACGCATCACAGAAAAACCACTGGAGGGATTTTGATGAAATTTAGTATGGTGATAGCTGGTTATCCGGGT